GCCTCATCGTCAGTTTAATCTGCAGAGCCGAGCAGTTAAACCGAGATACACAAAGGACACACACGCAGGGACACGGAGACACACAGTCGTCTCTCCAACAATTGCCTTTTCATTTTTCCTTTTTTTCAGCGACCGTCCCTTTTATGAGAAGAAGCCTCCCTACGGAGAATACATCATCTCGTGTGTGTCTTTGTGGGTGTGCGTGTGATCCGATTGTGATGCCTGGCAAGCACTTAAGTATTACAAGCTCTCCCTTTCTGTCTGTGTGCGCGTGTGTGTGTGTGTGTGTGTGTGTGTGTGTGTGTGTGTGAGACACAGAGAGTGAGAGAGCAGCGTGTGGTTTGCGTTGGAAGAGTGATGGATGTGGTTTTCCTCTACAGGGGAAACTAGAGCCGGCTGAGGACATTTAAGTGTGCGCGTGTGTGTGTGTGTGTGTGTGTGTGTGTGCGTGTGTGTGTGCGTGTGTGTGTGTGCGTGTGTGTGTGAGTGAGAGATTCAGATAGGAAACGTATCCACCCTGAAGCGTTAAAGAATATACGCAGGTGACGCAACGCAACAGCGAGAGGCAGAAACTGCTTCCCGATTGGACTCCAGCAGCACAGCAGCCGCGGACACGGACAGCTGACGCAAGCCGACCCCCCGCGGGGGGGGCGACACATGCCGACGCCCCCGCGGCGCGGCCGCCAGACGGCCCCGTGGGCCGGCCGCCACGCCGACCCCGTGGATCGACCGGTGCAAACTGCTCGGCTTCACGTTAGACACGACGTCCACCGCCCCCCACGGGCTGACGGGCCGGCTGTTGCTGTGGGTGCAGACGGCATCACCTGTTGCCTCTCGAGGACATTTAGAAACACACATGACCCGTGTGTGTGTGTGTGTGTGTGTGTGTGTGTGTGTGTGTGTGTGTGTGTGTGTGTGTGTGTGTGTGTGTGTGTGTGGGGGGTGAATTTGCATGAAGCTGTTAAAGTGCAGGTATTGGACCGTTATTCAAAGGTTACAGAGCGAACACACAAACACACTTCACACACACTCACTGGTCCCAGATACCGCCACCACAAACCAACCCCCGCCCCCCAAACCTCCCTGCGATGTCGCCCCATTGTCGGTTCCTGCGTGCTGCTTCTAGCCGTGTTAATGGTTCCAGCAGGAGCACAAGTTGACCTTTGACATCTACAAGTCTGCTAACCTTGAACACCGGCTGTGTCTGTGACTGTGATTGCGTGTGTGTGTGTGTGTGTGTGTGTGTCAGACATAGAAATAGACATGGATCAAATGGATCACACACGCTCGCTGCCAGTAGTGACATCACTTCCTGTGACCTTGCGATGACAAAAGAAACACACAATGACGCACGAGAGCACAGTCATGGTGCGGGAATGTGAAATGGAACTTGTGTGTATGTGTAAAAGTTGTGTGTTTTCAACGTCCAACCACGTCCAGGTTACCTGCCGCCGGTAATTGTTATCAGGGAGATCAGTGGTAACCGTAGCAACCAGTGGGCTACAACTAGAGACCCCATGAGACACGAGACACGCGCATAAAACTTCACAGGAACAAAACATTAAAGCAAAGTTTATTCCCACAACCTAATGAAAAAAACATGAACGCCCTGAAAGGCTTCTGTGTGTGTGTGTGTGTGTGTGTGTGTGTGTTTGGTCACAGCGGTTTCTTGGTAGCTTTACCTCTTTGAAATATTTTAAGGCAGTAAATCAGTGATCACAGGGAATCTGTGTGTGTGTGTGTGTGTGTGTGTGTGTGTGTGATGCCTTGCAGAAAACGTTCCTTTACAGTTCATTAACTTTGTGATGTAGTTTTTCTGTTATTTTGCAGTTTCACATCTCAAGCCATAAATGCTTTATTATCTGATCACGGTCGCATCGGAGAGTCTGTTGATCATTGAGATTAAAGCCTGTGTGGGAAAACGTGCAGGCTGACCGGCGTGGACTCAAGTTAGTAATCACCGAGTTAGAGAACAGAACGCCGTCCAGCAGGAGCGGCTCACATCTCGCTCCTCCCCAAAGAGCATTTAATGTAATCACAGATTATCACGTCTGAGACCCCCCCCGTCCCCCGCCGGTTGCCGAGCAACGGTTGATGAGTCTCAGGATTCAAAAGCCAGAGGACACTTTGGTTAAGTTGCTCTGTGGCACTTTTCCTTTTCTAGTTTTTTTTGGTGTGTTTATTCTGCTTTTTCCTCTTGGAGGCCAAATCCAGATGTGATTCCAGCGTTAAGACGCTAGCTGGTTAGCGGTTCTAACGCGGGCGCCAGGCTCATGGCGAGTTTTGCGCCTTAATTTGAATACAAAGTCAGCTCAGAGTGGACGCGCAGCGGCTTTCATTAGCTTTTTTAAATATATTATTACTACAAGGAGATATTTGATATTTGAACGTTACCATCCTGATAAAGCGTATTTAGCTTGAAGTTGTAAAGCTAACGCTAGGACACACACAAACACACACACACACACACACACACGCTCTGTGTGTGGATTTTGAAAGAAAAAGGTGATTGAATTTCTAACACTGAATTTTTTTGCATTGAATTTTTTTGGCATTAAATTTTTTGGCATTGAATTTTTTGCGGTTGAATTTTTTAACGTTGAAAAACATTCTGACACACGATTTCAATGCAGAAATATTCAATGCTAGAAATTCAATCACCTTTTTCTTTCAAAATCCGATGACACCGATTTACTTCCACACGAGTCCGTCCTACGGCCTCGAGTTATTCAGTCTGTGTGTTTTAACTGACATGTGCTTCTGTAATCACTGTTGCTACTGTACAAACATACGCTCACTGTGCGTGTGTGTGTGTGTCTCCGATGGAGAAAACACATGCTGGATGGATCAAAGGTGTGTGTGCGTGTGTGTGAGAGTGTGTGTGAGGCCTGATAGGAACAAAACATGCATAATATCACTGTGACGGCATCGATGGACTGTGTGTGTGTGTGTGTGTGTGTGTGTGTGTTTTCTCACAGAGGATCGCTCATCAAAGCCAAGCGAGCTTATGAATAATGTGAGCGATGCTTTGGAAATGTTTCTTTCTGTTTTCATCAACGGGGTTTTGTCGCTTTGAAGAAAGCGACATCTTCACCTCCCCGTCGTAAAGAGTCTGACAGAGAGGTAAAGCAGATGTGGACGGGAGCAGCGGGAAAACCTAAAAAAAGTTCATCTCTAATTGAATGAAGCCTTTATTAATGTTGCTTTTTAGGGAAAATAGCATTATGACGTCATGGGAACTTAGGGAACCATAAAGAAACGTCCCTCTGAATACTCACGTTTCTCTGGTCAACATGAAAAGCCAGAAATAAGCAGCTTCCTTTTGATGAGTTAATATCAGCAGCAGCTGTGTGCGTCATCATGATTTAATAGCACATGACGGAGAAACCAGACGCAGCGAGCTCTGGCACAAAGTGACGAGGAACACCGCAACATTCAGTGCTGTTGTTGTTGTTGTTTTTTATTGCATGTATTTACAAATGCCAAACGGCGGCCCCCAGGTCGTCGGGTGTCACCACGACGACAGTGTCCTGCGCTGGCGGGGGACCCGTCGGATCCTCCGAGCCGTCTGAGCCCACTCGAAGATGAATTTAATGTTAAGATGATGATTTCTGAGGGGCGTGTCTGTGCGTGTCTGTGCGTGTGTGTACATTGTGTGCATTGTGCGCCCTTCTGCTCGGACGGTTGCACCGATTTGCATAATCCTCTCTTCTCCTTTATCCTCGCCGGCAGCAACAGTCACGGAGAAAGAAAACAACGGAGGACTCAGAATGACGATTCTACATCATCGGGCGATTTTGTTCATTAAACACACGTGATTCATTCGATAATAGTCTGACTCTATTGGTGCGAAGGGGCGAGACAAAACGTACAAAACATCTCTGCACTCGATCTCTCTAATGCCTCCATGTGAGTCTGCACCCGATCTGTGTGTGTGTGTGTGTGTGTGTGTGTGTGTGTGTGTGTCTTTGTCTTTGTGTGTGTCCCTAATGGACAGATGAGTCTCACTCTCGTCTTCGGCTGCTGGGAAAGAAGCTGCTGATGTCGTCTCCCTTTGCAAGTCATTTAGATTTTTTTAAAAAAAGGCTTCGAGGGGCTTTTTACTCCCGTCCGTTGGCGCTCACAGCCTCAGTGGGCGGTCGGAGGGGCATCGATCTACCGGGGGGGGGGCATCGATCTGCTGATGTTTCGCTGTGTTCATGCAGGTTGTTGATATACGAGCAGCTGGTTTGGTCCGTTTCAGCCACGAGAGTCACTGAGCGGCATGTGAACTCGCCTGCACCAGCCACATGGGGGGGGGGGGGGGGGGAGACATGCTCCACCGTCTCTCTTTGGGGCAAAAACAACAAAAGGTTTTTAAGGGTATTTATTTGTGGATATTATTAAAGGATCATATTCTAAATACCCTAAAACGGATGCTTCTGATTGATTGATTGATGATTATCATTCATCTGCAATGGAAATTTTCACTCAACGTGTCACAAGTTGCTTCAAATGACCAACATACTGAAAGCTCTAAAAGGTGGTGTAAGATAAAGGCATGGAAATAGTGTTTCAAGGTGTCTTTTGGTAGAAAAAACTAAACGTACCTTTAGAGACTCTGCAGAGCATCGGGTTCCAATCAGTACTTTGAACATTAATATCTGTATAAGCTGTGAAGAGGTGAGGAGGCCGCGACCCGACCCCGGATAAGCGGTTGAAGATGGATGGATGGAGGTGAGGAGGTGAACGAAGGTGAACTCATATTTCGGCTGCTCGGTGTTGGATGCTTCCCGTCGTGTGCAGATGAGGAGCTTTCAGTCTTTGTAGTTGTGTTGTTTCCATCTTTAGGGGCTTGTGCTCGTTCTTCTCTGTACTCATTATGAGTCACCACCCGACATTCTTGCAGCCTGTTATTGCAGAGACCCCTCCCTCCCCCCCCCTACACGAGAGTGGGTGTGCTGTCCCTCTCAGGAATGTAGATCTGATAATGGGATTACTGTCTCTCTGCCTCCTTCCAGGGTCGCTGAGGACCGAAGGCATCAAGGCCTCTGATGTTCTCCCCGTGTTGAAGGAGAAAGTGGCCTTCGTGTCAGGTGAGTCAGTGAGTCACGGGGATCATACAAACCGTTGGGGGGGGGGGGGGGGGGGCATCATCCACAAAGGACCTTCCTGAACTAAAGGAGGATTTTTAATAATAAGGATGTGATCCTTGCGGCACAAACAAACTCTTTAGTCGCCACAAGAGATGTAGGAGGGGCGGCGATGGGGAGGGGGGGTGGGGGGGGTGTTCATGTTTAAGGAGTCTTCTCTTAACTCGGGCCGGGTGGCACTCCTTGTTTTTAGCTGAGGACACCCAGAATTGTGGCCCGTAGGGTCGTATAGTTCAGGAAGAGCCCCCCCCTCCTGCCCCAAAAGAACCTCGTCAGCCTTAAAAAAAAAACTGCTGAAGAGAGCACCGACGTCTGGACCGCCACACCTCCCGAGACAGGAAACGGGCAGGGGAAATCGTCCCAGGCCCCCTTCACACCCTGAACCCCCCAGCATGCGATGCCAGCACGAGCAGAGGAAGAAGACACGGTTTCACGCGGCTGGGCGTCGTGGGTGTGATCGCCCGCCGCGTGATGGGACACAAGCTGTGCCGTCACATGACCAAGATATCGTGCACGCGCAACATATTAAAGATGCACTTAAAGATTCCCGGAGCCCCCCAAGAAAAAAGGACATATGGTTTATTGTTTTTGTGCTTTTATTTTGAAATCGAAATGAATTTGCGGTTATCAAGAACTGTTAAATGTTTCAGATGTTTCTATCCACCAATATCTATCTATCAGTATCTATATATAAATATATATATATAAATATATATATATATATATTGCAGAGGGCTCATGTTGCAGTATTAGAAAGGAATGTATTTTCCGACATACACAAAGTACCACATTCCATCATTTGCAACTTTGGCTCTTTAAATAATTTTAGTGAAAAGTGACTCAGAGAGAGAGAGAGAGAGAGAGACAGAGTGCCAACAGCAGTCTGTCATCATGATTCCTCCCGACATCAGCCCCGCCCCCCCCCCCCCCCCGTAAACCACCACTCAAACACACGGACCCGTTTTCCACGACTGAGCGGCGCTTTCATAAACACTGCGGTTTGTGAGTCTTACATTAATCTAACCAAAACATCTCCACGCACGTAATTCATCACCGCGCAGGAGAGCCAGCGGCGGTGATTGGGAGGACGTCTGGGGCCTTGTGCGAGGTGTGTTTCCTGGCTGACGTGTGTGCGACGGGAGTTGTGTTACAGGGACGTGGACATTATAGATATTGAAGCTATTAGTGTAGATTAAGAGCAGATTATCACTGGTACATGTGATGATGGAGAGGCGGGGTGGCGTAAGCGGGGTTTCTAACTGCTTGCTTCATGTGTTTTCTATGTATATATCATCAAAAACACATTCTTTATTCTGGAACTTACATTCAACAAAGCAATAAACCGCTGAAATACATGTTGCTTGGTTTCTATGTTGTTATTTTGCGTCTCATCATTGTGTCTACTAGTCCCAGTGCAGGTCCAGTGTCTCTTTATAAACGCACACAAACGCCCCACACCAAGCTCACCTTCTGACTGTGTGCACGCTAAGGTGGGCGGGACAAAAGAGGCGGCCCCATCCTGACGTTTCCTGCCCGGAGTAACCACGACCGAATAAAGCAGGAGGACCTGAGGAGGCTGGTGACGTACCTCTCTACCGTCCCCAGGTACCCACCTCTCCATCACACACACACACACAATGATTCGTTTCTGATACAGCTCCGTTAACCTGTCAATCATCATCATCATCATCGTCATCCCCGTTGTTGGGTGCGTTAGCGCTGGTGAACAGGGCGCGTGAGAAGTGACGGGGTGCAGGGCGGAGGGCCTCCGTCCTCGTCCACGCTGAGGAAATCAAACGCTCCTTTCTGCCCTTTAGTCGCGTCTGCGTGGGAGCCGCCGTGTTAGCGGTCACACTCCCCTCGGGAGGGGGGGGGCGTTTCACCGAAGACCCAGCTGGTCGATCCCAGGCGAGCTCCTGGGACGGCGCCCCGTTATTCTTACTCTTTTTCTTTTTAATGCAAGCAGAGACTGAGGTGAACATTGTGCGTATCATCATTCGGTCCCCATCGGCCCCGCTGGTCTTATTTGTTTATGTATTTACAAAGACTGATGATGTATGTTGCAAACACTTCACACAACCCACACGCACACGTCGCTTCGCACGCAGCGAGCACGGCCAGATGGCCGCCTGGGAGGAATTCTGTTGTGTTCATATCACATTTATTTACATAACCCACGTGATTGTGCCGCAAAAGCAGACCTGGAAATATGTATTTCGGCGCTCTGCCTCGCTTCCAGGGGACTGATCCGTACCACATGTGAACACAGCGCTGCTGAATTAACGGGACGAGGTGATGTGAATGATATGGAGCCTTTGTTTTTGTTGAGAAATGCACAAAGGGAAGGAAAACAGTGATTTCTCTGTCATAACTGCCCTTTTTAATTTAACATAGTGTCCGTTCAGCCTCGAACTACATTAAGACTGCAAACAGAGTCTGTTTAGAATTTGCTGAGTGGTTTCCTTAAGTACATATCAGTGCATGCTGGGTGGGGGGGGGGCTCCTTCCCTCCAGAGCGCTGAAGGTCCCTCCCAGCAATTAGTCCGGTGCAGCAGACACCCGACTGACAGGGATCGGGCGCCGATCGACGGACGTGTCTCGGTCTCACCGACTCTCATCTCTGTCCTCTCCTCAGCGAGGACGTCTGCAAGCGGGGTTTCACCGTCATCATCGACATGCGCGGCTCCAAGTGGGAGCTGATCAAGCCGCTGCTGAAGACGCTGCAGGAGTTCTTCCCGGCGGAGATCTGCGTGGCGCTCATCATCAAACCGGACAACTTCTGGCAGAAACAGAAGACCAACTTCGGCAGCGCCAAGTTCTCCTTTGAGGTCAGCGGGCCGCTCCGATGTCTATGAGTGCTTTGTTACATTCTGTCCTCACGCTCAGGCCTCTAATGTTCACCTCGGTGGTCTTCATTGTTTGAAGCAAGAACCGGAGCGTCCCGCTGGTCTTTAGAAGTGACAATCAGGGCTGTCAATAGACTAAATAATCTCACATTTTGAAATTCATTGTTTGCTTTTTTCTTCTAAAGACTAAATCTTACATGTAATGAGTAATCACTTTAGAACCTGTGTATTTTAGACACTGTTGTTTAACTGTTAACGTTATTTTAACCACCAAACTACACACATGTGATCACGTTGAACTAGCGACTCTTCCTGTCGTCCTCGTGCACTTTGCTCTCAATCATTTGACGGCTGTGTTCAAAGAGCCGACGATGTCCCCACATTCAGCATTACATCACAGGTCATTTAGCTTTTATCCAAAGCGACTTACATTACACTTTAAACCCGTGGCTTTTTTTACATTTTGTCCACAGAGCAATTAGGGGTTAGGTGTCTTGCTCAAGGACACGGGGGGAGCCTGTACTCGAACCACCAACCTTGCGGTTCCCAGCGCACCCGCTCTACCCCCTGCGCCACGACGACCCCAGCAGGACGTCTTCAGTCCACCGTCTTTTAGGGACACAGCGTTGGTCCTCTGCAGACTGTGTGCCGCGCAACGTTAGACGTTGAGATGGAAGTAGCCTAGCAGCTAGCTTAGCTTAGCATAGCGGTGCTGTAAAGTGGTCCGTTTGCCCCTCGCCCCTCTTCTGTTGGACACGTGGGGTGATTCCTCCGCTCGGTTCTCCGCTGAGCGTCGCGCCTGTTTGGTTTTACTTCCGATGCAAAAAGCTCTCTGCAGCTCGCGGACGCTTCGTTTCGGTTCATTTCTGGTCTGTTTATAAATGTACGTTAACTACGTTAATATATTTTGTCGCATTAGTCTCAGCCACATGAATCACATAGATTAACGCGTTTATGTCGACTGTCCCATGGTCACATAGTCACATAGTGACAATTACTTTTCTCTTTTCCTACACGCGGCGTTTGGCTAACCCGAGCTAACCGTTCTCCACCAGCAGCTGTGCTCTGCAATCTGGAAAACACATTCTCGGCCAATGTTGGACTCAATAGTTCACTTTCCCGCTGCTCATCTGTGAAGCGCCAAGCTGCCAAACACCAGAGAAGCCGTGTCTTTTAAAACTACCCCTCACTTTTTTCTAACAGACTAATTCTAATAAATGCCGGTAGTTCGGTGCTTTCTTCCCATTTTCTTTTTCCTTCATAAAAGTCATGGTTTGATACATTTCTGACATTGCCCTGGAATTTCTGTTCAGACCAGCATGGTGTCCGTTGAAGGTCTGGCCAAACTGGTGGACCCCTCCCAGCTGACGGAGGACTTCGAAGGCTCTCTGGACTACAACCACGAGGAGTGGATGGAGCTCAGGGTCTCTCTGGAGGAGTTCATGTCCAACGCCGTTCACCTGCTGTCCAGACTGGAAGACCTGCAGGTGTGTGGGGGGACGGACGGATGGATGTGCAGATGAACGAATGGTCAGTCGGGGGGGGGGAGACATGGACGGACCTGTTCATGCGTTACATTGTGTGTGGCAGGAGCTTCAGTCCAAGAAGGAGTTTCCGACGGACGTGGAGGGATCTCGTCGGCTGATAGACGAGCACACGCAGCTGAAGAAAAAGGTGGGTCAGGTCGGCGTAAAGGTTCTCATCGTTCCTTCCGCCTTTGAATCACATTAAGACACTGACGTCCTTTTTCGATGGTCTCCTGCAGGTGCTGAAGGCCCCGGTGGAGGAGTTGGACCGGGAGGGCCAGAGGCTGCTGCAGTGCATCCGATCTAGTGATGGTTTTTCAGGGAGGAACTGCATCTCAGGCTCTGCTGACTTCCAGAGCTTGGTGCCCAAGGTACATTTAGTCCTTTGGGTCGGAACACTCGCATTTTACTGTTCAATCCACCCTGCTCCAAATGCATGGAAGGCATCATAAGGAACACCTTCTAAAAGTCCTCCACCCTCTCTTTGTGCCAGGTGGCCAGTCTGCTGGATAAGCTTCACTCCACCAGGCAGCATCTCCATCAGATGTGGCACGTCAGGAAGCTGAAGTTGGACCAGTGCTTCCAGCTGCGTCTGTTCGAACAGGACGCCGAGAAGGTGAGCGGCGGCGGAGATCGATGTCACCGATGACCTCGTGCAGACCAAACGCGTCGCCGTGAAAGTTCCAGACAGCGTTTCGCTTCTGTGTTTCCGTGAATGTCGACTTAGCCCGCTCACCCGAGCAGAGGACCACAGTCGTCCAGCCATCCCTTTACACGAGGCAATGCCGGCATTCCATTTGTCTTCATCACAGCAGCCTGCTGAGCAGTCACATAGATACTACATATAGACGGGAAGAGGTGGCTGTACATTACAGGTGTTTGCAACCTCTGCAAGCATTTTACCTCGCGACAAACACCGGTGTACGGATGACTGAGGCCGTGGAGGTTGTGGATCGGATTGCAGTTTGTACAACACACACACACACACACAAACAGAGACGGGCGTCGGCTGAGTTGGTGGCTCGTTCCACTCAGACATCCGCATGCAGGAGCGGTAAATATTTACTGCGAGGCAAACCCGAGAAAAAGAAAAGAAAAGCATTCGTGTCCCGGCCGGCCGCGCGTGGGAACATCAGACCTGACCAGGTGATTTAGTTTCAGCGGGAAATCGCGGCGCGGCGGTAAAGCGGTTGCCGCGGTGACCGCAGAGTTCCATCTGCCTGCGGGGAATTGATTCCTGACGGAAGAAGCGCGCGTGGCGGTTGTCCCTGCCTCCCCGGGCGTTACGCCGGTCCGCTCGGAAGGATGAAAGGCGGCGAGAGACGTGTGCTTTTTTTAAAGTGGCAACCAGACGACTTTTCAAGCCGCCCTCTTCCTGTTTGGTTGCACCGTGCTTGTGCCGTAGATCCAAACGTTCATGGTGCCGTTATTCTGCAGACGTCCCATTCTGTAATCAACCTTTACTCCATAATGAGAAGTTTAAGCCCCCCAAAAAAAATGTTTATTGCCACTTAAAAGGAATATTACTTTGTGTGTTTACAGCCTGGGAGATGTTTATGTCACAGTATCTCTCAGTTATGGCAACGTTTCACTCGCCAACTGCACACTGCCGACACACACAATTAGTCGTGGCGGCTGCCTGAATGCTGCTCGACAAAATGCTACGAACGTCACGACAATCCACTTCAAACACATCCTGCAAAAGTTTACATACAAAAAAAATGGAATAAACCTCCATAGCTTCCATGCACAGAAAACTATGAAACATTTAAGTCTCATATTTTAGTTTTTAAATTCTGATTCAATGCAATACAAGAAACGCGCGTGCGCTTGTTTGTGTGTGTGTGTCTGTTTGCAGATGTTCGACTGGATCCGTCACAACAAGGAGGTGTTCCTGCAGAGCCACACGGAGATCGGCCGAGCGTACCAGCACGCCGTGGAGCTGCAGACTCAGCACAACCACTTTGCCATGAACTCCATGGTAGCTACTGTAATGTCATCACAGCCTAATTCTCACATTACATCACATCAGAGCACCAAATGAAAGAACCTTTGTTTATTAATCATTGTCCTGCAAATATGAGTTCTGATTTGTATTATTATTATTCAGTGGCACGTATTCTATGCAGTATCTTTTATGCTATTTTTTTAATTGTATTCTCACAGTTTTTATATTAAATGCTTAAATTCTTATTGGTGAAGCATGTATGAAAAGTGCTGTGAGAAGAATAGTAATATTAATACTTATAATACTATAATATAAAGCATGATACCACACATATCCGTCTGTTTATTGGTTCATGTTTTTTCTTTTCGCCCCTCTTCTGCCCAGAATGCCTACGTGAACATCAACAGAATCATGTCGGTGGCGAGCCGCCTGGCGGAGGCCGGCCACTACGCCTCCACGCAGATAAAACAGATCTCCACTCAGCTGGACCTGGACTGGAAAGGTTTCGCCGCCGCGCTGGACGAGCGCTCCACCATCCTCGCCATGTCGTCCGTCTTTCACCAGAAGGCCGAGCAGGTGAGATCATACCTGGTGGGGGTTTCATTCGAGGAAACGCTGGATTGGTAACTGTCCAACCTGGGAATGTCTCTGCAGCAGCGGCATGTGCAGAATGCAGAATGTAAATGGGGCATTTTTAGCGTCTGATTACATTTAGCGGATCAAACCGGTCCGCTGCTGATTCTGGGAAGGTTGACATGGCGACAGATGGGCCTTGTTAGATTCCTGCTGGGCCCTTGACATTAGCTACAAGTGAACATTTGGAGAGAGCCCCCCCCGATGAAAGCCCAAGGGAGGGCGAGGGACGGGAACAGAGACAGCGCTGGCTGGAATTGAGACGCAGCCCAATTAGAAACAGAGAGAACAAGCAGCACGAGGTGGGAAAGGAGACTCGCTCCTTGCTCCTTCCATGTGCTGATGGGACTTTGCAGCCAAAAGTCAAAGGTCACTGAAATCTCACTGGAATGCATGACTCAACAATTCTCACGCTAGTCATAAAGATACATTTATATTCTGGTTTACACCAGACATCGTTAGTGAAATCATTAGAGTCGTATCGAGCTGCAAAGCTTCAGAAATAATGTCAACATCCAAATTATAAGTAAAATTAATATCTTGTAATGATCCACCCGGGATGCATAGAATAGCTTCTTTATCACAAAATATTTTCTGCCCATAACCTCTGCATGTTTCTACATTAGTTTAGTATGAATCAGTGCAGACACACCTTAAAAATCAAAGAACCCCCAAATGCGTCACTCTTTTTGCATGAGGGATGTTGAAGACAGGTGACTGACACACACGCACACACACACACACACACTCTTTTATGATCCGTCCTTGAATGGACGACGGTGATACTGCGAGAACGTGTAGAAGCGTTACAGATGTGTGATGAGAGACATTCTGCGGGATCCATCCTCACCTGATTGCACGCCGTGCGAGACTTCCTGTGTGTGTGTGTGTGTGTGTGTGTGTGTGTGTGTGTGTCCCTCAGTTCCTGTCGGAGGTGGAGGCCTGGTGCAAAGTCTGCAATGAGGGGGGGCTGCCGTCCGAGATGCAGGAGCTGGAGATCGCCATCCACCGCCACCAGAGCCTGTACGAGCAGGTCACGCAGGCTTACACCGAGGTAAATGGGCCCCACTGACCCTGCGTTACGCTGGACGTTACGCTGTGGGCCTTGTTACCGCTGTTCTCGGTCCCGATGCTTTCCGCTCACAGCCAACGTCCCCGTCAACGGCAGCAGCTTGTGTCTCTGCTCCGTTGTTAATGTGTATTTTTTTTTGTGTCTTTCATCTCGTCCTCTCGATGCGTTCATCCAACGTGGTGTCATTGGCGCGCCGCGTCACGAGTGAACGCCGTGGTCTCTGTTCTGTGATGATGGAACGCGTAACGATGTGGGAGCAGGTGTCTCTGCCTGGTGTGTGTGTGTGTGTGTGTGTGTGGAGCGTTTGTTTCATCGCTGGTTCAAAAGAACAAAGTCCCAGTTGGCGCTCCTCCTCGTCCTCCTCCTCCTCGTCCTCCTCCTCCTCCTCCTCCTCCTCGTCCTCATCCTCCTCCTTCTCCTCGTCCTCATCCTCCTCATCCTCCTCCTCCTCCTCGTCATCCTCCTCCTTCTCCTCCTCCTCCTCCTCGTCATCCTCCTTGCCCTCATCGGGCCTCCTTCTCCTCGTCCTCATCCTCCTCATCCTCCTCCTCCTCCTCGTCATCCTCCTCCTTCTCCTCCTCCTCCTCGTCCTCCTCCTCCTCGTCCTCGTTATCATCCTCGTCCTCCTCCTCGTCCTCGTCCTCCTCCTTGTCCTCGTCCTCCTCCTCTTCCTCCTCCTCCTCCTCCTCGTCCTCCTCCTCCTCCTCCTCCTCATCATCCTCATCCTCCTCTTCGTCCTCATCGTCCTCGTCCTCATCCTTGTCCTCGTCCTCCTCCTTGTCCTCCTCCTCCTCGTCGTCCTCGTCCTCCTCCTCCTCGTCGTCCTCGTCTTCCTCCTCCTCCTCCTCCTCCTCGTCCTCATCGACCTCCTCGTCCTCATCATCGTCCTCCTCCTTCTCGTCATCGTCCTCCTCCTCCTCGTCGTAATCCTCGTCATCGTCCTCATCCTAGTCGTGGTCGTCGTCCTCATCCTCGTCGACCTCATCATCGTCGTAGTCAACGTCCTCCTCAACGTCCTCGTCGTCCTTGTCCTCATCGTCCTCGTCCTCATCCTCATAAGTCGTCCTCGTCCTCCTCCTTGTCCTCCTCCTCCTATTCGTCCTCGCCCTCATCCTTCCTCGTCCTCGTTCCTCCTTGTCCTCCATCACTCACATCGTCCTCCGTCGTCCTGCATCCGTCCTCGTCCTCTTCCTCCTCGTCCTCGTTGTCCTCATCCTCCTCGTCCTCCTCGTCCTCATCCTCCTCGTCCTCGTTGTCCTCATCCTCCTCGTCCTCCTCCTCGTCCTTCTCCGCGTCCTCGTCCTCCTCCTCGTCCTCCTCATCCTCCTCTTCGTCCTTGTCCTCATCGTCCTCGTCCTCATCCTCATACTTGTCCTCGTCCTCCTCCTTGTCCTCCTCCTCCTCCTCGTCCTCGCCCTCATCCTCCTCGTCCTCGTCCTCCTTGTCCTCATCCTCCTCGTCCTCGTCGTCCTCATCCTCCTCGTCCTCATCCTCCTCGTCCTCGTTGTCCTCATCCTCCTCGTCCTCGTTGTCCTCGTCCTCCTCGTCCTCATCCTCCTCGTCCTCGTTGTCCTCATCCTCCTCGTCCTCGTTGTCCTCATCCTCCTCGTCCTCATCCTCCTCGTCCTCATCCTCCTCGTCCTCGTTGTCCTCGTCCTCATCCTCCTCGTCCTCGTCGTCCTCATCCTCGTCGTCCTCATCCTCCTCGTCCTCGTTGTCCTCATCCTCCTCGTCCTCCTCGTCCTCATCCTCCTCGTCCTCGTTGTCCTCATCCTCCTCGTCCTCCTCCTCGTCATCCTCCTCGTCCTCGTTGTCCTCATCCTCCTCGTCCTCCTCCTCGTCCTTCTCCGCGTCCTCGTCCTCCTCATCCTCCTCGTCCTCCGCGAGGCAGCAGCCTGCAGCGGACCTCGGGTTTGAATCGTCATTGTTCTGTACTCTGAAGGTCGTCTCCTCGTGTGAATCCTGCTGATCGGCTGCTCAGGAGACACGGGACGTCGTAGACGTACGTGAGGCGGGACGCTGCTTCTTCTGCTGCCTCTTTGTATCACAAGCGTCCTAAAAAGAATCAAGGTGTTAGGATGCTCGTTTCCATAAACAAAACACGGGCCGTAACCGTATCCTGAAAAGTCCACTATTGGCTTCATGGTCACGGTCGGATGCAAAGCAAGTAGCGCCTTTCAGCGGCGGGGGCGGGTCTTAAGAGGTCGGCGTGATGCATGACAGGACGCAGAGGGGACGTGCAGGAAGGATGTTTGTCCGCGTGTCACGTAGCAGTGAGCGGTAAGAAGAGGAATGTCCGTTTGCATCTGGGAGCAGATGTGACGTGTGAGTCTGACCCCGTCTGTGTGCCCAGGTCAGCCAGGACGGTAAAGCCCTCCTGGACGTCCTGCAGAGGCCTCTGGGTCCCGGCAACTCCGAGTCGCTGACGGCCACGGCCAACTACTCCAAAGCGGTGAGTGCTCATGTTGCGGATGCAGCTTGAAGGGTCTATTTTGCCGTTTCACACGCATGAAATAACCACGATAAGCACTCGTATGACGTCGGAGGAGTTTATAGATGATCACATACTCTGCGTTTTGTGTCTTTTCCCAGGTTCACTGCATCCTGGACGTGGTTCACGAGGTTCTCCACCATCAGCGGCGTCTGGAGAACATCTGGCAGCATCGAAAGGTCCGACTGCACCAGAGGCTGCAGCTGTGTGTGTTCCAGCAGGATGTGCAGCAGGTACACACACACACACACACACACACACACACCACCACGCCTTCATTCATCTCCCGTCTCTTAAGCTAAATGTTTGGAATGTGAGAGGAATTCCAGAGATAAGACGCTGAGCGCGGACCCTCCTCTACACAACCAGCCCACCGCGGTTCTGGAAAGGTTCTGGAAACATTCGGGAGCTCAAATGAAACGTTACTACGTTCTATGAGGGATGTTTTTAACCCGCAGAGTAAACGTATGAGTCCTTAATGCGATCGGGGGTCCGACAGTAATGCAGTCGGAATGACGAATGCCGCCCCCTCCCCCTGCACGGATGGAACCTCTGGGAGCTCAGTGAAGACTTTTCTTTTCCAAAATGACGGACCGTTCAATAACAACTACCGCCTCCCCAACCGGGCGCTTTTCAGGGGCTTAACTTGTCCCTCAGACGTAACTCAGACCCTGATCCTCGCAGTGGGAACCCCCCGAGTTCCTCACGGCGCTCCTTGTCCCCGGGGAAAGTCGCTGCGGTCTACAAGGGGCTTTGAATCAATACATGGGACTTCTTATTCTGTAGCCGCGGGAGGTCAGGAGGACACACACACACACACACACGCCATAACAAGCACACATGGAATTGATTAAACACGGGTCGACTGTGACCGGAGTCACTGCGTGTGTGAGAGAGAGAGAGAGGGAGGGAATCCTGGCATCGGCTGGACTACAAAGATGGAGGCCGAGCAAAGACTTCTGAGTGACCCCCGGAGAGAGCGGCGAGGAGGTGGGACGCAGCCAGAGAAAAATAGCGAGTGGAGGCGAGATCGTATCAGAAGGTTTTAAATCGAGGGTTTCATCTGTTGCGTCAGCGATTTTGCTGCTGACCCCTTCGCTCGCTGTCACCCAAGGGGGGGGGGGCTGAAGCGCCGGGGGGGCTGTGGTGGCGTTGGTGACGTTGGTCCTCTCTTCTCGTGCAGGTGATGGACTGGATAGAAAACCACGGCGAGGCTTTCCTCAGCAAACACACCGGGGTGGGCAAGTCCCTTCACCGCGCCCGCGCCCTGCAGAAGAGACACGACGACTTTGAGGACGTCGCTCAGGTGAGTCTCCTCCGTCCGTTTGTTTGTGGTTTGATTGTTGGTGTGATGATCACTTCTGCCGGCAGAGGCGGAAGCGCACCATGACCCCCCGTAGTGTTCGTGTTAGGATTCAAATCGGCCTCTTATCGTTCCGGGTTTGGTGCAAGGACGTTTTGTAAAATACAAATGTTGCTTTTCGGCCTCCTCCTGGCCTCCTCCTGGCCTCCTATTTACAGTACCAACGTGACGCAGAAGAGCTCCCCTCCTTCCACGCTCATCTCTATAAGTTACTCGTTTGTTTCGATCAAATGTTTATTCGCTCGCCTTGCAAACATCTGTAAGTGATCTTCTTTGATTAATCCCAAATCCTTCCAAACCAGCGTGCCCGGTAGGCGGCAGGAAGCGGGGCGACCGGCCTCCCCGTACGTGACCATTTATGGTCACCAGGCTTTCCAGAAGGATCCGCAGAAGATGTTATCCATTCCTGAATTATTCCAGCGTTCCCGTCTGTCACGTAGGAGACGGCGGAGCTGCGCTCATAAGAGGTGGAAACAAAACAGAGGAACATGTGGAAGCTCTCGGTACAGATTTAGAAAAATAAGAAATGTCGGCTTTTGGGCTTCGATCATCGATATAGAAGTAGAAGGTACTTATACGCAGTCCGTGTATTTCACAAAATAACCTCACTCCTCCGGTCCGAAGCACACTTCAAATCATCACAACTCTCCCTTTAAACCGCTGTGTGCCCTATGCGGCCTTATGGGAGCACGCAGAGATATAAGGGTTCATACGCAGGGGCCTTGAGAGGCCTTGAGGGGCCTTGAGGGTCCTTGAGAAGTCCCTCGTCGTCCTTCTGAGTGCGTCCTGCTTGTTGGAAGAAAAGGATAATGTGGTTTGTGCTTAGTGAGGGCTGGGTAGTGGGTTGAGTGTTAATACCATGAAGAGCATGTATCTGTGTAACAGGCTGTTTAACATCTGGATAAGGATTGACCTTCATGACCTGCTGGGTCAGCGTTTATTGGGTCACTCTCGCTCTTCTGCTTGCTCTCCCTCACCAGCAGGCTCATCGGTTAGGGGTGTTTTGCTGGTAAAACTCTCTACTAAGCGCTAAACGTAACACGAATACATTAGGCACACGTTTAGAGATTACCCACGATGCATCGTTGACATGCTACGAACACAGAGACGTGCTCGGACTTATTTTGTTTTCGGCGGGTTTACGTCTCGTCTTAAAGTCCTCTTCTCCTCATTAGTGGTTATTTTTAGCTCCACTCGGTTAGAGTGGAGCTAAAAATAATGAGATGCTTCTTCATTAGACCGAAGCGACATCAAACAGAAAGACTGCAGCTCTTTTATTCTCATTAAAGTCTGGAAAGGAGGCTGACGGCTTCATTGATCCACTTCAAACATGGGGAGTCGACAGGGGGGTTCCTGATGGGGAGGGGTGCACGAGGACCGCTTTAATAGTCCCTTTAGAGCTACACCAGCTCCTCTCCAGCTCCTCATCATCTCCTCTCCAGCTCCTCATCATCTCCTCTCCCAGCTCCTCTCCAGCTCCTCATCATCTCCTCTCCAGCTCCTCTCCAGCTCCTCATCATCTCCTCTCCAGCTCCTCATCATCTCCTCTCCAGCTCTTCTCCAGCTCCTCATCATCTCCTCTCCAGCTTCTCATCATCTTCTCTCCAGCTCCTCTCTAGCTCCTCTTCAGCTCCTCATCATTTCCTCACCATCTCCTCACCAGCTCCTCTCCAGCTCCTCATCATCTCCTCTCCAGCTCTTCTCCAGCTCCTCATAATATCCTCTCCAGCTTCTCATCATCTCCTCTCCAGCTCCTCTCCAGCTCCTCTCTAGCTCCTCACCACCTCCTCTCCAGCTCCTCACCATCTCCTCACCATCTCCTCTCTAGCTCCTCTTCAGCTCCTCACCAGCTCCTCACCAGCTCATCACCAGCTCTTCTCCAGCTCTTCTCCAGCTCCTCACCAGCTCCTCTCCAGCTCCTCACCATCTCCTCTCTAGCTCCTCTTGAGCTCCTCACCATCTCCTCTCCAGCTCTTCTCCAGTTCCTCATCATCTCCTCTCCAGCTTCTCATCATCTGCTCTCCAGCTCCTCATCATTTCCTCACCATCTCTTCACCAGCTTCTCTCCAGCTCCTCATCATCTCCTCTCCAGCTCTTCTCCAGTTCCTCATCATCTCCTCTCCAGCTTCTCATCATCTGCTCTCCAGCTCCTCTCCAGCTCCTGTCTAGCTCCTCTCTAGCTCCTCACCACCTCCTCTCCAGCTCCTCACCATCTCCTCTCTAGCTCCTCTTCAGCTCCTCACCAGCTCCTCACCAGCTCATCACCAGCTGTTCTCCAGCTCCTCACCAGCTCCTCTCCAGCTCCTCACCATCTCCTCTCTAGCTCCTCTCCAGCTCCTCACCATCTCCTCTCTAGCTCCTCTTCAGCTACTCACCACCTCCTCACCAGCTCCTCACCAGCTCCTCTCCAGCTCCTCACCATCTCCTCACCATCTCCTCACCATCTCCTCTCTAGCTCCTCTTTAGCTCCTCACCATCTCCTCTCTAGCTCCTCTTTAGCTCCTCACCAGCTCCTCTCCAGCTCCTCACCAGCTCTTTTTCAGCTCCTCACCAGCTCTTCTCCAGCTCCTCACCAGCTCCTCTCCAGCTCCTCTCCAGCTCCTCTCTAGCTCCTCTCCAGCTCCTCACCATCTCCTCTTCAGCTACTCACCAGCTCCTCACCAGCTCCTCTCCAGCTCCTCACCAGCTCCTCTCCAGCTCCTCACCAGCTCCTCTCTAGCTCCTCTTCAGCTCCTCACCAGCTCTTCTCCAGCTCCTCCAAGTCCTCCAAGAAGCACACCTTCACATTGAAGAAGAGGATTTACACGTGTTATGAATTGTTATGATCCCTCGCTGGTTCATGTGTTAAAAGGTTTCGTCTCGCTGCGTCGGGATGATTCCGCTTGTTTTAATCCTCACGCTGAACCGCAGCAAAGACTCATATTTCTCTCGTAAATTATAATCTTTATCTTCTCACTAATCCCTCTAAGTGTGAAATATCCAGAATGTAAGCGTTCGCATTTTTTAATAATTGGGGATCATAACGCAACTTTTTTCTCAGTCTAGCAGCCAAACCCCACATGTGAGGCTGGAGACATTTTCAGAGATAATCTCTCATGTTTAGCAGAAGAGACTATAATCCATTTTCACAGCTGAAACTCGCAGCCAGGATGTATTTTGTGGTGAAGATAAAGTTAAAAATATAAAACCTCTTTCAATTAAAATATAATAGTATATCATTCAAATGAGAGACCATAGAATAGTATTCTGTTTAATGAGCAACCTTTGCAATTAAAAAAAATGACAAATTCTGACCGTCCTTTTTTGTGGTAAAGAGTGAAGATGATGAAGATTAAAAAACGTGTTGAATCTGAAGGACAGATGTTGATACCTGGTTGATGGTGTTGCTGTTGAGGAAGATTGCAATGATGATGATGGTGATGATGTTGATGATGATGATGAAGGTGCCCCTCTCCCCCCCCCCGCTCAGAACACGTACACTAATGCAGACAAGCTGTTGGAGGCCGCCGAGCAGCTGGCTCAGACGGGCGAGTGCGACCCCGAGGAGATATACAAGGCGGCCCGGCACCTGGAAGTCCGAATCCAGGACTTTGTCCGCCGGGTGGAACACAGGAAGCTGCTGCTCGACATGTCCGTGTCCTTCCACACACACACCAAGGAGGTGGGGCGCACACACACACACACACACACACACACACACGCCCAGACATCAAAAGTGCCTCAGAGTTCCGTACAATTGAATTATTAATCAAAAACTTTCTGCGAATTATATGTTGAAGTGCAAAAGGACATACCGCCACAATTTGTGGAGTTCTTTTCGTGTCGTTTTCTACATCCAGTCATTTGAGACCTTGTGCTCATTGGGAGAGTCCCCGCTTCTAGTGACGCGTCTCCGTGTGTGTCCGTCCCCGTGTGTCCAGCTGTGGTCGTGGATGGAGGAGCTGCAGAAGCAGCTGTTGGACGAAGTGTGCTGCGACTCAGTGGACTCGGTGCAGACTCTGATCCAGCAGTTCCAGCAGCAGCAGACGGCCACGCTGGAGGCAACGCTCAACGTGATTAAAGAGGGAGAGGAATTGATACAGCAGCTCAGGTAATAATTCCATTCCCATAGAAATGGTGTTCCGAGAGGGAAGGATGTTAATATTCATAATGTTATTAAGCACGGAGATGGATTCATCTCCTCAGGTAATAATATTTATACTTAAAATGTCATTAAAAAGTAATTTTCATTCAGCCACTCAAGGAAGACAGATTACCATATTAAGTACGGATTAATGTGTTTGTAATCATTTTTTGTTTGCTATTTTTAAAGGACAATACAATAATAATAGTTGTGAGGGAAAAAACTTCAGTTGAAGTGTGAATGCGGATCCACGTCTGCATTAACATTAACCATTTAAAAGTAAATTATGAAGAGAACAACATTGTTGGGGTAAAGGCAAGAGAATGAAACGAAATCACATGACAGCCTTTAAAACCGGGGAAAAGAGATATTATGGATAAAAACAAGCGCTCCTTACAGCGAGGGAGGGCTTGTGTTCGGGGCCCTTTTTGCTGCATCGCCTCCATCCGTCTCTCTTCCTCTATCCACAGAGATGCAGCCATGTCGACCAATAAGACACCTCACTGCAGTTCCATCGCACACATCCAGGGGGTGCTGCAGCAGCTGGACGAGGCCCAGGGCCAGATGGAGGAACTCTTCCACGAACGCAAAATCAAGCTGGACATCTTCCTCCAGCTCCGCATTTTCGAGCAGTACACCATAGAGGTGAGAGGGCGTGAGCGTGTGTCGGTTCGATACCCCGGTGGACTCACGCGGGTTCCCTCTGGGAGCCCATTTGGATCTGCTGGGAGCCCATTGGGATCTGCTGCGGAGTACCGCAGAGCTCCGCTTTAGGTCCCCAGTTGTTCCTCCTTTTGCTCGAGCAGCAAATTACTGTTGGTCAACTTTTGGTTGAAATATTTCCGCCACTCTGAAGGCTCCTGAAACCTAGAAAAGATGCTTAACATGCTTTTGATTATTTTTAATGAGGCCACCAATGATGCACAGAAAATGTGTTTGCAGTCAGCGCCACGGTCTAGGAATTTTATACAAAATTCAAACAAGCTATCCATCGTCAAACCACTTATCCTGCACACGGGAGAGGGGGGGGGGGGGGGGGGCCCTCCCCGCCCACTTTAGGGGAAAAACGGGGTTCACCCCGGATTGGTCCCCAGCCAATTCTGGGAATAACACAAAAACCCATGAACATCACACTCACATTCACACATCTACGGGCAATTTTGAGTCCCCAATTAACCTGATCCCCAGAGCATGTCTTTGGACTGTGGGAGGAAGCCGAAGAACCCGTGGAGAACCCACGCAGACACAGGGAGAACATGCAGACACAAAAAGGCCACTGGGTGGAGTGGAACCCGGGACCTTCTTGCTGTGACCAGTGACAGTGCAAACCACCACGCCACCGTGCCGCCTCAAACAAGCGATCGCCTCAGACAATTATTCCTAGTTGGAACGTTGTTGGGATTTAAACCCTAAATATTAGAGTATTGTGATACGCTCACAGAACAACCCGATGAGGAGCTCTCGCTCAAAAAGGTTGTTAAAAATTAAGCAGCCGCTGATAAGAGCTAATTAAAGCCAGAAACTTCCACTCCTGCAGGTCACGGCGGAGTTGGACGCCTGGAACGAGGATCTGTCTCGTCAGCTGAGCGACACCGGCCGATCGGGCAGCGGCTCGGGCAGCGGCTCGGGCAGCGGCGGAGGCGGAGCCTCGTCGGCCGGCGCGGAGGACATCGGCCTGGCAGAGCAGCGGCTGAAGCGCCACGCCGAGAGGAAGGCGGCCATGAACAACATGACCTACGAAGTGATGCAGCAGGGTCAAGACCTGCACCAGTACATCATGGAGGTCCAGGCCTCAGGTAGAACACACACACACACACACACACATACAGCGGCTGCTCTTTGAGTTTAATACATGATACAGAAGATACTACTGAATACTACTACTGAACCGAGAAGTGACGCATTTCATGTTCATTTCCACTTAGAATATCGATTCCATCAAAGGAAAGCATTGTGTACAGTAAGTGGTCAAACCGCTTTTCCATTTGGATATTATCCAGAAACGCCTCTAGGAGCATAACGCGCCTATAGTGTGTCCTTTAAAACCAGCAGCCACAGATTACTTACCCAGCATGCATTGTGTTCACGCGCCACATCGTAGTGCATCTAATGAGCCAACAGGAGCTTTTGCAGAACACGGCAGAGCGTGTTCTGGGAGGGTTGGTGTCGCCGTAGGTACGCTGCACGCGCTTTCATGGGATCCACATCTGGATTTACAGCTGTGCTCTGAGCAGCGAGGAGGAGAGGGAGCCCCGAGGCTTTGGCAGTACCGTGAAAATTAAAGCACAAAGAGAAGCGTGTTGGGAGGGACGGGGAGAGAATTAGGTGAAATAATCCTCATACAACACACACACACTCAGCCCATCCCCTGGCAATAGTTACCGGACTCGAGTAGAGAGAGACCCACACTAATTGTTATTCAATGCTTCAAAAAGTCAAACATCTGCAGCTCAGACGTGAAAACCGTGTAATATGGATGAAGTAATCTGCTCCAGTAGAGGATCAAATAGGCGTTTACTCGTCATCGTGACCTCACCCTCTGAATTGTGAACATTTGAGTTCCTAGTCTGGAGTCTGTTGCTGAGGACTCATTGCTCCCCAAGCTACTCGCTGTGCCGCTGATATCCGCGCTTAGCTCAGCATCAACGCTAGACACACCTCCACAAAAGGGATGGTTTGTTAATCCTGCCTTTACAGAGCTGCACGGGAATTAATACGAACGAGATCATCCAAAACATCACAAAACCCTCCCCCATCCGTCCCTGGAGAGGACTGTATTTGGCCCGTAACGAACGTGACCCTCACACCTTGTGTGTGTGTGTGTGTGTGTGTGTGTGTGTGTGTCTGTGTGTGTGTGTGGCAGGCATCGAGCTGACGGGGGAGAAGGACATGGACTTGGCCTCTCAGGTCCAGGAGCTGTTGGAGTTCCTCCACGAGAAGCAGCAGGAGGTGGAGCTCAACGCGCAGCTCACGCACGCGCGCCTGGAGCAGATCCTGCAGCTGCGCCACCTGCAGGCCGAGGTCAAGCAGGTAGGTCGTCACGCCCCCCCCCCCCCCCCCCCCCCCCGGGGGGATATATTCTCAGAGAGACACAGAATCCTCTTTTTATTTATAAAGAAATATACACAAAAAAGAGAGGGCTGTCTTCTCCCACGCGTCGGGAGAGAGAAAGCACCCCAAAAAGAAAACAATACGATCGGATTTTATTATTAGAAAGAAGAAAATCTCATTTGAAATGACGAGAAAAACACGCGGCCAAAGCCGAGGAGACGGGCTCGTGGGTCCTGGTTGCAAAGACGCTTCTGCAGACGGGAATGTGAACACGATGTTGTTGGAGACAGGAAGCACGCTGCTGCTACAGATGGATCCAGCTGAATCATTTATGAGCTTTATGGCGACGTGCTAACAGCCCGCACGCACGCACACACACACACACACACACACACACACACATCTCTTCTGCTGCACTCTCACCCTTCCTTATTAACTGTAATTTGCCTTTCCAGAGTTCCATAAACAAACGAAAAGCAATTAGCATTACTAATGTGGGAGGGTTTAATCTCAGCAGTCCGGCTCATAAGTGAAAACATGAGGCGTGTTCTAGGCACCGATCACCTTCACCTTCTGGATCGCTCACTGGACGTTCTGCAGTCGGAGGAGCCCTCTGGTGGCTCAATGTGGTCACTGCGGATTCTACAGGTTTAGGCTCCATTCCAACAATATGCGGTGGTCTAATATTGGCTCAGGAGTTCATTCACCGCGGCTCACCCTTAGGAAAAGCTGCCGCGCCACCGATCCTTCTTTAAGGCGGTATGACATCATACCACGCCGGGGGTTCAAGGACCTCGCCCTTGACTCGCCTGGGATCCCTGCTGTCCGTCTTGAGCTTCTTTATGGCGACTATGATGCTACCATGCTTCCTTTCTCGTCTCCTTTGGCGTAGGAAACACTTGAGCGCCCTCTACCAATGCAAAGCAGGGGAATGCCGTCCCACAATCCCTTGCAGCAGCCCATTTCTAAAGGGACACAGCGTTCGTCATTTTACGCTATGGATGAATTAAAAAACTTCCATGGATGTGTGGTTCGGCTTTGGATAGAATTGTACAACGAGAGGTTGGGTTCTCTCTACGCTCACTTTCCTTTTCTCAACTTCTCCTTCACCTCCTGCTGCTCCACGAAGTGTCGGATGAGGGACACGGATTTGAAAGAACGCTCATTCCGGTGTCCCTCATGTCCAGCTGCTCCGTGGATTAAGTCAGTCTGTCAGTGTGGATTTTATTCTCCTGGTCCACCCAAAACAACCCGTTCGTCTTCGGACAGGAACCCCGACGCCAGTCGTTTGTAAAATCCCAATGTAACTCTTGTGTGTCTCTCTAATAGGTGTTGGGTTGGATCCGTAACGGGGAGTCCATGTTGAACGCCAGCATGGTGAACGCCAGCTCTCTGTCTGAGGCCGAGCAGCTGCAGAGGGAGCATGAGCAGTTCCAGATGGCCATAGAGGTACACGCACACACACACACACACACACACACACACACGCACCCCAATTATCGCTGCCCGGACCAGGCTTACTGTACTTGAGTCATAATGATTTCAGCGTGCATCAGGTTTGAATAGTAGCAGATGAGTCTCTGAGACACACACACACACACACACACAGTGTGGACCAGGCCTCTGTAATCATTTGATTCTGTATTGATTTTGAAGAGAAACAGATGCTCACACATGTGGTTTGTGTGTGTGCGTGTGTGTGTGCGCGTGTGTCACTCCTGGCGCTCCTTTTAAAAGTTGACTCCAGAGGTGTGTAAGCACTCACAGGGAGTAGAAGAAGGCTGTTGGTCAGCACTGTTCTACGCGCACACGCACGCACACACACACACACACACACACGCACACACACACACGCACACACACGCACGCACGCACGCGCGCGCTACACTGAGTCCAGCATCCTCCACCAGACTGATGTGAAACACACACATGAATAATAAAAGTCGTACATTCGTGTTTTAGAACGTTGTTACGTTTAAGCAAAGGAGGCGGGGCCTGTTTGGAGTAATGGAATGTAACAGACTTCATAAAAACACCCCCCACCAGGGGCGTGGCCACGGCCACCATTGGTCAGAGAATGGCCACCCTGCCCCCCTCCCACCCCCCCCCCCAACCTCACGCCACGGCAAAAAAAAAAAATGTAAATACAAAAAAAAACTCCTGAACAGAAACGGTATAAAGCTGAAATAAATGCATTAGTATTGTTTTTATCAAGTTGTCATTTGTCACTTATGCTACAAGCCCCATATTGATTTTACACTTTAAACGATTCTCCATCACAAATTGCCGGATTAAGAGTGTTATTCTTTTACAAGAAAGCATTGCCTTCGTATTTGTAGAGGGAATCAAGAATAGACGGATAAAAAGTGGCTGTTGGTTTTAGCCGAATTGAATCCTTTGCTTCTGTCAATCACAGTAAGCCCCGCCCTTAAGCCGCCCCTGCTTTATGTTCTATTTGACTCTAGATGGTCCGTCATTTACAAAACGAACATCGTGGGGTTTGCAGAAAACCGGCTTGAATTTGCATGTGTGTGTGTGTGTGTGTGTCACGAGTTAAATGAGAGAAGAGCGGCTAAAGGCTAATGAACCAATGGTTATCGCCTCCTCCTCCTCTCCCTCCAGTCTCTCTTCCATGCCAACTCCCTCCAGAAGACCCATCAGAGCGCCTTGCAGGTCCAGCAGAAGGCTGAGGTGAACTCCTGCTCTTCGCCGCCGCCCCCCCCACTGAGTGCCCTGCGTTATCCTGCTCACTGCATTCCTGAATGTCTCCATTCCCTCCCCTCCTGCTCCTCCTGCTCCTCCTGCTCCTCCTGCTCCTCCTGCAGATGATGCTGCAGGCAGGCCACTACGATCCGGAGGCGATCCGAGGCTGCGCGGAGAAGGTGGCGGTTCACTGGCAGCAGCTGATGCTGAAGATGGAGGACCGGCTGAAGCTCGTCAACGCGTCGGTGGCCTTTTACAAGACGTCCGAACAGGTCTGACACACACACACACACACACACACACACACAGACGCGCACGCACAAAGCCGTGTCCGGAGGCCGGGGCTGACCCGTGGCGTGGCTGCAGGTGTGCAGCGTGCTGGAGAGCCTGGAGCAGGAGTACCGCCGCGATGAGGACTGGTGCGGCAGCCACGACAAAGTGGGAGCGTCGGCGGACTGCGAGCACCTCCTGCCTCTGATCAGCAAACATCTGGAGCAGAAAGAGGCTTTCCTCAAGGTGACGTAACGAGGAGAACGCACGCCAACGTCGCACGGCGTCAAATATACAAGTCTGATGAGATCACCGGATAATTAAAGCTAAAACCACTTGGCTGCAATGCTCATACAACTTTAGAAGGACTAAGATAATAATAAATGATTCTACTGAACACTCGCTGTAGCTTGATATCACTGTTGGCGACGGGAGGGGGGCGGGGCCTCTGAATGGTCGAGCGTCGGCTGGCGTAAGCAGCGTGACTCTGTGCCGCAGGCGTGCACTCTGGCCCGGAGGAACGCAGAGGTCTTCCTGAAGTACATCCACAGGAACAACGTGAGCATGCCGGGAGCCGCCGGCCACACCAGAGGGCCCGAGCAGCAGGTCAAAGGTCAGTGCACACACATATGTGTTATATGACGTGTGCTGCGTGTTCACGGAGGACGCTCACGTAACCGCGGCTGTGCGTTCTTGTGAGCAGCCATCCTCAACGAGCTGCTGCAGAGAGAGAACAGGGTCCTTCACTTCTGGACCTTAAAGAAACGGCGGCTGGACCAGTGTCAGCAGTACTTGGTGTTTGAACGCAGTGCCAAACAGGTCAGTGTGTGTGTGTGTGTGTGTGTGTGTGTGTGTGTGTGTGTGTGTGTGTGTGCGTGCGCCTTCTTTAGGGAAAGAAAAGGGAAATAATTCTGGCTGGATCACGGCTTTGGGGGGAAATGTTCAGCACTGAAGCGACATCTGGTTTAAATCATCAGCTTTGTCTGTTGTGCGCGTGTGTGTGTGTGTGTGTGTGTGAACGCGCAGGCGTTGGACTGGATCCAAGAGACGGGTGAAGTTTACCTGGCCACACACACGTCCCCCGGTGAAAGCGGCGAGGAAACGCAGCAGCTCCTCAGCGACTACCGTCACTTCAGACTCACCGCCAAGGTACAGCGTGCGTGTGCGTGTGTGTGCGTTTGTGTGCGCGTGTGTGTTTTATTGACCCGCTGAAGAAGCCAAACCGGTGGATGTCAAATGTATTTTGTGGATATTTGCACTCGTTGTGAGGCCTGATTACTCTGAGAAGGTTTAACGGTCGGCTGCGTCTCTTTCCCTCGTTGCTAGGCAACCGCGGACCACAACCCCGACGGTCAATGCTACGGTCCAAACCAATGAAAACCAGAGTTAACAAACAAACAATGAGAATAAAATATACGAGTGCAACACTCAGCGAGATCATACCGGAAGTGTTCTGTTCGACATCGGCGAGTCCTCCACCGTGTCTGTGTTCTCCTTCCCACAGCAAACCAAGGACAAGGTGAAGCTGCTGATCCAGCTGGCGGACAACCTGGTGGAGAAAGGCCACGCCCACGTGTCGGAGCTGAAGCGCTGGGTCAGCGCGGTGGACCGCCGGTACCGGGACTTCTCGCTCCGCATGGGCAAGTACCAGGAGAGCCTGGAGAGGAGCCTGGGCGTGAGCTCCGAGGTGAGATGGCGCCCCGCGACTCTTGCGTTAGGCGCTCTTCTCCGCGTGTCGGGGGATTGTTGACGGCGATGCCGCCTCTGGTTCCTCCGCGCAGGACAACAAGGACCTGGAGCTGGACACCATCCCGGCCAGCCTCACGGACGACGCCGAGGTCAAACTGCGTGACCCCAACCCCGAGGTCAACGAGGAGAAGAGGAAGTCCGCCCGGAAGAAAGAGTGAGTGAGAGCGGTCTCCTGGTGTGACGAGGATTCCGTAGGACGAAAGATGGATGCGTGTTATGACCGGTTGCCCTTGGATACGCACAGTTCGGTGGATCCGGACGGGTCCGTTGCGTTTGTATCTATCGGTGCTTTTCAACAACGCTGTCGGTTAAGGCGGAGGACAGGACGGCGACGTGGGTGAAGCGTTGCCGTGGCGACCGCAGTGCAATGACACAATGTGTGGCAGAATTCCTGCAGTCTGATTCCTCCTCGGGACGTTTGCTGCGGTCTCCACCTCAGGTTCATCATGGCGGAGCTGCTGCAGACGGAGAAGACCTACGTCAGAGACCTCCAGGAGTGCCTCGAGGTAAGAAGGCCTGCTCCCGTTTGCTTCTGACGCCAAACAAACGTCTTCCCCCCCCCCGCGTTGCTCATCACGCGTCCGTCCGTCTGTCTGCCAGACCTACCTGTGGGAGATGAACAGCGGCGCGGAGGAGATTCCTCCGGGCATCGCCGGCAAGGAGCACGTCGTCTTCGGCAACATGCAGGACATCTGGGACTTCCACCACAAGTGAGCGACCGGCAGATGGGACATATTTCGCATCCCGTGAGTTCCTTCACGGCTCAGTTATCTAACCCTGTGCCTCTGATGGGACGTGCCTCGGTGTTTCTGTCCAGCATCTTCCTGAAGGAGCTGGTGAACTACGAGCAGCTACCAGAGGACGTTGGTCACTGCTTCGTCACCTGGGTGAGAGGCGGCCGCTCATCTTCCAAAGAGGAGGGCGGGCCTGAAAAGAGCACAACGTAGAATAAACCCCCTGGTCCTCTCTCCTCCTGTTTCCCCAGGCTGATAAGTTCCACATTTACGTGGATTACTGTAAGAACAAACCCGACTCCAGTCAGCTGATCCTGGAGCACGCCGGCTCCTTCTTCGACGTGAGTTAAAAAACCTTTTATTCCATCGGCTGGTCAGAGAAAGTGTGTTGTTCTCCCGCTCCACCAGCAGGTGGTGCTCTTTGATCACTGAAGAAAGTCTGTTAGATTCCCACCGTTCATGCTGCCCAGGCGTTTTATTTTTTTGCATCAGCGGTATTGGGCTGAACGTTGTCCCCGTGGGTTTTAAACAGGACGTTCAGCAGAGACGTGGACTCGCTAACTCCATCTCGTCCTACCTCATCAAACCAGTGCAGAGGATCACCAAGTACCAGCTGCTGCTCAAGGTACGACACACGCCACCCGCGCAAACACAAGGGGGGAGGAGACCTGGGGGAGGGGCAGGAAGGGCTCGGGGCTCATGTGCGCCGTCTTCCCCCGTCCCTCTGCAGGAGTTGCTGTCCTGTTGTGAGGAGGGAAAAGGGGAGATTAAGGACGGTTTGGATGTGATGCTCAGTGTTCCTAAGAGAGCAAACGACGCCATGCATCTGGCCATGATGGAGGGTGAGAGACCATTGCGTTACTTCTCTTCTGTGCTTCATACTGCCGTGCATCACGATCCATCCCACCTACTTACTTTCTGTGCGTTTAACCTCATTAAGTCCCAAATAGGACATGTTTATATTCCTGATGCTAAAAGAAATATATATATTCTGATGAGTCCGCATGCGACATTGGAGGGTGAGTCTTTCATGGTCTGTTTTTAAGTCCTGGTCCTCCTCCTCCTCCTCCTCCTCCTCAGGCTTTGAGGAAAACCTTGAGGTGCAAGGCGAGCTGATCCTGCAGGACAGCTTCCAGGTTTGGGACCCGCGCTCGCTGATCAGGAAGGGGCGGGACCGACACCTCTTCCTGTTCGAGTTCTCCCTGGTCTTCAGCAAGGAGATCAAAGACTCAGCGGGCAGAACAAAGTACCAGTACAAGAACAAACTGCTGGTCAGTGTGTGTGTGTGTGTGTGGACGTGACGTCCCTTCACTTCACGGCTTCCGCCGGCTCTCCTGACTGCGTGTGTTTGCGTGTGTGTCGTTCTCCCTCCCCAGACGTCAGAGTTGGGGTTGACGGAGCACGTCGAGGGCGATCCGTGTAAATTTGCCCTGTGGGCCGGAAGAACCCCCTCCTCCGATAACAAAACGGTGCTAAAGGCAAGGAAAGACCTCTCACTCACACGCCGCTGCCTGATTTAAAGGCACAAGTGGAGGTTGGCCCCCGGCATTAAGGCGCGTCGGTTACCCTGTGGTTCCCCTCCTCCAGGCGCCGAACATGGAGGCCAAACAGGAGTGGATTAAAAACATCAGGGAGGTGATCCAGGAGAGGATGACTCACCTGAAGGGGGCGCTGAAGGAGCCTCTTCACCTGCCCAAAGCACCGGCTCTGTCCAAACCCAGGAACAACGCCAAGAGGTAAAGTGGGGCCCGTCTAACTCGTCCGATGGGGCCGCGGTGCAGGACGTGACTCACAAAGGAGAAGAGAGGCCTGAGAGGGTCAGAAACGGTCAAAAACAACATCTCCATAATAACAAACAGGAGGGAAGAGTTCTCTCTGCAGCTCGAGGGATGAACTTTGTTAACTTTCATTTGTATATTTCTTTTTTTATCTTCCCAAACACAACCGTCCTCTTTAACAACGACTCCTTTTATTGTGTAAACACCACTTTCCACATGAAGTCATGCTGTGATCGCGTGTCTCCAGGGACGGGGGGGAAGACGGAGACAGTCAGGGAGACGGAGGCAGCCAACCGGACACCATCTCCATCGCCTCCAGGACGTCCCAGAACACCGTGGACAGCGACAAGGTGTGAGGCGCCTGTCACCTGTCGGGGGGGGGGGGGGGGGGGGGTGAATAACTTAAGAACCACAACTGTGGCCCGCGCTACGGGGGCTCCCATGGCGCTTTAAGGGGGATGAGGAGGGGCGGGGGCCTTTGCCAAGGGGAGAAAGACTGCGTGAAGGGTCAGCTCATGTGTGTGTGTGTGTGTGAGAGAGAAGAATCCTGCACCTTTCACCATGTGATCAAGAGGAGCCGCCAGCGATGAAAAGCCTCTTCCGGTTGTGTGCAGGGGGCCGCTCTGACGCCCCCCGCCGGCCAGCGCCTCGCGCCCAAGTAAGCCCGTCTGCTGCCTCTCATGTGGCCTCTTACAGGCACCGACGAGCAGCACGTTTCAACTGCACCTCGATCAAATCGCCCCTTTAGGCATTATTAAGCCCGGTGCCGCTCCACAGAAGCTGCTCATTGGACTCGTGTGGGTGTTTTTGTTTGAGCGTAAGTAGTAGAACTCCTTTGGATGGCATCTGGTTTCCCCGCTGATTGTTCTCCCGCTGTGGTCTTACACAGTGTGGCCTTTTTTTTTTACCCGGCGGGCTTCGCCCACACGCGACCCGGCCTCTAAATGTCAAACGCACGCACACGCGCACACACGGAGAAACACTCCACGAGAACGGCTGGAAGTGTGTGTGTGTGTCGCTCCTTCACTTCTTGCTCATGTTTTTCTGTTTGTCACAAATCCCAAGAGGAGATAAAGAGTCTGTCCTCTAACCAAAGCATTCATTACTCCACCTTTCTTTGTGGGCGCGTTGGTGTTCTGGTCCAGTTTGTTGTGACTAGGATTTAAAAGACTAAACCGGCTATTTTTGGATCCTCCTCTTTTGTTTTTGCTAAAAAACACGGTTCAAGGTTCTGCGTTTTTTCCCTTTGGATACGTTCCATATTTAAATCTTATTCATAGTTTTTCAAAAACGTTTTGGAGGAAAAGTTGTCTTCCGTCCCCCTTTGTGCGATTCGCTTCGCCCGGGCGTAATATCTCCAGTGCGGTTTTCATTGCGTTCCCATGGCGCCGCCGGCCCAGCGGGGATTTACTAGCGTTAAGCCGAGCGATTCCTTGTGTGTTTTGTGAGTGCAGGCGGCTTCCAGATAACGCTGTTTGTCGAGCCATCTGATCGGCCCGTGTGTGTTCAGCGCCGAGCTTCGCTTAGGCGGCACTTTGGGTTTAGTGTCTTTCTGCAGATGTTTTTCAATCTGAACGTAATCTGGGTTTAACCCCCCCCCCTCGTCAGCAAACATCGAGTAGAAGCGGTTTTGTTTCGCCGCTTGTGCGTCAAAATGACGACGTCCAACTCATTTTTTCTAAGTCAAATAAAAGGACACAAGCAGAGGTGCAGTCTGGGGATTAATGTCCCAGTTGTGAAACGTTCACTCAGCGGAGCTGGAGGTCACGTGACTGGAAGTGAGAAGCCCACTGGGCGGGAATTAAATAATCCCCCCCCCCAAAAAAAGAGCGGCATTTGACTCAAGATTTTACAATGAATTTGTTTAAAAACTCTCCCACTTCCTCACAAGCTCCCCGTCATGTGACTTCCACCGCCGCGATGATTCGTGCGTCCTCCGCACGTTCTCACCTCGCCTGTTTCGGCGTTTCGGGTTCCGATCCGTTCGACGGACAAATAGTTTGCGCCTCTGTGGAACGTGAGTGTTAAGCCCGCGGCCTCCTCTTGTCCCCCCTGGATCCGTCTCCCCTTGGTCCGTCTCGCCTCGACCTCGTCTGTCTCGCTCTCCTGGATGTGCACGCCCAGCGTCACTCCCTGCACGATGCAACCCTCCTTCTCAACAGCCGACCACGTGTCTCCCCGTCTCTCCGTCTGCTACTGGCACAGTCAGATGTTCCACTGGCTGTCTGCGTCTGGCTCGTGTGCGTAGACAGGGTGGGACGCTTTGGTTTCTGGTGGTTTGTGCGGAGACGTTTTTAGTAAACGCACCCCCCCTCTTCTCTCTCTCTCTCTCTCTCTCTCTTCCCGCACTGTTCATCAGCTGTTGTTCAACAGAATAAATCTGATCTTGTCATCGTGCTGAAACAGTCCAGGGAGGTCGGACGTTTTTTTGTTTTAAGCGAAAGGAAACACTTTCGTGGTGGACACCTCGGGGCTTTTATTGTGGAAGGTGAGAGCCGGGCAGTGGAGGCTCACTGCCCTTTTCCATACTCTAAAGGAACAAAATCCAAAACCCGTTTGTTCCAACGCGGACCTTTTCCGGTCATGTGACCTCTTGTGGTCATGTGAGGAAGGAGCGCCGCCGCCGCGCGGTATCAAAAGGTCACGGCTCATTAAGAAGGCCCGCTCTGTCCCCGTGACCACGACGTGAGGACACGAGTTCTGCGTGGAGTGACGCGTTTCCTGTGTGAGTCAGCCGGCGGGTTCAGTCCGCGGCCTCCGCGTTATTTAAAGCGGCGTTCCAGCGGTCGACAGCCTGGCGAGCCCTCGTGGCTCCGCCGCAGCCCCGATGGAGCGCAGACCTCCGCCTTCGGTCGGAGTAAAACTTTGTTTTCCCGAGGGCCCGAACCAACAATCAGTAGCGGCACATTACTCCCGTTGGACCGGACCGGGGGGGGGGCGGGACCCTCAATCCATCGCTCTTCATTCAATCGAACCCTCCTTGGGAGCGTGTTAGCATGCTAGCGTTAGCTCAAAGCACCACAGTTTGAACGATCCGCCAAGTTAAAACGTTTAGAGGGAGACACTTGCTCCGCTGCTGCGGGGTCACTGCAGGTCAGAAATAAAAATAGTCACCCTGCGGTTCAGAGTCGGGCCCAAAACGTGACCCCGAACCCGGTTCATGTGGGAGGAATCAAGCAAACAAGAAGCAACAACGTCTCTATGGTGGAATGCATGTATGTGAGAATATGCAGGGGTTTTTTGTAGTCGGTAAGAGGGAGACCAGCACAGATCAGCTCCGCCTGGTCCCACGTGTCTCTAATGGCGCGCGGGCGTGGGGGCCGGGGAGGCCGCACGCGGGGACGCGCTTGCCGTCGCCGTCATGTGAAAGTGTCTAAAAGTAGTTCTGCGGCTGCCAAATCAAAAAGGGGGAATCTCCCTAATTCTTTGTCTGCATGGCGTCCGGAGGCTTGATGTAGATGTAAGATGTAAATAGATCCCATTCCTGCATTGTGCACATTAAACAACAACACCGCCTTTACTTTGGAGACAATAAATGTATAAATTGGAGCCTAAACGGCGTCTTTTTCCCGCATAGCAACAGGTTTTTTTTTTGCGTAGTTTGAGAAGAATGATGAAGTTCAGCGGTAAAATCAACTGGGCGGCGAAACCGCTAATTAAATGTTGACATCAATTCAATTTCGTTGGTTGAGATCCGCCCCCAGCTCGACGGTGTCCGGGGAAAGTCACGCTGGATGTAACCAAAGTTGAGCTTGAACTGTTGCGGCGACGAGCGATTGTTGACGTCCGTTTGTTCTCATGAATCGAAAGCATTCAGGGGCGAGTTCAGGCCGACGCCGCGCAGCAGCCATCTGCCGATCTTGTGACTTTTCTCTCTGTCACGCACACGCACGCACACACACACGCACACGCTACACCGACTTTTATTCATGTCAGTAATTCAACCCCTACCTTATCTGACCATAACCACACCTTCAACCATGTAATGATTTACACTATGGAGACGCTTTTTTTTTTTTTTTTTATTCCCATAAGGAATGTTATTCCCCCACGATGTCATAACCACACACACACACACACACACACACACACACACACATTGAGTAGTGGAAAGTGTTTAGTGCCCAAGCAGCTTCCAAGGAGTGACAGAACACACATCTAATACAGAGCTATAGCTGTTTGTTCAGAAAGAGGGCGTGTGTCTCTGTGTGTGTGTGTGTGTGTCTGTGTGCGTGTGGCGGAGACACAAACGAGGGAGTTGTCAAAGCCGGAGGGAGACGCAGAGAGCGAGACAGAAGAGGAGAGACATGCCGAAGTGGATGAGCTTTAAACTGTTCAAAGAGAGCAGCAGAGTGAGTACCACCGGGGGGGTTTCTGACGGAACCCAGCGGGGATCAGCGCGGAGCAGCTGGACGGTTGTGCGCGCCGGTTCGTTTGTCGGTGTCGGTCGGCGCGTTGAAGCGGAGAACGACCTCGACTGCTTGTGCTGCGGATTGAGCAGCGGAGGAAGCCGCTGGGGTCGCGGGGCAGCCGGTGTGCGCTCGCGCTCGCCGAGGCGTCCTTTCACCGTCACCCGGTGGGTTTAGGGAATAAATGAACGCAGCTTCCCAAATAATCACTGTTTAAAAAAAGAAAAGAAAGAGCAAATCTGTTCGTTTTTCCAGAACTTCATGTGAGGCGGAAAAGTGTTTTAAGGGATTCAAGGTTCAGATCCAGATCCTACAGGCTGATTTCCACTTAGCGTGTAGTAAAGCTGTGTGTGTGTGTGTGATTGTGTAACTGGGGGGGTTAATGGTTAAACAGGGTGTGAATGTGTGTGCAGGCAAACAGAATAAGAAGAACTGCCTGAGCGAAGGCTGTTTAAAACCTGTTATTCTGCTGTCCCCCCATGTCCCCCCATGTCCCCCCACGTCCCCCCACGTCCCTAGCGCTAACCAATGACACGCAGTAGCATTTACCACTTTGGGTTTGTTGAAAAGCATCACACCTTGTGTGTCTTTTTACCAGAAGGAGTTAGTGTTGGAGTGTATTTTTGCTTCATTGCTTCACCTCAATAATTTACCTGCAGCCAAACAGGAAATTATTCAGCAATTTGCAGATTTCTCAGTCGGGATGTTTGTTTTCATCACAATTGTTGTCATGAACAATGATAGAAAGAGACTTCAAAGCTTCCCAACTGTGCGGTTTCCTGTCAATGAATCTCCTCCCATTTTGCTCCAAAACACCGAGCTCCTGTTCAAAGCCCCCCCCCCCCCCCAACCCCCCTCCCCTCCTCACGGCGACCCGCGTCAGAGCGCCATGTGACCACAGCGTACGAGCACATGAGCACGGGAGGGGCGCTCTGTCCTCGGCGTCCCCTGAGGACTCAGAGTCAGACGGAGACAAGTGGTGAAGTGGATCTCGGTTGGGGGCAGCATCTCGCCGTCACAAAGGCCGTAAATGCCGAGGCGTCTCCTCCGCGTGGACCGAAGAGCCTGTTTGTGTTCACGTTCTCATCAGAAACGTGTCCTTTCTTCTGGATGAGCGGTCGGTCTGGATTAGACCAGCAGACCAGACTTCTGATCTCTTGAAGTTCACACATTGCTCAAACTAACTATGATGGCTCGTCTATTTCTGTTCAGCTGTCACAACGTCTGGAAAATATCTATCATTATCCCAACTCGTCTCTATTAGGTTTATTTACAGTATCTCCACAAAATATTAATTTATTTCCTATCTGCTAATGTTCAAGTCAACATTTTCTCACCCTTTTCCCCTTCAGCGTCCGTCTGTGTGACACGAGAGGAAACCAGCCGACTGTGTTTTGAATATTGTGACTTGTGAGAATACGACGCTTCTATCACTGGAACAAAATGTTGCCAGTTCTGCAAATGAGATTTATTTTCCACACGAGCATGCGCTGTCCTTATGTCAGCGGTCTCCCCTCCAACAGCAATATGAGCAATACGACGGCTTCTTTACCCTCCTCAGTCTTATTTTAAGGTTATCGATGTCGTCCAGTGCTTTTCACACGTCGCGTCACATTCTTAGCGGCCTCTTTGTAAATGTTATTGTGGCGACCGAACATGGCGGTTTTAATCAATGAATAACTTTCAGTTTGTTCACTCGCGCGCCTCAAACTCCCGAAGTCAGCAGGCGACGCGTGTGATGCGTCGGTTCGATGCCCGAATGCGGTCGCGTCAACGAGTGCACAAATAAACGCCGGATCCAATTCACGCGGCCTGTCTGCACCGTGTGTGTGTGTGTGTGTGTGTGTGTGTGTGTGTGTGTGTGTCAGACCATCTGTCAGGTAAACTTACCTGCACTTTTTATAGAAACAGGGCTCCTCGTTGCTAGGAGATCTTTGGACTGGCAACGAGCAGCCTGCTTACACACACAAACACACACACACACACACACACCTCCGTCAGGTCAATGGGGAGCCGGCGAGGCCGACTGAGGAAGAGCAGGAGCTTCATTTACATCCCCTTATGTGTCGTTGCACATCGATTCATCGCTTACTTTTGGGCGTCAAATGGAGCATAATGTTTTTGTTTTGATTCGGCGGCGTAGTTCGACGTGCTCGACCTCTGCGGAATGCTCCCGTCACACAGCTGAAGATGTTCCAAGCGCAACATCTGCTGAAGGAAAGAAAGAAAGAGTTTCTTTAATGAATCCTTAATTCATTCTGAAATATCAGCCTCGTTGTTTGCGTTCCTGCGGAGATGAATGAATGAATGGGAGGTATTGAGGCGGTTCCGTTGCCTTCTGCCGTTCTTCTTTGTGAAGAGGGTAAAGGTCAACGCCCCGCTGTTTACCTGTTTACCCCCCTGAACCCTTTATGTCACGTCAATCATTTACTCTGAAGGCCGCGTGCTTGTTTACAGCCGCTGCTCCAGACGTGATCAACTGCGTGATTGTTGTGCTCGGCTCATAGCGACAATCACAGTTGTGTATTTCTGGCGAGATGTTTGACTTCTTTATAGGTAGACGGCATCCGGCTGAAAAACACTCCGGTAACCCTTTAGAACCGGTTTCCTTTCACTGGCATTGAGTTGCAGAGTTGCTGTTTCGGGGCCGTGTGATGCTGGTTGATGGCGTCTCGCTCTGCACAACAGTTCTCACAGATTAGAGCTCGGCCCCAAAGGTCAGGAAGTGTCGGCGTCCGTTGCCTGGCAGCGAGGATCCGCACACTGTCCCTTCTGTCCTCGGGGGGAGGAGGGGGCTCCCTCTGTGCTCGTAGGGTTCTCTGCTGCTCCCTCTGTGCTCGTAGGGTTCTCTGTTTATTGTGTGAACACGGATTAAGCGTCTCGGGGGGATTAAAGTCTAATCCTCTGTCTGTTCGCAGCTCTCTGGAGGATGCGAGCTGACCGTGGTCCTTCAGGACTTCACAGCCGGATGCAGCACAGAGATGTCCGTCAGCACCGGTGAGACAGACGCGCCCCCACACCCTCCCTAATAGAATAATAATATTTCTAAGTAAGATGCGATCGTCTGAGGTGGTTGATCCGCTTTCCCCTCCAGGCCAGACGGTGGAGCTGTTGGAGCGGCCGAGCGAGCGGCCCGGCTGGTGTCTGGTCCGGACCACCGAGCGCAGCCCGCCGCAGGAGGGCCTGGTCCCGAGCGCCGCCCTCTGCGTGTCCCACTCGCGCTCCAGCGTGGAGATGGACTGCTTCTTCGGCTCGGGGAAAGGTGGGAGAAACACAGAGCGGCGCGGCGTTGATTTCCTTTTTAATTGGACGACTGATCCGCACTGACCTCTGCTGGTGAGATGAGGGAGTTACACGCGAAATCTGACGTCCAGCAGCTTCAGGAGGACACCACGCAAGCCTATAAATCACAGCGATGTTTATTCAAATATTCACTTGGTCCTTAAAATAATGAGGCAGTAAAGCAAAGTCAAGGGGACCTTTCAAAATAAATTCAAATAATGACTTATCTTAAAACAATGATATATTACGTTACTTTGTAATTGTAATTACAATACATATCGTGAAACAGTATTAACATAATAGTATATTAATAGAGTTATTCAGCAAATTGTCTCTAAATTCATATTCACATTGAAGTGCTCTGAGCAACGATGCAAGAAGGTTCTGCTGTGACTTTTGTTTTTTTCAGTCTCCTTGTTGAGGGACGCCACTAACAGGTTACCATAGTTACACACACACCCCTGCAGAGGGCGCTGTCGGGTCGCGTGGGGCCATTTAGCTTTCCAGTAGCTTTCATCGGTAGCTTTTGGGGAAAGCAAATACCACAGTGTTATTATCCTATGATCATCTTTGCATTCCAGTAGCCGTAAACGTCCTCCCAGAAACACACACACACACACACACATGCACAGACTCACAGGCTCTCGTAGTGTAACTAGTATAACTGGCCGCCCTGGTACAGTTGCGTCACGTGTGGGTGATTCCTCTCCACCGTGGACACGCACACGCTGGCGGATCAGCTGCTTTGCCTGACGCGCCGTGTTTTATGCTCTTGCTAATGAAAAGGATGTTTTGTGTTTCTGCAGAGAGATGCAAATGGGACAACAGCAGCCGTCACACAGGGAAATAAACTCACAGGCACACACTCACACACACGTATGTTTAAGACACACTAGACGGTAGAAAACGAAGCCGGCTGAAAAGATTAATTAGACGATTTCCCTCCACTTAAATTTGCAATTGACTGAATCCTGTGCAGAGAATCTAAACGCGTTGAATAGATTTAACATCAAATGTGAAGCTGTTAAATCTAAAGACAGAGGCCTCGTGTGATTGGTCGATGAGGCCGATGGGTCTTTAATTAGCTCTCCGTTTGTTAATGAATGGGTCCATGTGGCTTCTTCCCTCCGTGTCCCCGGTCTCGTGTCTTGTGACTGGTCTTTGTTGTCCTCCCAGAGAGGCTGTGGAGACACGGAGGACTTTGACTGAACAGATGTGTCCCGGTGCAGTTTGTAGGTCCCGTGAAGGAGGGCCGAGGCTTCTACTGTGCTGGGGTCGCTCTCGCTTCTCTTTGACGTGGACAAAGTTTGTCCTCTTGTTTAGGACGTCGCTGCGGTAGAAAGACCTTGTGAGTCTTTAAGGCGCCCTGCGGGTGGTGTGCGCTCACAGCGGCTGTCGTTGGGTGTTATTTCCTGCTGCAGAACATCAGCCGAAGTTCATTTGTGTGTGAAATGGGCCACTGCAGGAGGACGCACGATCATTAACCCCGACTTCTGTCCCAGACAGAGGGTAAGGGAGCGTGTGTGTGTGTGTGTGTGTGTGTGTGCGCGTGCGTGTGTGTGTGTGTGCGTGTGTAGGCTCCGCCTCTGTCTCCTCCTACCTGGTTCCCTCCCTCCGAGGTGAATGTCAGCAGTGTGGACCTGAAGCTGCCGGCGTTCACACGCCCTCAGTCAGTCACTCCGTCGGCGCGACCGGCTTCAGCAGTTTGAGTCAGGCGGCCCGAACCAGAGGGAGAGGTGTGTGTGTGTGTGTGTGTGTGAAGGATGTGTGCGTGAAGGAGGATGAAGCGACATTGCTGTGGATGGATCCTCAGCCGCTGCTGCTGCTGCTGCTACAACAACACAGGTGGGCCACTTGTGTGTGTTTGCTACATGTGTGTGTGTGTGTGTGAGTGTGTCTATTGTATGCTTGAGATGTTTGGTCAGTATCGTGTGTGTGTGTGTGTGTGTGTGTCCTTCATCGATGACAAACACAGAGTATATAAACAGTGGTGCCGTACGGGAACAGAAAATGAAGACTTTGTGAGTCAGAAAGTTGTGTCTTACAGAGACAGTTTCTGTCTTTGTCTCGGTGGAGAATGTTCGATTGCGCAATCAGTTTCCCACAATTAAGTCATCCTCTGCACAAGGTGTGTGTGTGTGTGTGTGTGTGTGTGTGTGTGTGTGTGTGTGTGTTGGAGCGCAGCCGGTTATGCCAAAGGCTTAAAGGCGTCTCCGCCGCAGTGGTCTCTGCAATCACTTCCTGAACCCCCGCGACCGTCCCCACGTCTCTGAAGGACCCGCCACCATGTCCCCGGGGGACATGAGCGGTGGGCCGGGCGTCCTGCAGAGGACACACTGTATCAGATGCAGGACCCTGCCCCGTCGGCCCAGATCCTGATGGATCTGTATCAACAGGTTCTGTCGTCATGGATACCAGTTCACCGTGGGAACGGAAGGTCCCGGGTCCTGCAGTCTTCTCCGCGAGGGACTGTGGCGTTTGTTTGAGTTTCGGGTCTGTGCTTGGTTGGTTTTGGGGGGGCGGGTGCAGCAGTGGGTCCTGCAGTGGCCCATTTCACACACAAATGAACCATTAGAGTCACTTTGTCGCGCTTTTCTGATCAGGGAGCAAGTCTGAGTATTTATATATTTCGGACAGGTCGTTTTGGTTCACTTAAAAAAAAAAAAAAGGCTTTGACAATCCCCTCACTTGGTGGTTATGGTTTTTATTATTTGTTACCCGACTCGAGATGAGAATCACTACTTTATTCAATGAGTTAAATGGGTGATATTTGAGTGGCATGTACACTAATACTGTCAAATACATGTTGTCAATAAGACTATTGGAGATGGAAAATGCCTTTTGTGTCTCCATCATGGAGGAAGTATTTCTCCCTCAAGCCCGAGGAGGACTGTTATCGCCTCAGTGCGTCTTTGAGAGCACGCGCATAGGTGTGTGTGTGCGCGTGTGTGTGCGTGTGTGTGCGCGTGTGCGTTTAACCGCGGCCCGTGTGGACCGGCGGAGGACTTTGAGCCTGCAGTGCCGGGTGGTTTGCAGCTGAACTGGTTCCACTGGTTCCAGCGACGGGTCCACGGTGAGGGCGCCGATCTGGGGTCGCTGCCATTGTTCGCAGAGAGGCGGCGTCTCCGTTTTCAAGAAAACAGAAACCTGTGGGACAGCCGAAGGAAGGACACGAAACTTGATTGCGACAGGAATTACAAATATGTTTGTCGATTTAACAGGCTTGGTTAGTTGAGTCTAATTCAGAGCAAAACATCTCTAGTGGATATACATATATACATATATACATATATATATATATATATATATATATACACATACACATATGAAATGAACAGCATTTTTTGCAGCGTTGTCTCTTCAAAATAAACCTCCGCCTTGGCGGGAAGTCTTAACCCGCTTGGTGCTGACTTGTCAAGTTTATTTGCTCAGTCAGCGTGATGTTGTGCGTTTTTTTTTTTTTTTTTTTTGTGAAATAGGTAAGGCGCAAGATCGAGCGAGGTATGAGCGGAATTTGCCCCCCCTCCAGATTACTGTCCCTTCTGGTCATGGAGTGAAAAGCATGATGGGAGGAGAGCGAGCGGCGAAACACGACTGCAGTACTTTTCACATGACTCATGTGTACTTGCCGTACCACGTAGCGCTGCACTGGTTTCATTTTTGTGTGTGTGCGCGTCTCGAGCACAGCGGCTCTGAGTTTCAGTACTCTCTTATCAATGCAGGCATTCATAGACAAAGTGCGTGTGTGTGTGTGTGTGTGTGTGTGTGTGTGTGTGTGTGAGAGAGCGCGACCCCTGTTCTGTTGCATTCAGACCACTAGTTTGGTATCTATAGACCGGAGGTCAGATCTGTGTGTGTGTGTGTGATTAAAGCTACTGAGTGATGGGGATTCTCACAGTAGACCGTCTGTCTTTCTGTCGGCGGCTGAACAAAAGCTTCCTTGTTTGGTCTCACCTGACTTTGTCCGTCTGTGCGACACCGCTGTACTCTGAGTAGTACGTGTAGTGTGCGCAGTACTCCCTCCTTCAAATACCTCCTCTTCAAAGAAGCAAGAAATACTCTTGGACCGAGCAGCCCAACGTGAAAGTGACATAAAGTGCGTCCTGCCGCGTTGAGTCAAGCGTTGAGTCTGGCTCTTATCAGTCGGCCCCGTCGCTCCGCTCAGTCGTGCGTCTCGGTCGCCTCGGCAACCGCCGTCGCCTGGTGACGCCTTTGCCTCCCTTAAAAAACGCGCGGCTGGAACAGCTCGATGGCGCTTCAGGGGGGGGGGGGGGGGGACTTGGGACCTACCAGTTTGTTTCAGCTTTTGCCAAAAGAGACGCCACGTTTTCCATCCACATCCAGTCTTTAGTGTAGTTTTATCCACGTATGTTTGGTAGATCCACTCAGCAGGACTACGTCTCCCTCTCGTGAACGCTACGGCGAATCAGAGGCCATTTTGTCTCACAATCTGATAAGGACTGAAACGGCTACCAGTGATCCGCGCCATTAGCCTGCGGCGCCAAGAAATGAGCCCATGAAGAGGCAGGTAGGGGAGACCGGTGACATTCGGGGGAAAAAGGGTGCAAGTAAAAGCATGGCTATGGTCTAGTGATCATTTATTTATTTCTATATAGTATCTATATATCAAAATAAACAAGCTTTTTGCAAGTTGTTGACCTGATGTGACTTGTAATACTTCCAAGAAGTGAAAGAGATTTTTATGAAATGTCTTTTCGCTGCCTGCAGCTCAACAACAGACATTTTTGTAAAAGTAGAAGACAGTCGGTTAGAAAGCACAAAGCGAGAGGAGGGAGGGAATAAATAAAGAGAAAGGAAGGTAAATAAAAAAAGAGGGCGGGACTTCCCACTCATGCATATTAGAGCGGGGACCCCTCGAGATACTGTTGACCCTTGACCTTCCAACACCACAGCAGCCGCTACCCACAGCTCCCAGCTGATCCACCCCTCACACACACAAACACACACACACACACACACACGGTCTGTTGTGTTAACAGAAAAGGCAACGATGCTTCAGGCCGGTCTGGTTCCAAATATTTTGATGTGACACGAGAGCAGCTGCAAAACCCGTTTTATTTATTTACTTTATTAAGCGGAAGACTCTTCTGGATCTGAGTTTCCCTTCACCAGATTCAAAACATGACGCAGTGATGTAAAAACGGGACAGGCAGGAGAAATGTTAGATCATCTCTACTTGCATGAAGGTCAGTTGTGGTCTTTCACAATAAAAGCCACTTCCATATTTCCTATCGAGGCTTTTCATCTTCCCACTGACCCCAACGGCGGCTCTTTTGCCTTCAAGCTCCCTAAACGGTTTGACTTATTTCAGAAAACTACACCGTCAGCGGCCCCGATGGAAAGACGGAGTCCGTGACCAACCTCCAGCCGCAGCCGTCCCTCAACTCGCTGCAGTCCAGCTCTCCGGGCCCCAAGCGCTCCACGAACACTCTGAGGAAGTGGCTGACGAGTCCGGTGCGCCGCCTCAGCCACGGCAGCTCCGTCAAGAAGCTCCCCGGCAACAAACAGAAGAAGGGCGGTGAGGGCTTCACCAACGCTCGCGCACCACGGGGGGGGGGGGGCGGCTTTGGCACACACATTGGATTTATTTGCATTGAATCTGTTGTCTTGACTTCAAGCAAACCTTTATCTTGAATGCAGGAACAGGAAGAGAGGAAAGCAGGAAAAGTATTGACCTCGGACAACCTGACCCGAACCAGCCGGATGACATCATCGATGAGGTAAGCAGTGATATTTATGGGGAGCGTTTCCTCCACTGAGCTTCCTGTCTTTTGATGAATTCAGAATAAGATGCCGTTCAGGAGGAGATTTTCTCTGATGGGAAAATGTGAATTACCTAAAATGATTCATTCCCTAAACCAGCTGACCAGCTGTGGATCTTATTATTCCTTATTTTCCATTTTAGAGAGCTTATCGTTTTTTGAGAATATATCTAACACGTTTTGGATGCTGCAGTACGTTTGCATCAGCCGTGTTTGTAGGCAAGGTTAAAAATACACGATCCAATACACCGAATGCAAATTGTCGAAACACCGTCGGGGCACGTTTCCTCGTTCAAAGGAGTGCGTTGCCTGCACACCCGATTTACGGCTCTCATCTGTTCCTGTACACAACGCCTCTGTGGTCAAAGGTAATCCATCGGCTGCCCCTCCCCGGGGGGCGCGTAGGCCGAGAGGTCGAACGGGGTCCTTCTCTGCACTCGGTCTTCTGCTACCCAGTGGGCCCAGTTTGGAGAAACCGATGGATCTTTAGACACTCGTTATATTTAGAATACTTCACTTTGTCGCCAGACTCCATGAACATAAACGGCCATTTCACCGCGCGGGAGACAGGAAAGGAAGAATCATGGTTTGTTTGTGCAACCAAACTGGAAATCAGTCTTTTATTTCCGCGTCGGACTAAAAAATAATAAGAAATATGACATACATTTTCTTGTTTTTGAAAATGTTTCTTCCCATGTGAGTCTTTCTATTTCTTTTCTCCGAACTCACTTCATTCTGTGTCAATTGTCACATTGAAACAATCAAATGACCATAACCACGAGTATTCCTTTATCTGTGATTCATCACGCCTCCACTCAACCACTTGACTCCGCATCCACCTGCTGCGTTGCTCATTCGAGGAAGTTTGACCAAGAAGGAGTCTCGGCCTTTTCGATCACTTTGTGCTTTTGATGAATGAACTGGATCAATGGTTGAAATGAGCAATCGTGGGAGAAATAGGACTTTTTATTTTGCATCTCTAGTTGAATTTTGTGTGTGTGTGTGTGTGTGTGATCCTCCAGGGGTCCCACGGTAAGGAGAGCAACCTCCTCTCTAGGACCCCCTCTGGGATGCAGAGCGGTGGGGAGGAGGAGCAGGACGAGGAGGCCCACAACCCTCTGCCCCCCCCCATGGAGATCATCAAGGACTCCTCGGCTCAGGACGACAAGGTGAGCCGGTGCACAGAGGGGGGGGGGGGCTAATGACTGGCTGCAACATCTGTCGAACCGCCTGCAGCGTTTCTCTTTGGTCTTTGAGCGTAAATACGAACCGCTCTCCTCTCTTTCTCTGCGTTTTTTCCCTTCCCGCCTTCTCTCCTTCACTGACCCTGCTGGTCTTCTCTCTCTTACCCTCTCAGTCTTCATCCTTGCTAACGTCTCTGCAGTCGTCCTCTGAGGTGCCCAGCGCCGCAGAGCTGGTTAGCGCCATAGAAAAACTGGTTAAAACCAAGATGGTGAGTGGGTATGATCGTGTGCGTTGGTCGTACACACGAGCAGTTTCACGCATTCAATTTCAATTTCAATGTGCCGAACCGGAAGTGGTAGAGAATCGTTTCTCTGCTTTCCTGAATGTGACTAATAATTCTGAAAAGTGGACGAGCGGGCGGCGGGTTCGCCCTCCTCTAAACGCTGCCCCTCCCCTCTTCAGACTCTGGAGCCCGGAGCGTACCCCGGCTTCTCGCCTCTGTCCCCACCGGAACAAACCACCGCCGTCCAGCCCCGGAACCCTGAGCTGGAGCAGAGAGCCAAAGCCATGAGAGGACGCATGTGAGTGCCATTAGCTCAACTGCCACAGCTGGTTCCATCACAACAGCTACTACTGTCTGTGCAAGGGTGTAGCTTCCACCCGCGGCCATTTGCTTCTGAGGGAACCTTGGTCAAACCCCATGTGTGGCTTGTGGACGAAAGCCTACAGTGTAAATGTTCTGGGTAGAAGCTCTTGAGGGGGGTTTTGTTAGCACCATTGTTTTTTCTTCAGCCGATTTCCCTGATTGTTCTGCGCAGGTTTGTCCTGAACGAGCTGATTCAGACGGAGAAGGACTACGTCAAAGACCTGGGCATCGTGGTGGAGGTGAGACACACAGCTTGAGGCGTAGTGGTTAAGGGTCAAAGGGATTTTAGATGGAAAAGGGCAATAATAACGCTGTTATTCCACACCGCGCAACAGTCCCACGGTATGTACAAACGGCGACCCCCCCTGAACACGGCGACCCTCTTTTACCCCGCAGTGCTTCATGAAAAAGATCGAGGAGAAGGGCGTCCCCGACGACATGAAAGGGAAGGACAAAATCGTCTTCGGGAACATCCACCAGATCTACGACTGGCACAGAGAGTAAGTGGGACTCGCGTGTGATGAAAGCTCTTTTGGACGTAGACGTAATGTGTGCAAAGAGCCCCGTTGGAAACGTCCCACCTCTGTCTCCGGCAGCTTCTTCGTCGGAGAGCTGGAGAAGTGCCTGGAGGACCACGAACACCTTCCTGAGCTCTTCATCAAACACGTGCGTGAGGCGTTGTGAGCGATGAGGGCGATGACCTTTGTGCTGTTGAAATGGATTTGACCCGGATGATGTTTGTTACAGGAAAGGAGACTCCACATGTACGTGATTTATTGTCAGAATAAGCCGAAGTCAGAGTTCATTGTTGCAGAATACGACACCTTTTTTGATGTGAGTGACATTTTTTGGGCTCTCTATGTCCATGCGAGATAAGCTGTTCTACTTTCCCATAAGTCAAAAATGGCATTTAACTGACCAAATGTACGTAAGAGGAGGACAAATGGATACAAATGAAGTCTTTTGTTTCGATAATCTCTTCCAGGCAATCCAGCAGGAATCCCAGTCCAGGTTTACCATCAGTGACTTCCTCATCAAACCAATCCAGAGAATTACCAAGTACCAGCTATTGCTGAAGGTATCATGCATGCTGGTTGTTGGTTGGAAGCAAAGAGGACCTCTTTATGTGCCTGACTATTGGTTGAAGTTGGAGTGTTAATGTTGCGTTCATGTTTCTCTCAAGGACTTCCTGAAGTACAGCTCTAAGGCCGGCATCGACTGCGAACAAATCGAGGTAAAATCTTGTGCGTTCAAAGACTCGTCTGAATCCGGGCGCTTTTTATTTTAACTAATTGTGAAACGTCTCCCTCTCTGGCTCCCACAGAAAGCGGTAGATTTGATGTCTCAGGTCCCTAAGCTGTGTAACGACATGATGAATTTGGGCCGGCTGCAGGGATACGAGGTATGTTTTCCTGTTCGGCACTCGGCCCGGTGCACCCTCCACCCGTCCACGACTGATTTCGATCAAACTGTGTTGACCGACCCCCTCTCTCTGCAGGGCAAGCTGATGTGTCAGGGAAAGCTGCTGCAGCAGGAGACCTTCTTTGTGATTGAGCAGGACACCGGCGTCCTGTCGCGCTCCAAAGAACGCCGGGTCTTCCTCTTCGAGCAGATCGTCATCTTCAGCGAGCTGCTCAGGAAAGGATCGTCCACGCCCGGGTACCAGTTCAAGAAGAGCATCAAGGTGAGCGGGGGAGAGAATATTAGTGATGCATGTTGTTAAAGGGCTGCTGATTCTAATTTAACTTTTGGAGTTAGAACTACATTTGCAGTCATTTCATTACATTTTATTACAGGTCATTTAGCTGACGCTTTTATCCAGAGCAACTTACATTGCATTTCTAACCCATGGTTTTTACATTTTTGCCCGGGGAGCAATTAGGGGTTAGGTGTCTTGCTCAGGGACACTTTGACGTGGGACATGGGGGAGCCAGGGTTCAAACCGCCAACCTTGCGCTTCCTTTCATTTTGTGTAGAGTAAATCCAGAGATTTTTGTCCACTTCAGCCAAGCATAAAACTGTGAAAATCTATTGTGTTATGCTGAAAATAAGTCTGGAGGACTAATTAAATGTCATGGGGAAAAAAAGAAACACTTAAAGAAATCAATACAAACTAGTTCATTTTGTTGTGAGGTGACTGAACCTTTAAGCTAGTCCTACCACCACTTCACCTCCTTCCTTCCAACCGCACAGGTGTGCTTCCTGGGTCTGGAGGAAAGCGTGGACAACGATCCCTGTAAGTTCGTCTTGTCGTGTCGCGGCTCGTCTGATCGCTTCACGCTGCAGGCCGCCAATGTCGACATCAAGCAGATCTGGGTCCGACACATCCAGGACGTGCTGGATGCTCAGAGCAACTTCCTGTCTGGTGAGGAATCAAGCAGGCAAAGTTTGGACAAAATGTCTAAATATGTTCGGTGAAAAAATGTCATGAATGAGTCTAAAAATATTAGGAGAAAAAATATCATGGAAAAATGCCAAAAAATATTAGGTCGAAAAATGTTTTGCAAAAAAATTCCAAGATATTAGGTCAAAAAACGTGTGGAAAAAAATCTAAATTATTAGGTCAAAAAAAGGTGTGGAAGTCCCAAAATATTAAGTAAAAAAATGTATGGTCGGGAAAAGATGGGTTGAAAATGTCCACAAATATTAGGTCGCAAAAAAATTGGGGGAAAAAAGTCCAAAAATATTAGGTCCAAAAATGTATGGAAAAAAAAGTCAGAAAATTTTAGGTCGCAAAATATTAGGTCGAAAATGTTTTGGGGAAAAAAAGTCTAAAAATATTGGGTAAAAAAATGTTATGCCAAAAAAAGTAATAAAATGTATAACTGATCTGCATGTGATTTTAGCTCTCCAGTCCCCCATTGAGTACCAGAAGGAGAAGGGCAGCAGCTCCTCGCTGAACAGAAACCGCTCGTTATCGGGGAACCGACCGTCCGTGGGGCATCACAGCCGCCCGTCGTCGGCGGTCGGGTTTGGTGAAAAGGAGGCGGAGCGAGGGAGGACCCCGATTAGGGTGTCTACCTCGAACGGCGGGTCAACGTGCTTCGAGTCCAGGGTGAGTTCCTGCAGACGGCCTTGACGGCTGGGGGTTCCTCAGGGTGTAGCTTTAAACTTGTGGCTCTGTTTCATTTTCCACTTTATTACTTAAAGACTGCAGCAGAAAGCGGGTCGACTAGGACATGTAGCCCACTTTTCTGCCTTCATTCTGTCTGCTCATTGTTCCCTGAAAGCCAAGGGTAAAATATGGGCTACTGCAGGTGTAGCAACACACTGTGTGGGTTTATATTTACACACACACCCGACCTACTTTGACTACTAGCTACTAGCTTGAGGACATGTAGCGCAGCCAGCCTCCGGGGGGCAGATCCAAATGTCTTTGCACCATTCTTTTTGTACCGTATGTCACCTCTTCAGGCTTTTTTTCCCCCCCTTCTTGGGCTCAGGTTGACTCGCTTTAACCACGTCCTCACTTGACCTTCACCCTCTCCCTCTGTCATTGTTCTCCGTCCTGTCCTCTCCTCCTCAGGACTTTGACGGCGGCTGCAACGGCGTCTCCTCCACCATGTCGGTCTCCCGGGACTACTCGGCGCTCAAGGAGAACGAGATCTGCGTCAGTCAGGGAGAGACGGTCCAGATCCTGGCCACCAATCAGCAGAACATGTACCTGGTCTACCGGCCGGCCAACAGCCAGTCGCCGGCCGCGGAGGGCTGGGTGCCGGGACACATCCTGGGCCCGCTCACAAAGCCCATAAAAGACTCCGCTTCCACCTCCTCCTTCTCGGCGGCGGTGGCCGACGCCAACAACATCAAGTAAGTCCACCCCCCTCCCCTCCCTCCCCGGCACTTCTTTACCTGCAGACAGACGCACTTCTGGTCGGGCTTCAGACCAAGCACTCGGATTGGATGAGAGATTGGAGGTGACCAACTCTTGTCTACCTGTTTTTTTTCAGTTCTTTTATCCACTTTCATCCCCAGTTCCTAAGCCCCCCCCCCCCCCCCACTTTTCCTTTGGGAATGAACACTCGGAGGCTTTTTTTTTTTCTTAATTCCTGACTTTGTCTTGTTGCTCCTCGGAGGTAAAATGTGCAGAACTGGTCTCTTACCGCCGGTCGTGCTGCTGCAGTGACAGTTTTATCTCCGTTGGTTCCGTGGCAACTTCACCAAAATGGATTTCAGGCTTGCAACAGAACCCTAACACACACACACACACACACACACACACACACTGATTCCTTTCCATGTGATCAAGTTCTGAGGATTTAACACACAGAAATAGACTGGATAGAAAATATTGTAACTCGTAGCCAACTGGATATCAGAGCGAGAACCATCGAGACTCGCGTGGAGCTAAAACCGGACTCTTATTTCAGTTCCTAACACCCTGATTTCTTTATTTTTTTTGTATGTATTTTATTCTTTTCAGTTTTTGAAAAATCAAAGCAAAACTCACCTGGGGCATTCAGGTGGACTCCGCCCCGTTCTCCGCAGTGGAGAAGTTTATTTTGTTGTCTGTGGCAATCTAAACACAAGTTTTTGTTTATTTCTCTTGTTGTTGTTGTTTCAGCCTTGTTAATTATTATTTTATTTTACACACAAAGGGGGGTTGTTTTCCTTACGTGTTGATTTTGTACATTAATGTCGGCAGTTCACTGTACAAAGTTCGTCTTGTTTTTTTTTTTGTTTGTTTTTACCAAAGTTCTAGAACATTCCTGTTTAAAAACAAAAAAAAATCCCGTTTGCACTATTTAAGATAAAAATATCAAGAAAAAATATGTCAGGCTGTGCAATATGTTGCGTTTAATGGCAACGGTCAGCATTGTTGTTAGTCTAATACTATCGATTTTAAATGTATTTTAAATATGTAAAATAAACCTTTTGGACTTGAGCATGAGTTAGCAAAGCGACGTGAAGGTGAAGCTGTTTTGTTCTGCGGTAGGCTGAAGATGATTGTAGTTTTTAATATTTGTAAATAAACTACAACAGCAAACATTAAAGTGAGCGCTCTGCCTGCTTCTGTGTGCACGTCGTACCGTTAGATGGAGACGCTCTGTTTAAAGGGCCAGTGTGGAACATTTTAGGGGACCTATTGGCAAAAAATTTGATTTTCACAACTATGTTTTTACTCGTGTGAAACCACTTGTTTTCATTAGCTTAGCATGAGTAATATAAATATAGAGTAGGGCCTCTCCGGAGTCCGCCAGCAGAGCGTACACACCGGCCCTTTAAGGAGAAGGATTCAGGTGACTAAAGGGGTTTCGCAGGAGGACGATACAGACATCAAATCAAGAATTACTCTGTTTTAAAAGGTTGCCGTATCAAGCATCCTCTGAAGAAAATAGGACTGAAAGTGAGTATATGACTATTTTAGAGATAAAAGGTTTTCCCTCTATGTTTAATTTCACCTTATTGTATTTTGTTGTGACATTTTCTTTAACCTTGTTTATTTCAGTTTTTACTAACAACGGTTTGACACTCCACAGAAGGCACAAACTTCAAACATGAATTCAAAAGGTTTTGAAGAGCTGCATGCTTTAACGTCCGTTCAACACGAACATTTTTCATGTTCTTGAACCCCCCAAAAAATATGAATCCCGATGAGTCTGCAGGAGGCACAGGTGTGATTCTCCACTACGGCTCACAGTTGTGTCTCTGGCTGAGTGCTAGACGAAGGTACGGTACGCTGCCACCTCTCTCCTCGGGTCACGCTTTATCTCCGTCTCAATAAAGACAGGCCGAATGTCCTCCTGTCCCACTGTCCTTCCTTTCCCGTCTCTTAATGGACCAGAAGGGTCTGGCTGCAGCTTCAGGCAACAGCGACCCCGCCAGGACCCTCTGCTACACACACACACACACACACATTTAGAGTGTGCAGACGTGCTGTCCAACGCGATGGAAGAGAGAAACTACGCAGACAGAAATAATCAACAACACACCATTCTAAAGAATCCATCAATCATAAAGTCATATATGTGAAGCAATTCTGTCCATTTCATGGTATAGATTTTTAATAAATATTGTTTGAGATTCTTTCATTTATTTATTTCCGAAACCTTTTGTAATTGCTGAATATCATTAACTATTGTAGTTCAAAAGCCAAATGCTTTTTTGAATTCAAATTCCTTCCTAATTCAAATGCACTATAAAACACATTAGCCAACTTTATACAAAATAAAGCTTCATAAAGTTTTTACTGTAATGATAAAGTTCATTAGGTGGCAAAAATCTGCAGGATAGCAAAGGTGCTACTAGTAGCTAGTTAGCATAGCTTGCTTGTGCGTGTGTATAATATATATTATTGTGTTGTATCCTTTAACCATTCTTTTAGTTGAGTAGCAGTGTTTCCTTGCTAGCCTCGTAAAGGTCGGTTAGCATGCTAGGCTACCATCAAACGTAAAATGAATAATAAGTGATGGGTGTTAGCGTGCAGAGGGACTGGCCCTTTAAGGCGAGGGACGTAGCGCTCCTCTTGGCCCCCTGATGCCGGGAAGGAAGACTGGACGGCCATGTTGGGCCTGCAGCCAGACTTCTCTCTGATTGGCTGGTTGATGTTTCTCGTTCCTGTACCGAACAGGAAGTCTCTGTCATGGAACACGCTGCGTGCCCGGAAGCGCGCCAAGGACGTCTCCTCGTTGGCGGTCAGAGGTCCGGAGAACGGCCTCCTCCGTAAGCCCAAAGAAGGCGGCGCCGCCGCCCCCCCTGTCGCCTCCCCGGCCACCAGGTCAAAGGGCAAAGTGAGTAACGCGGGCTGACGGCGGCACGCCGGTTGACGTCACGTGTGTGCCGAAAACCACTCACCTGCCGCACTTGGTTTTTAGTTTTAACCCCCCCCCCCCCCCCCCCCCCCGTGTGTGTGTGTGTGTGTGTGTGTGTGTGTGTGTGTGGTTCTCAACCGGTCGCTGACATGATTTAAATTTAATGTTCATAAAGTACATTTCATATTTATGGAGTATTCATTTAGAACTGGTGCAGAATCGAGATCGGGGGAGTAACCCTTGACCCTGTAAGCCCCGCCCCCCCCCGTGCTGCACAGAAGGACTAAATGAGGATTTATGTCAGCGGCGTGAGATTTTTAAAAGATTATACGCGCTGACAACTATTAAGGCGGCAGGTTTTATTTAAATTGTTTCGCTCTTAACACAGATCCTGAAATGCGCTGACTGGAAAATAAAGCTTGATTTCTTTTTTTTTTGTGATTTACTTCTCCCTCCTTGTGCACGGATGGAGGTCGAATGATTTTGCAGTGTGTTCCGTAGTGCACTAACATGTCACGGCTCACCGTGTCCTAAGGGTGGTGTGACAGTGCACAACCTTTCCCTCTGCGTTTAACTTTCTATTTAACGGTGAACAGTCCGCTTCACCGTCGCCGGTTTCAGTTTCCAACCAGTTTCCACTTGTCTGAATCAACAAAAGAAACGGGATGAATGAGCGCACGGATCCTGCCTCCTGCCAGTACTTGAGATGTATGTTTTATTGTGTTGTAACGTCGTAAACACCCAACATATCTACTTCCAATGTGCTTTTAAAAGGACAAAAATCATTTTGGAGAAGTTTCAATGTTTTGTTGAAGCGTTTCCTCGTTGGCCAGTGTGCCGTTTAAAGCGCTTTATCGCAATGCACGGGTTGATCGCTCGCTGGTAAAGTGACTCAGAAGGAAGGGACCTTTTCAGGTGAGTTTCACGCAGATGTTCTTTCACAGCTGGAGTTCCCTTCCTACAAGTTTAAAACGACGCGCCGATTTCTCCCGACATTCATGCTCCTAATCGTCTCTTCGTCCTCCTCACTCCTCTTCTTCCCCCGCCTCATTTTTCTTTCCTCTTTTCTCATCGTGTTTCCTCCCCTCTCCTTTGACCCCGTTTCCCTCCTCGTTTCCTCTGTTTACGTCCTTGTTGTGTTTCTTTGGTCGTCCTTTCAACCCCTTTGACTCCCACATCTTTTCCCATTCTTACCCTCCCCTCGCCGCCCGCCCTCCACCAGGACGCTCACACTTCAGACGAGTCCGACTGTGACGATGACCTTGACCCAAACGCCGGCATGCAGGTACGCACGCACTCTATTTACAGGACGTGAGCGCTCGTTGTTCCTAACGAAGAGATTTAGCGACTCGGTGTTCGACAGAAAAGACACAACTCGAGCACTATCTTTACAAAGACAACTAACGCAATTACAGTTCTAACTTTGACCGTGGTCTGTTTTCCAGCTTCTCAACCCAAATTTCATCCAGGAAGGTAAGAGCCGCACGCAGTCTCCCCTCAGATGTAGTGTGAATACAATGTCCTCAAACGCGTTTTGTGCGTCGGACAGCTCCGTTTTCTGCAGCAGGGGAAAGAAAAGGAATATGTTGATGTTGTAATACCCGTCTTGGCCGCGAGAGGCCGCAGTCAGCCGTTAAGTGTAGACCAACGCGTGATGGTTCGCCCCCGTCCGAAGTCGACGTCTTCCCCCCGTTTAAACTGGAGGGGTCGGGTGACTTGTCTTGTCGCGCAGTGGCACCAGAGTTCCTGGTCGTCCTGTCGGACGTGGTCTGCGCGTTCGGGGAGACCGTGGTCCTCTGCTGTAAAGTGTGCGGGCGGCCCAAACCCTCTGTCACCCTGAAGGGGCCCGACCAGAACCCGGTGACCAGCAACGCCCGCTTCACCATCGACATCGGGTCAGTGCGATTGGTGCCCTTCGCTTCTTCTGTTGCTCCTGATTTCCACCGATCGTCCTCCTCCTTCCCGCAAATCTGACTCCTCCCACGTTCCTCTTCGACGCGTTCTTCCCCTGCAGGGATACGGGCGACATCTTGTTGAAAATCTGTAACCTGATGCCTCAGGACACCGGCATCTACACCTGCGTTGCCGTTAACGACCACGGCTCTGCCTCCTCCTCCGCCTCCATTAAAGTGCAAGGTGACTCCCTTATGAAGCCGTGGCTTTGAACGTATAAGGAGTAAAGATGACGCAGTTTTCTGAAACAACAGAGATATTTACCTGGTTCCTTTCAGTCCAAACCAGGTTTTCTTGCTGCCTTTTATGTGTTCTATATATCTACATGCATACATGTATATGACTTTATTTTTCCTTGCCATCCCCTGCAGGCATCCCAGCATCCCCTGGGAGGCCGGTGGCCCAGGAGGCCAGCAGCACCGCGGTGATGATCCACTGGCCGCCTCCGGCCTCCTCGGCTCACTGTGCCGTCAGCAGCTACACCGTTGAGTACAGACAGGAAGGTGTGTGTGGGGGGGGGTCCGGGGCCGGGGGGGCTGACCACAACTCCCAAGATCCCACACACCGATCGGCACGTCACTGTCTCTCGTTGTTGTTGTTTCCTCCCTCGCCCCTCAGACTCGTTGCTATGGCAACAGGTGGCCAGCAGCAGAGAGGAGTGCGTTCAGATCGATGCTCTGATCCCCGGAGGTCACTATCAGTTCAGAGTGCGAGCCTCCAACCGCTGGGGGGTCGGCCCGCCGTCCGAGCCCTCCAATATGATCACTCTGCCCAGCAGCAGTAGGTCCACGCACGCACACACACACACACACGCACACACATACAAACATACAAAGGTGCGTGAAGTGAGCACAAAACCTGTTTTCAACTGAATACCTCAACAACAGGTGTTTTCCTTGAAGTTTTGGGACGTGTTTTGGTTTCGCGGAGCCAACCTTGGTTTTGCAGTCTTCATGCTAAGCTAGGCTAACATCATCCCCCGTTCTCTGTCCAGACTCCGGGTACGATGGAACTGGGATCCAGTGGAAAGAAAACTTTGAGTCGACCTTCTCTGAGATGTGTGAGATTGGAAGGTACCTGGTGGCACATTACTGCGTCTCAGCCCACTTGATTCTCGGCACAGAACCAGCGTAGTTTCTAATGGTTTTGTCTTTTTCTTCGTTTGTGTCACAAGGGGAAGATTTTCTGTCGTGAGAAAATGTCTCAACAAGTCTACAAAGAAAGAGGTAAACTGATTTTTAACTCATTTCGTTAGTCGAGTTCTGTGTTCTTCACATTCCAAATATAAATGAAGTTTTAGTCTTTCCTGTTTACTCACGTTATGATTAAATGTGATTTTGAGATATTGTAAGTTGAGATTTAGGCTGTTTGATTTAGATATTCCTGTTAATTTTCGGATACCGGTACTGTGCTAACTGAACAGTTGTCGTATCCAGGTTGCGGTCAAGTTTGTGAGCAAAAAGATGCAGAAGAAGGAGCAGGTGGCGCACGAGGCGGACGTCCTCCGCCACGTGCAGCATCACCAGCTGGTGGCGCTGTTGGACACGTACGAGTCTCCCACCTCTCTGATGCTGATCCTCGAGCTGTAAGTCCATCTCAATGAAAGCGGCTTCTCCGTCTTTGCGGCGCCTCTGAACGGGAGCTAACGTGCGTGTTTTTGCAGGCTGGAGGACGGCCGTCTGCTCGACTACCTGGTCGCCCACGACGAGCTGATGGAGGAGAAGGTGGCCTTCTTCGTCAGAGAGACGCTGGAGGCCCTGCAGCACCTTCACACCTGCCGAGTGGCTCACCTGGATCTAAAGGTCAGAATCTCAATGGTGAACGCGTGCGCCCGGTACGTTTATTCCACTCGACGCTCCTTTTCTGCACGTCCGCAGCCCGAGAACATCCTGGTGGACCTCCGCTCTCCCACGCCGGGCGTCAAGCTCGTCGACCTCGGCGACGCCGTCCAGCTGTCCGCCCACCGCCGCTACGTCCACCTGCTGCTCGGGAACCCGGAGTTCGCCGCGCCGGAGCTGATCCGCGGGACGCCCGTCTCCGTGGCCACGGACGCGTGGAGCGTCGGCGTGCTGGCCTACGTGGCGCTCAGCGGGGTGTCCCCCTTCCTGGACGAGTCGCCGGAGGAGACCTGCGTCAACATCTGCCGCCTGGACTTCTGCTTCCCGGACGAATACTTCCGCCACGTCAGCCAGGCGGCGCGGGACTTTGTGTCCTCGGCGCTGCAGCAGGATCCCAGGAAGAGGCCGAGCGCCACCTCCTGCCTGCAGCACCCGTGGGTGGGCCGCGGGGGCGCGCACGGGGGGGAGTACTCCAAGACCCCCCTGGACACGACGCGATTGGCCACGTTTATCGAGCGAAGGAGACAACTGAACGACGTTCGGCCCGTGACTAACATCAAAGCGCTGGTGAGCAGCAGCATGGGCAACACGCTGTGACGCCCCCCCCCCGGGACCCCCCCCCGCCACCACCCACTGTGCATATGAAGCTCCAGTGGGGAGGAGATGATTGCACCCGATTTCCTCATTGATGAAGGACCTCTGCCCCCGCTGGGCGAAACGTAGATGATGTGAATTCTTTGGCTTCTGTGATATTTAGTTTCTGACCCGTAAACCTTCTAGAACCCAAAGAAACGAGCATTTAGAAAACACACTGTGAGCAGGCGTAACGTCAACATCTTAGTTTATATTTGTAGCTTTTATTTTTCCAGGGACAGATGATATATTGGAGGCGAGAGAGCTTTGTGTCACGGAAGTCCTCTTTTTTTTTTCAGGCCTGTTGCTACGCAACAGACAACTCAACGTATCTGACACATCTGTCGGGGAGGTTGTAACCGACTGAAACCAGATGTGTCGGAGAACCGATGTAGACGCCAAACGTGCAAAAGTTTGGTTTGTCCCCCCAGGTGGTTGTACACGGCTAAACGTCCGCATTGATATTGTCATCTCCAGTGACCTTTAACCTTTTTAAAGAGTCTTGCCTGTTTCAAAAAGCGATGTGACGGATCGTAGCTGAATCCGAGCAGTTGGTAAACGGGGGTTCGGTCGCCGTTCTTGTCCCTGGTCGACGTCTCCCTAAAGGACGCTTTGCTGTGGACCGTCGGTGCAGATTGTTGGGGATCAGGTGGGACGCTTCATGAGGACGTTTGGGCGGAACAAGCGGCTTTTACTCGGTGTTTAACGTGTGCTGGTGTTCATGAGGAAACAATCATTCGATCATTCTTGCCTCTTTTGGGAGAAATCTTTTCTCCCAAAAATATAAAAGTGTCTCCGGCACGGCAGTCAACAAAGAAGGAAAGAATAACCAGATTTAAAAAGAAAACATGAACTCTTTTAAGCTCAACAGCACATTAACAAGTGGAACAGCGATTTAAACCACCAACATTTGAAGGCTTCCTGCAAAAACTGGATTTGAAAGCGTTGGACTTTGCTATAATACGCCTTTATTTATGATGTTTATTTATTTTCAGGACATTCATTCAGTGAAGTTTGCATGTTGACCCGGAGCAGCCCGGCCTCCGCTTTAGACGAGTTGCACTGTGCAGCGACGGAGTTTACACCAAATCACGGACTGAACCGGAAACCCGCGATGAACTGGGTTAATAGCTGGAGTGAGATGCTGCAGGATCTCCCCCCGGGGGCTCAGGGGCTGCATGGAGACTGGGACCCTACAAGCTGTTCCTTTCGCTGTTTACAAACAAACGTAGAATCATCAGGGAAAACCTGCATGTGAAATCAGACATCAGGTTAGAAATCGAGTTTCCGTCGGTCTGCCGGCCGCCGTGTGGAGGAAGCGGCCGGTGTGTTTGGGTCCATTTCTCTTGATTTCCCACAGAAGAGTCCGTCTGCTGTCTCGTTTCTACTCACGAATGTACAAAAAAAAAAATATAGAAATGTAGAATGTGTCCTCTGCTTTCACAATGCCCCCCCCCCCCTCCTACCCCCCCTCAGCGAGCATTCAGAGTTCTGCAGCGGTAAGCATTTATTTCCGTGCAGCCGGGGGTGCAGGACGGAGCAGACACAAGCCGGTCAGGCCTCTGTCGACCTTTTTGTGTAGTAAAACAACACGTGTGCAGTTCCACAGGATGATGTCATCGTCGAGCATGGCAGCAAACCCGCCCCACTTCTGAAACGTCTTCATTATCTCTCTTAAAACGTGGTTGAAAATAAACGTGCTGGCGGGTCAACGCTGATGTTGCTAAATGTTGAAAGCGTGAGTCTCTTTGTTAACTGATGGTGTAATAAATACTACTCGCAGCTCAGCGCGAAGCCAGTTCACATGCTGCTGCTTTGGAGCATTCATTGCATTCTAATGTATAAACTCTAGAATATTAGTTTCCTTTCTGAAATACGACCTTTTCCAATTCAGCTCATTGTTTTTTTACTTAGAATAAATTAATATTAATAATATTGACTGGATTTATGTGTAAACAACCAATGCAAACAACACATTCAAACTGAGAAATGGAGCGTGGAGTCGACGTGGAAGCATCCCTCCTAAAAGCCGTGATGAGCGCATGAATCTGCAGCCAGACACGCAAATGGAATAGAAATTAAAAAAGGTATGAATTTTGTAAGTGCAGCAAGTAAAAGTACTTGTTTCAATATATTTATTCAGTTATTTAAAAATGAATGCGCGATCAGTGAACTGTAATTCACTTATTGATCTCATCCCCCCCATCAGCCGTTGCTGTGTGAGAGCAGCACGGCTGCTTTGTTACTCTTTGCTAATAAAGAACCTGCTTGTTTGTCGTCGTTGTGTCTGTGTGCAAAAGTCTTCACAAACTTTTTTATGATATTAAATTGAAATACTGTGTTATAAAGGCAGGACAGTTCTCTGTCTGTCCTGCTCATTGCTCTAAACAACATGCTGACCACGGCCACTTCACTGTGTGTGTGTGGGGGGGGGGTCGGGGGGGTCGGGGGTCACGCCACAGCAGGGTTGAGCTCTCGGCCGCGGACACAGTTCCCGAATTATCTGCGGATTGTCCCCGTGTGGACCAGATGGGCGACTCGACTCGAGCGGTCGGAGACGTCGAGGTGAGTTCACTGAGGTTCCTTCCCAACTTTCCTGTACGGTCATTTTACCGGCTGCCTCAGTTGACTTAACAAAAGAGACTTTGGGTGTTTTGGACAGTGAACCGGATGTGTTTCCCCCAAACAATCCGTTTATAAGGAGAGACAACGCTGAAATTAAATAAATCTCACGTTTGTGTGGAGACCTATAAAGGAAAAACAACCACTTCAAAAAGGTTTTCAGAAATGCCCCAAAAAACAATGTTAATGTTAAATCCCATTTTATTTTCATTGTCTCTTCAGCCCAAAGTCCTTTTCCTTTCCAAATATTCACGTGTCTCAATTACATCTACTTGATCAAGTATTTTGTCCTTTTAATCTGGAGGACTTTGAACACCCCACAGAGGGTTTCCTGCCCTCTGGCCACACGGGGGCAGTGTGGAGCTGCCCCACGAATCCTAATTGAACCTGAACCTCGTGTCCCTCAGAATCCCTCCTCTCCCCCGGCGCCTGCGCGGCGAGGCCTCGGCGGGAAGCTGCGACTCCTGCTGCCGCACGTCTGGCCCCGAGGCTCCGCGGCGCTGCAGGGACTCGTGCTGCTGTGTGGCGGCCTGCTGGCCGCCGAGCGCCTGGTCAACGTGCTGGTGCCCGTTTACGCCAAGAACATCGGTGAGCGCCTGGGAGATCGTCCCCAGCCCCCGCGGCAAGGCGTGCCGCGCGGCGGCGCCCGTCTGGGCTGCGGGCGGCCGCCGCCTGCCATCGGTTTGGTTTGAAGCTGGACTAGATGTTGAGGAAGGTTCCACTCACGTCTTAGTATTGATTGACACTGATACTTCAGGGACCTTTTGCGGCCTCATCTTAATGTAAACCCGATTTGACCTTTGACACACATGGAAAGGTAGTTAAATGTAAAAAGGCTGATGCTTTTGGACAAACGTTATGTTTTCTTGTCAAATAAAATTATAATGATTAATAAATGGAGGACTAGACCCACAAAGGGCTACCGTTCAAACTAGTACCTCCATACTGATTGGTCATTTGTTTTTTGTAATTGATTCTGCTTTAATCCAGAGAGCCGAACAGGTCTACTGTTTTTTTTTCACGAACCAGTAACTTCACACGGAATCCGATGGCGTCAAACCGGCCGCGTCGGTGTCGTAGTTTGCCAGCTTGCGATCTGATTGGCCGGCGGGAGGACGGGCCGTTATTTTTCTGCGCGGTTGCATCGTCTGCCAAAGTCTTTGGTCCCCTGTTTTGTACTCCGGACCGCATCCAGCACAAGGCAGCATCCCAGAAGCCGCATTCAGTTGGCCTTCAGCTTCAGGGAGGGGGAGTCGTTCCCGTGTGTGTGTGTGTGTGTGTGAGGTCACCCCCTCCTGCCAGTCATGCTTAGCCGACATTAGCCGCCCTTTTCGGTGGAGTTAACACACCGGTACAACGGACGTTTTGTCTCCGGCCGCCCCCTCCTCCTTCACCCCCCCATGACTCCGGGACCTCAAGAAGGTTAAAGAATGCCGAATACGCACATTTCTTTATTCATTTCTTCCCCCCAAATTCTTATTTTCTTCCTTCTTTTCTCACCGTGTCTGTTTCTCTGTCTGGATCCTCAGTTCCTCTCCTCCTCCCCCTCCTCCTCCCCCTCCTCCCCCTCCTCCCCCTCTACCCCTCATCTAATTTCATCTCGACTCCCAGCTCTCTTACTAAATGGTAATGAATGTGAATGAGTTGTGGTGCAGAAAGGAAAGACGTGCCCCCCCCCCGAATACCCTCCGTCTGTGAAGCTGAGGCATTGCATGCAAATGCCATTAAAATGATATCCACAATAAACACTGTGTGTGTGTGTGTGTGTGTGTGTGTGTGTGTGTGTGTGTGTGTGTGTGTGCGTGCAGTGAATGAGCTCTCTACAGGGGGCGGCTGGTCTTCGCTGGTCATCACAGTCTGCATCTACACACTGCTCAAGTTCCTGCAGGGAGGGGGTGCAGGTGTGTGTTCTCACGCTGAGCAAAGCCTTCAACATGAAACGCCAGCTACGTCCTGTGAATGTATGACCGGCGGCGTCGCCGTCTCCCTGTCGCCTTCCCGCAGGAACCTCCGGGTTCGTCGGCAACCTGCGTCAGTTCCTGTGGACCCGAGTCCAGCAGTTCAGCAGCAGAGGCGTCCAGGTCACACTTCTCCATCTTCTTCATCCTCCTGGTTGCTTACAGTTCGATTTAAAGGGGATGAAGCTCTTCCTCCTCTTTGGGTTGACAAAAGCTGTTGCGTTGAATTGACCCAACATGTTGGTTCCTCTGCAGACGTTTGAACCTCCCGATGGTCCACTGGTGTTTTTATGTTTGCATACACGTGAACATTTACTGGAAATATTTTGTATAAATAACCGGAACCCGTAAAATAACAATTAATTACACGTTACAAGTTAATGTTGTAAAGTGTAAAATATTCCCCTCTTAATTGCAGTAGAAGTATAAAGCGTGAAATCAATTGAAATACAACAAGTACCTTAGTAGACACACAAGTGCGTACTTTGCGGCAAACATGTTCAAAATAGCAGTATTTATTTCTCCCAAAGGAGTGAGTGGTGGAAATGGTTGTAATGGTAATTGTTCCCCCCCCGCCACTTCCCCCCCATCCCTCCCTCCCTCCCTCCCTCCCTCCCTCGACAACTCAGGTGCGTTTGTTTTCCCACCTGCACGGCTTGTCCCTGCGCTGGCACCTGGACAGACGCACCGGAGACGTGCTGAGGAGCGTCGACAGAGGCACTTCCTCCATCAACAACCTGCTGAGGTGGGAGCCTAACCTCCACACACACACACACACACACGTTTAGTGACGGAGCAATAACCCGTTGCTTGTTGTCTGGCTTCAGCTACATCCTGTTCAGCATCCTTCCCACCGTCTGTGACATCATCATTGCCATCATCTACTTTGTGTCCTACTTCAGCGTCTGGTTTGGACTCATCGTTTTCACCTGCATGGTCCTCTACCTCAGTGAGTGTGTGTGTGTGTGTGTGTGTGTGTGTGTGTGTGTGTGTGTTTTCAACAGCAGGTCCCTTATTGCTGTCCTCCCTAATGGGATGTGTCTATTCTTGGTGTTTTAAAATGTCTGAATCCATTGCAACATCAAACTAATGATGTCAGGAATCCGAACTCCCCGTATTGTCTTGACCACGGCCTACTTCATGTATGTTTGGGGAAAAACAAGCAAAACCAATAACGACCCAGAAGAGAGCTGCGACTTAAATACCTAAATGCTTTGACATTTTTTGATCGAGCTCGCACTCATTTTCTTTCTCTTGAAATGAGGGCGACAGTATGAATGTATGTATGAAAAAAACAACAAAATTCAGATGCTGTAAAACAATTAGCCGCGCTCTTGTTGCAGCCTGCACCATCCTGATCACAGAATGGAGGACCAAGTACAGGAGAGAGATGAACGACCGGGACAACTACGCCAAGTCCAAAGCCGTGGACTCGCTGCTCAACTTTGAGACGGTAGACGCGGGCGATGTGTTTCCTGTTGAGTGATTACAGTGTTTACTGAGGGAATAAATCAGCAGAGAAGTGGAGTTGTTTCCTCATAGACGTCTATGGGAGCAGAGGAGTCGCCCCCTGCTGGTCACTACAGAGAAGTAGAGTCATTTCCTCATAGACGTCTATGGGAGCAGAGGAGTCGCCCCCTGCTGGTCACTACAGAGAAGTAGAGTCATTTCCTCATAGACGTCTATGGGAGCAGAGGAGTCGCCCCCTGCTGGTCACTACAGAGAAGTAGAGTCATTTCCTCATAGACGTCTATGGGAGCAGAGGAGTCGCCCCCTGCTGGTCACTACAGAGAAGTAGAGTCATTTCCTCATAGACGTCTATGGGAGCAGAGGAGTCGCCCCCTGCTGGTCACTACAGAGAAGTAGAGTCATTTCCTCATAGACGTCTATGGGAGCAGAGGAGTCGCCCCCTGCTGGTCACTGCACAGAATGCAGCTTCAACACACTGCAACTCACTGAAGCTGAAACTCTGATGCGGCGATGTGACTTCCAGGATGTTTTGTTATCTTCCAGATCTTTCAGAGAGTTCTGGAGAAGTCTGAGATGTTTAAGTTGCAGGTCATTTCAGGCAGTTTCAGTCTCTCTGGATTCGATGTGTTTTCACAGGTAAAGTATTACTGCGCCGAGGATTATGAAGTCCGCTGCTTTGAGGAAGCCATTCGGAAATATCAAGTAAGCTGGAAGAGGGACATCATCGGGCAGCGACGTGTGGAAAACATTCAGATCTCAGCGCGTCGTCCATAACTCTCCTTCCCATTGAGCCGTGTGCCGGTTGTGTTTGTGCAGCGCTGCGAGTGGAAAAGCTCGTCCTCGCTGGCTCTGCTGAATCAAACCCAGAACGTCATCATAGGATCAGGACTGCTGGCTGGATCTGTGCTGTGTGCCTACCTGGTCTCAGAGGGTCAGTTCCAGGTACCAGCGAGGCGTAACCGACCTGTAGAGTCCCTAATCTCTGTTGTTGACTCAGCCGTGGCCTCACTGACCTCAGGGACAGCGTTAAAAGAGGACCATGGTCACCCTTGAGGTGATTAGGCCGATGTTTCCTTTCCCTCTCAGGTCGGAGACTACGTGCTGTTTGGAACCTACATCATCCAGCTGTACACACCTCTCAACTGGTTCGGTACCTACTACAGGTGACGGTTTGATTCATCTCCTCTCTGTTCAGGTCTGTGCTTCTGGCGTGCACAACAATGCAATCCAACCGGTACTTCTGTTACCACACGTACTGCATGCAATGCTGCATTTCATCAGCGTGTCTCTGCAGGCTGATCCAGAGCGCTTTTGTTGACATGGAGAACATGCTCGACCTGTTGACAGAGCAGAACGAGGTGAGTCAATCGATACATCTATGGAACATAACCAAGGAAAGAAGTAAGGTCATTGTTATAAACTACCACCACAGTAACAGCCAGTTTGTATATTGTGAAAAACTGAAATCAATAAAGTGAATCCCGTGAGAGTGGACGACACAAACGCTCCGCTTCCGTCGAGCTGTAAAACGGAGCAACTCACACAGCGAGAGGTCGGCAGATTAGCAGATTAACAAGTGTTTGTCTGTGACTTGTCTGTGTGTGTGTGTGTGTGTGTGTGTGTGCGTGCGCCCACGCAGCTTGCATGTATGTGTGTGTGTCCGTCTGTCTTTTCGGTGGGAAAGGACGTCCTCCGGCTGCCTCGCTAAAGACTCCTGCATTCACAGGCCCTTGATATGGTAAACAGCCGCATGAATGTGGACAAAAGCATTAAGAGCACCTTAAAAACACAGCAGGCCTTTTCTTTGGCTTGGGAAGCTAAAGTCAGGGAGGGGAGTCAGGGAGGAGGAGGAGGAGGAGGAGGAGGAGGAGAAAGAGGAGGAGGTCAGAAAGGAGAGAGAAGAGAAGTAAATGCAATCCAACTTGGCTGGTAATATTTAGGAAATGCTAATGAAGTGAGCGCAATATCTGCATGAGGGAGTGAGGAGAAGGTGAGAGGGAGGGAGTTACGAAGGAGGCGAGGAGGGAGGAAAGGAGGAAGGAAGAAAGGGAATTGGATGCGGGGAAAGAAGATTGGAGGATAAAGATGGCATGAGCTTTGTTCCTCTCCTCCTCCTTCCTACTAAGTCAGTTGTTTTCAACAAACAGACAAAATGAATCTCCTCCTCGCTGCAATTGATTGAATCTTTTGTTTACAGCTTCTTTGCGTTACATATTGGAAAAAGGATTCAAAGTCTTCAAATCACTGCTGTGTTCCTTGTCTTTCTTACCCTGGTTGTCCCTCCTCCTCCTCGTCCTCCTCCTCCTCACAGGTGCGGGATGCTGAGGATGCACAGGACTTGCAGCTGGCTGCAGGTCAGGTGGAGTTTGACGGAGTCTGCTTCAGCTACGTTCCCGGGTGGGTGGCCAACCACAGATGTGCTGGTGGAGGCAGCTGTTTGTGTTTTGGTGTGTTTTAACTACGGCCACCACGTTCTGCCTGCCTACAGACGCTGGTCACATTTGTTTCACATTTGCATGCTTGTTTGCTTTTTTAAAGTTGGGTTCATGTTGGACCTGATTGTTGCCTCTTGTGTGTGTGTGTGTGTGTGTGTGTGTGTGTGCAGCACTGAGATTCTTCGGGATGTGTCCTTTAGGGTGGAGGCGGGACAAACTGTGGCTTTGGTAAGTTTGACCCTGTTAATAGATTGTCCCCTCTACAACCACATTTGGAAATAACACTACAAGTGAAAGTCCTGCATTTAAGTGAAAGAAAAAAAGTAATATCAAAATATACAAAAGTAAAACAACTAACAATACGCAATGGCCCATTTGAGAATAAATACATACATGTGAAAGTATTCAGGTAAGTACTTGCAGTACATTTCAGTACCTCCTTTGTTTATGCTCGTCCACGGTCCCGTTTAGAACGTTTGTACTACTTCCCCATTGGATGCAAGCATCAGCACAGTCCTAGTAACGGCCTCGCCATGTACTAATACACTGTGTATAGAAACATCATTTGTATTAATGTGTGTGTGTGTGTGTGTGCAGGTCGGTGCGTCTGGATCGGGGAAAAGCTCCATCCTGCGTCTGCTGTTCCGATTTTATGACCCTCAGAGTGGAAACATCCGCATCGACGGACAAGAGATCTCTCAGGTAATTCAGGCGGAAAACGTCAGCCGTGCATTCCCCCTCCCGGCCTACGGGGGGCGACTCCTCTGTGCCTCTCATTCCATTACCCCGGGTAAACATTGTAAACAGGAGTTCATGGTCTTAATCCCTCATGCAAAGTCTTCTTCCGTACAGCACGGTGTGTTTATTTCACCACCAACAGGACGTAAAGCAGGGGATACTTTGGGGGCGGGGCTTAGTGACAGTTAGTAGTTACCACGGCGATGTTTGGCTCCGCTTCCCTTCTGGATGCAAAAAAAAAAAAACGATGGCGCTATTCGTTTGAATCTCAAAACTCTGTCCCTCTAATTCGGTCTCTTTCTATTCTTAATTTCTTTTTCCTACATTCTGCCGCCCGCACACACACACACACACACACACACACACACACACACACACACACACACACTCTCTGTGTGTGAGCTCCTTTCACACTGTGAATAAATCATAGTAAAAGGTTCCTGAATAATACAGCAACGAGTCCAGACGCCAGATGTGTGTGTGTGTGTGTGTGTGTGTGTGTGTGTGTGTGTAAAGATAGTCCAGTTAGTGCCGTTGTGTCTTTAATAATACATAACTTTGTTTATCACTAAGAATCTCAATAAAACACCTTCAGTCACACCTGTTTCGTACCATTAATGGTGATACAGCAGGAGGAGGGCGCCTCTTTAAAAGGGGCTCTGGCGGAGGAAGCAGGAAGTGGTTCAACGCCTCGACTTCCTGAAAGGAATCTTTATTTTATCTTTTTATTTTCTAAGAACTTTGAATATGATCGGAGTTGGTTGTATCCTCGTTGCAACGGGCTGCGGCGAAAGTAACGGATTCTACTTCTATCAGACACCTGATATCGTTCCTCTGAAGATGCACATGATGGCGTCATGTGGAGGAGAGAAACTGGTGATGACGAAAGGGGGAAAAGTACACGGTGCACCTAAAAGCTTACGAGTCCAGCTGTGCTCATCACAGATGTGTGGAAACGACTTCTAATAGCTGCACAAGTGTTTTTTTTTACTCACATAGCAGCTGAGAGGAAACAGACATAATGACATAAGCTATAAAAGATGGGTGGGAGGTGGCGTGAACAGTTCATCAGAGATGAACAGACGTTCTTAGTGGTCAATCCATGTGAGAGAAATGCGATCAAACGACCGGTCAGAGACTTTTACACACCATCTGCTTCACAGTCCCGTTGACTCCCAATTCAAATCCCTCGTTTTACTCCACGAATTCTTCTTCAATGTGTCACCGTCGGAAAACGTATTTCACCTGTAAAAAAACAACCACGGTCTTCTTAGACAGGCGCTCGTTAAGCACACCTGCTGAGAGGAGAACACATTTAAGGGTATTAGTGGGCGTTAATGGAATATAATACTCATAAGTGTGTTTCCATTAAAGTTTATTGACCTGAAAAAGTTGTTTTTTTTATCCATGGCTGGGAAATAATTAGTTGACATCTTGACGGTGAAGAAGTGAAGAATTTCTCAATGCCGAGCTCCTCCAACACCGTTGGATTAAGACCATGAACAGGGCTTCATGTGTTGGCAACACACATCGCCACCTTAGAATAAGCATTCAAAGTAATTAAATACGCAAACCCATCCCGATCTTTGGAATACGGCCGTCAGCTAATGTGCTTGGAATATGGAGAAGTGACGTAGACGCGCTGGTCACAGCTCTGGTACACTTTGTTTTGCTGTATTGAAGAAGACCTGAAACTAGAGATTGAGACCATGAACCATGACCACATAGAATGTTGACTGAGGGAATAGATCAGGAACCAGAGTGGAGTCATTTCCTCACATACGCGAGTTTTGTATATATATTTTGTATTATATACACACTTTTTGTTGCCTTGCTGTTATTCAGGTGCGACGAGTCCTTTACTTCTCGTTACTTTGTTGCTCAAGCTCCGGCCGTTTGTTTCTAGCTCCTCTGCCACTCTGTTGCTGCCTGCATGTGGCCGCCACATGTGGCGAGGCCTCCGAGTCCGTCTCTGCAGGCGGAGTGCTGGTGTCAGTTATCTCCGTGTTCTTCAATGTGTCCTTCAGGTTTTATTCCTTTTTTTTTTTTTCATTTCACGGCATATAAACAGGTGCTTTTATTAGCTTTAGTCCCTGCGGTCGCCATTCACCGCTCATAACCTCAGTGTTCTTCTTGTTATTCTACGACGCAACTTCCTGTTTGTCAGTAAAGAGCAGCTGAACAGCTCGTATATTAAAGCAGTTGGAGAAACTTTCATAAAAGAATGTAAGCGGAATTGTTGCAGTGCTGGAACAGCTAAAGAAGAAGGGATGCTCATCCTGGCTGTCCTTAGGTAACAACATCTGGCCTCTCTTGTGTACCGTGTTGTCCAATCAGATCGGAAGGCACAAATGTTTCCAGCAAGGCCTTAAACACCCAATCTCATCAATATCACCTCTACCCAACACGACCCCAAAAACTAACAAACTAATAAATAACAGAAGGGAAAAACGCAACAAACTGTGAAACTCTGAGAGCCAAAGTTGGTGAAGAAAGAAGCTTAAGGCGGCTTCATCGCACTGATTTACTGTAATGGGAGTAGTAAGGGTCGCATGTGAGGACGGCTGCCGCTCTCTAATATTCTCTCCTTCATTCATTGACGTCTGAATTAAAGACATAACAAGTCTTTCTTTTCTTCTATTCTTCCCCTCCATCTGTCCGTTTCATGTAGCTGCTATTAGACCTCTGTTAGCTCAACCAGACACAGATGTTGTGATGTTTTTTCCGTGGAATGAATATTAATAAAAGAAGGGAAAGTGAGTGATTACCAGCCAAGCAGCGGCGCTTGTGTAGGAAATGGAATTTGTATTGTTGAGGCTGCAGAGGAAAGTGCTGCACGCCGATCGGTTTGGAAACTATTTCCTTGGAGATTAAGAGCCAGATTCCAGAAATGATGAGAAGCTTCTTTTGAAATCAAGATGGACCCTTCTGGCTTGGACCATCGGCACAGTCTGGACATGTGACTGTTGAATCAACAATTGTGAACAATTGACGTGTCAATGAGAACGAATATTATCATTGAGTCACTTCTCGTATTCTTCTATGAGACCACAGGAGTCGCCCCCCCGGTGGTCACTACGGAGAATGCACATTTAAGACAACTTGCCAAACCAGTGACCAGCAACTACGTTTCGTCTTGCCACCGCAGTGCAAATGAGATGTAGGGAAGCAAAGGGAAGGTGAGTGGGTGAAGTCTGACACATGTTAGCCTCAGGGCGAGAAGGACGTGTGCTGTCTGCGACCTGGGGCGCCATGCATTATGTAGTGTAGGATGGATTGAGCCATGCAATATTTAGAGACATGTGTGCAGGAGGATAACCTAGTTCAAACGCACTGGAAACGTGATCCGTGAAGCAGATGTGAAATTAAGGCTTGATGCTGAAAGAGTGTCCGTGCAAAAATATCTTCGTTGGCTTGGTTACAGAAACAAACCCTTTTGTCGTCCCAAGGTGCACCAGTCTTCTCTGAGGTCGCACATCGGCGTGGTTCCCCAGGACACGGTTCTCTTCAACGACACCATCGGCAACAACATCCGCTACGGCCGAGTGACGGCCAGCGACCGGGAGGTGGAGAGCGCCGCCGTGGCTGCTGACATACACACCCGGATCCTGGAGCTACCCCGGGGTCAGGCCAGAGTGGGCGCCTGTGTGGAGATCTGGAGACTTGGAAAGGGACTGACCGCGTTAATAATGAAGAGGACGGTGTTTTGTCCAATCAGGTTACGACACGCAGGTGGGGGAGCGAGGTTTAAAGCTCAGCGGGGGGGAGAAGCAGAGAGTGGCGATCGCTCGAACCATCCTCAAACAACCTCGGATCATTCTGCTGGACGAGGTGAGGAAACGGCCAAGCCACTTAAATCATTTTTTTAAATTCTGCATGAAGCTGCTCACAAACCAGTGGCATTTATTACACTTGCTGTCCTTAAATTAATTCATTTTTAGTCAATTAAAACTCTTTAAAATGAGAGATCAGATACTGGGTTAGTATCGTCATGATCAGTGTTCCGCCTTGACCATTAGCTTTAGACCAAGACGGGATGCCGTAATACGAGGGCTGGGCGGCACGGCCCAAAATCCATAACCCGCTATTCAGAAAGATTCTGATGTTATTGCTTTTTCATTAATCCATTGACCCCGAAAATGCAGCTGTTTGCCGCTTGCTGGCCCACTTGCTCGCAACTGGCCAACGAGTTGGCTTGTTGGGATGTTAGTTCCGAATCCGAATCGGCTTTATTCGTTAGCTGGTTAGCGTGTTAGCTTGTTGTGGCTGCCAGTGTTGCCTCCATGGGCTCGACAGACTTTGCAATAAATCGTTTTCTGATCAAACGTAATTTACGTTGGATTGTCCAAAAACCCTCCAAACAGACTCGGCTCCTCTGTTGGGCACAAGTTGTGTTGGTGCATCTCTGGTCTCTCGTTGTTCCTCCTGTTGTGTCTTACCCTGTTAAAGAGTTTGTTGTGGGTTATTCATTGTTATGAAGTTAAAACCACGACTCAATCTCAAGGCGTAAAACAGAGTGAACAGTACGTGAGAAATTCATACCATATGGCGCCCTATGGAACACACACACCTACTTGTGTAGTTTGTACAATGGTAAGCAGTTAAAAAGACACATTGGACAATATCAAGCAAGCAAATCCAGAAATATCTAATAAGAAGGTCCTGAATACCTCTGAGTTCATTTTCTGTCCCTCTGTGTTGTAGAAACAGCTGGAATCAAGTGACCAGTCGTCATTTTCTCATAAACAAAAGGTGTTTCATTTAATTGTACTTCCATTATACTCACGGCGACATGCCGTCCGTGTTCCTACAGGCCACGTCTTCACTGGACACCCAGACTGAGAGGAACATCCAGGCCTCACTGGCCGAGATCTGCACCAACAGGACGACCATAGTGGTCGCACACAGGTGACGTTACTGCCCAAAGCCAATACAAAACACTCTACGCGGTACATAAATAGGCGCACCAAATTTTGTTGCAATCCAGCCAGTATTTGTTCAAACGTTTCACTAAAAACCACAAATTATGTCAGCCTATAGTCAGCTTTCGATGCATAGTTAGCAGATCAGCAAAGTCCACGGGATACATCCTCTTGGGATCATGAATAGCAGTCAATGGGTGTCGGTGTCCAGGTGTCGCCCCATTTAGACGAACGTAAATATGCCCAAAACATCTGTGCAAATTGAGGCAAAAAAGTGGGTTTCTATTATTTTGGCCGCGATAGTACAAACACTAATTCCACCGTTGAGATGAAAGTGGTCCATGCGATTAGAGGCGCAAAACAGGACCAAACAGAAAATTAAGAAATAAAATGCGAGGCGGAGAGATGAAAGGAAGAGGACAGGGGACGGATGTGGGGAAAGGAAAACAGGATTAGAGCAGACACAAAGAGAGGGATGGAGAGATTAGGTGAAAAGCTGATTGGAGGATATGAGATGACGCGTGATGACAGCTCGACAAAAGTAAAAGAAACAGATGTCGGGTTATTCATCAGTCTGAGTGATATTGAAAAAGACTTGAAAGGCCCTGGCAGAGAGCAAAGGGGTCTTTGGTGCTGAATCCTGCTCCAGGTTTTAATCACTTTCTGTGTTCTCGTACACTTTGTTATTTGGTTCGCGCTCATTACTTTTATTAAAACATGGAACAAGTTAAAAGTCCATATTTGCACATATTTTCCACTGCAATTTATTTAAACTTTTTTTTCCAATTTCAACCGAAAACATGACTAAATAGTCCCTCTAATCTTCTTCTACAATGATTATATGCTGTGTTCTTCATAAGGCATCTCAACGCAAACAGTTGCAACATCTGTTGCAGAGGCATTCATACCCGTCACACACACACGACAACGTGCAGACCTGTATGGAAGCGGAGCCGTGCACGCAGACATTGTTTACCGATATTAACCGCGACTAATCACCAGCTGAGCCATCTGAGCTCTTCCTTTATCAATCATCTTCCTTTAAATGGACGCGGAGGTGCTCAGCTTGATCTTCTGTTGACCTGCACTTTCAATAGCAGCGGCAGATGGAGGATCAGGGGCTTATTGACTATCAGCTTTGAATAAAATGAAAACAAACAACACGACAGGCCACGATTTACCTTGGTGAGGGTGAGCTGAAATCTCTCTTTAATAGGGTTATAAATAGATTTAAAAAAATGAACTAATTAATCGCACATTTTGAAATGTGTTACTGGCGAGTAATGAATGTTGTTGTTGTTGTTACAAAGTTGTCTTTAATGAATGAATGAGTAATCACTTTAGAACGTGTGTATTTTAGACACTGTTGTTTAACTGTTAACGTTATTTTAACCACCAAACTACACACATGTGATCACGTTGAACTAGCGACTCTTCCTGTCGTCCTCGTGCACTTACATTACATTGCATTACATCCATTAGGGGTTAGGTGTCTTGCTCAGGGACACTTCGACTTGAGACATGGGGGCAGCCTGGACTCGAACCACCAACCTTGCGGTCCAGCAGGACGTCTTCAGTCCAACGTCTTTTAGGGACACAGCGTTGGTCCTCTGCAGACTGTGTGCCGCGCAACGTTAGACGTTGAGATGGAAGTAGCCTAGCAGCTAGCTTAGCTTAGCGTAGCGGTGCTGTAAGTGGTCCGTTTGCCCCTGGCCCCCCTTCTGTTGGGCACGTGGGGTGATTCCTCCGCTCGGTTCTCCGCTGAGCGTTGCGCCTGTTTGGTTTTACTTCCGATGCAGAAAGCTCTCTGCGTGTTGATGTGACGTTAACTGACTGCAGCTCGCAGACGTTTTGTTTCCGCGCTCAACTTCCGGACCGGAAGAAAAGCAGAAGTAAAACAAATGCTACATTAAAATATTTAGTTGCATTCATCTCAGCCACTTTAATCGGATAGATTAAGGCGCTTATGTTGACAGCCTTCCTCTTTAGCAGTTTTGGGCAAGTTACTGAAAATTTGTAATAAGTTCCAGTTACTAGTTACTTATTTTAAAGGTAATTTAATTACTTTACCAGTTACTGTGTATCAAAAGTAATTAGTTACTAGGGAAAGTAACTTTTAAGTTACTTTTAGGTTTGTTTTTTTAATGTAATGAACAGTACTGAACAGTCAAACACAATAAACATACTTTTTAGACCTATTTATTGTAATCAATAGGGAAACAGGCTTTCAAATCAAGCAGTAGTACAAAACTCCCTTTTAATACTTAACTTAATACAAAATAACTGCCTCAGTCATTTAACAGTGTTTTTTTTTTACCACATTAGGCCCAATGAACTAAAGGTGATTGGCCTACAATATTAACACTGATTAAAAGAGAAAACAAAGGTCCCTTGAGGTGCTGCATATAATTGAGTGAACAAAGGTTAACAATATGTTTTAACAAACTTGCCTCATAAGGCAAAGCTAAATATAGATAAGAGATGAGATTCTCAACAAACGTTAAAATGGGCTAACAAGTCTCTTCTCTCACCTCTGACCAGTAGCCACAACGTTGCTAGCTCTCAAACCAGTTATTGTACCTCAAGAGGAGAAGCTTCTCAAACTTTTGATCTGAATCAGGTTCCCGAGGCTAAAGATTATTTTTCACTGTGAAACTAAGTGAAACTTTCTTCATTATGGGAAACTTCATTATGGTTGAATGCACTTATTGTACGTCGCTTTGGATAAAAGCGTCAGCTAAATGACATGTAATGTAATGTAATGTAATGTAATGAAACTGATTCAGAGCGTCCATCCCTGTGGCTCCTGATTTAAAGTCACCAGCTACTCGACTTTCAAGAGACATAGGCGTCCTGCTCACGCTCATCAAAGCTAAAGAAGTCATCCTCTTTGGTAGATGGCCGGCGCTGTGTTGTTTGGGTTTCCCCTGGGTGCTCATCCTGCTCTGGGACATATTTGGACATATTTTCTGCATTCTGCTACTAGACTTGCGTTTACAAGGTCCTTTCTCTTCTGGTCAGCCAACGTAACTTAAACTCGGGTAGGGTTGCAGCAGCTAGTAGAGCATCATTATCCTCAAGAACACGTGAAAATCTGGTTTTGATTGCCTGAAATACATGACACAAAAGACATAACAAGAGTATTAAAACAAGTCTAAAAACAAGTGTATTATACATATAGCATAAATCTGACTACAGAGCAGTCACTACCAAATGGACCTGCACTTATAAATACTTCACAGTACGTAGACACAAATAAATGCAACTGAGCTATTGATTGGATACATATAAATGCAAAATAAAATAGCAGCTCTTACCTCTGGGAGGCCATCAAGGATTGCAAGGTGTTTTTTTAACAGTCTTAGACATCAACGTCTCCAGAGTGGGCCAGAGCGTAAAAACAATTGTCCTCGCCTTGCAGAATGTCAAGGGCCACAGTAAGTGGTTTCATCCCAACACCATACTCTTTAAGGACCCGATGTTCCCTTTCATTGATGCATTTCATCTGAAGTTGGGAGGATATTGTATTCACATCGGCCACAGGTATCTCAGAAATTCGAGCTACCGCGTCATAGAACGAATTCCTCCTGGTGGTGCAAAGCACAAGCCGCTTCTTAGCAATTTTGTTTCCGGCTTTGACATTAGCCACTTATCGACATCAGTGCATGAGATGAGGTTCAATGTGTCTGTGCTGCGGGGGGTAAAACCACGTCATTGACATTAACAGCATTATCTAGCACATCCCCAATGTTTGTAAAAGTCGCCTCATCCTCCTCCAAATGATCTTCAGTGTCTGGCTCAGAGCCGTTGTCAGTAGCAGTTGCTGTCACTTTGAAAGATAGCCCATAGGATGAGTTGATGTTGTCTATTTCGGCTGCAATGATGTCATCACACGTATGTCGGCCCTTGAGTCTCTGGCATGCCAGGGCTGGTTTCCCACGTAGCATGTTGTTCCGATTAATCCAGTGTGCAGTTACACCTAGAAAGCTTTTATTGTAAGCGGTCCAGATGTCTGCTGTGGTAGAGACATGTTGTAAACCCTCAAATGTTTTTTTGTAGCTCCATCTGCATTTTCGCATATTCTCCGTCTAAACAGCTGGAAACCGTCTTTCTTTCACAATTGCCCCCCGAGCCTCCATTTATCACCGGAATTGTACCCGACAGTTGACAGAGGATGCATGTCATCGACAACATACCTGGCAATCAATCTATTCAGCCCTGCCTGGCTTATTGCAGTCCGTGTAAAGTGGAGCCGTGGCTGTTTGCGTGGAGTGGCGCCTTCAGCATCCGTAGGGGTCTTTCGCTACTAGCTTTGTCGAAGCGTGTCGTCTCAACGGATGCGTCATGAGATTGGAATTGCTCCTCTTGGATGTGGATAGGGTCTTAATTTACAACTCTCCACTACATTTTTGTCTTTACTTTCGACGAGCGAAAAGTAAAGTCCATACCTCCAGCAGAGAAAGCTCATGCTATCCGCACTGTCGGCCATGATGTGGTTCAATGCTCATTGAGTGATTCGATTGGTGCATCATTGCGCCACCAAGGTCCTGCGATGTCCGATCAGAAGCAGCTAAAGTAGGCCTACCTCGTCTTCTTGTCTGCGAGTGTGAGTAACGCGCGTAACGAACTCATTAAAATTTCAGTAATTGTTACACGCTCGTTGCCGCTAAAGGTAGTGGAATTACAGTGACGCGTTACTCCCAACACGGCTCTTTAGTCAACTTGAGTTCCTGGATGGACGGAGTTTCTCTCTTCCTCTGAACAATCTGCTGATCAAATCGAGCAACGAGTGTGCGTGGCGGCCACGTGCAAACACTTAAATGATGACTAGGAAACAATCAAAGGCTTTTATGTTTTATTACTAATAATTACAAGCATTACTTGTGCTGTATCATCTTCCCGTCAGTCCTCTGGTATGATGCTGGCACGCTGACGGCTTTGTGTCACGTCTGGCCGAGAAGCAATGTGACTTCATCCCTCCCTCCATCCCAGGCCGAGGACAACGAGGAGAGCGGCATGAAGTTGAACATAAGCTTAAAAACGGTGCACGACCTACTGTGGCGTGCGCTGTGAACACACGGGCTCCAACGCCAGAATGGAAGAAAGAAAAAAAAAAACCTTTGACGTCTGCAGTCTTGTGGGAGAGATATTTCTACCTTTGACCGAGGTTTCCTATCAAATATTGAAGGTGGGCGTCCAAAGATAGCCGTGGTGGCACTAAAGCAGAGTGGTGGCTCTGCCGGAGCTTAAAGTGACACTCGGCAGTTTGGAGAAGCACGAACTCGCTGCTTTGCAGAAGCATTTTCCTTTTTCTTGTTGTTCTGCTCACGGCGTCGAGGTTTAATTTCCTCCTCACCACCTCGAGGAAACTATTCCCAGACTCGTGGTGAAAGCAATAGATATTTCGAGACAAAACCTCCCCGGCAGAATACCAATATTAATACAATCATATTAGGAACTAACAGTTTTTTTAAACGTTGTGTTTGAATATGGAAATATCTTGTTAATAAACACGTGTCCATTTGCAGACATTTCAAGAACCAAAATCTAAACATCTGATAAGACCAGGTTCAAAGGTTTTTACAGAATGAACTTTGCATACTTGTGTATATATAAGAGTGAAAAAGTGTATATAGAATAAGAGTATTTGCCATATTGTGAGAAATGAATTATTCATAGATGTATATAAAGGTTTGTTTAGTAAAATTCCAAACATTTTAAAAACAATAGAGGTAAAAAGGAGAAAGAAATAACTTACAGACCTCACCAGGAAACTTCCCCAGTTCAATAATAACATGAAGACAATTATCTTTAATTAGTTTTCTGAAGGGATGAGGCATTATCTACTGGGACATGATGGGGGATTTAGGTCAAATCTACGGACACAAATAGAAAAATTTGATCTATTAGGCCAATCTATTGTCTCGCCAGGAAGAGGAACTGTTCAAATCCCAGAGTTAAATGTCTTTAATGATTCACGTACAGGTTCATTCGGAGTTCTCCATCCCTCGGCTGTGTGTGTCGGTTAGTGATTACTGAGGAATGACTGGAGGTGTTTTCCTCTCATACGGCAGCTGCATGTGTTTACTAACCTGATTCTCATAGCATGCGTCTTCTCCCCTTCCTTCATCTCGCCCTCCTCCCTCTGCCTCGCAAAATAAAAAAAAAAACCCATGCGTTCACAAACTCGAGTAACATCTGCTCACGCAAACATCTGCACGAGGAAACGTCCACCTGTTGTAACTTTAACGTTCTCACTTGCAGGTTGTCCACCATCGTCGGGGCAAACCAGATCCTGGTGGTTCACAACGGACAGATAGCAGAGAGAGGAAGGTGTGTGTGTGTGTGTGTGTGTGTGTGTGTGTGTGTGAGACACACCTGAATGACTGCTAAGTGCTTGCAAATTCGCTATCTGTAGATCAAAAGCTCCCAGGTTTTTTGTGTGTGACCCTTAAACCCCTCTGGTGTCCCCAGAGGCTGATGGACAGCATCGCACACACTCGCACACACCCACAGTCACACACACACACACATGTGCTGCAGCTGCCGATGCGTACAGTCCTTTGATATAAGAGCTGCAAAAGAAGACTTCCTTTCTCACACCCCGAGGTCACTCTCAACAGGAGAAACATCTCTCGCTTTAAAATGTAGATTCAGATAAGCATCGATCAGCGCTAATAATCAATGCATATCGGTAGGAAGGCCCCTGATTGGACGAGCTGCTGACACACCCAGTGGAGGGTAAACACCTGCAGGTACAAAGCATTCGTCTTCTGATGGACAGCGTGCTGGGTAAACACGAGACAACCTCCGGTGTCCGGATACACTCGCAATGTGCAACGCGAGGGACGCGGAGACAGGAAGAGGCCGCGTCCCCGTCCTCGGGCGTCCCCGCCCTTCAAACTCTTCTCCTCGGTCATCTTCTTTAAACTTGCAGCTTTGATTCGGCTTCCTGCGTTTTTATTGTTTCTGTGGGAGAACAAATACTCCAAACTGTGCCTTTTTTAACCAGGCAAGCTGTGACTTTATTAACCAGGCAAACTGTGACTTTATTAACCAGGCAAACTGTGCCTTTATTAACCAGGCAAACTGTGACTTTATTAACCAGGCAAACTGTGCCTTTATTAACCAGGCAAGCTGTGACTTTATTAACCAGGCAAGCTGTGACTTTATTAACCAGGCAAGCTGTGACTTTATTAACCAGGCAAGCTGTGACTTTATTAACCAGGCAAACTGTGACTTTATTAACCAGGCAAGCTGTGACTTTATTAACCAGGCAAGCTGTGACTTTATTAACCAGGCAAACTGCACTTGCCACTTTTTATATACTTCCTGTTCGCTGCAATATTTAGCAGCATTTTCTTCTCTTCTCCTTTCTCCTCTTGCGCTTCCTTTCATTGACCTCTTGACCTCCTTGTAGCCTCATTTCTGTCCCTGGTCTCTTTCTGTGTCTGGAAGTCCAGGCAGGGACACATTTGGGGTTCTAGTAATTTAGAACAAAGTTTTGCCAAAGTCTGCGGGATGATTTCACGGCGTTCAACTTTGTTCTTGAAGCAGCTCAGGTGTCACAAGACATTACGAGTGTAACATTATCAAACGTTAGATTTAAAGAACAAATTCTAAACATCCACTACTAGTTTTATCAGCTGGATGGCAGCTTTGGACAAAATATAAAATTCTGTTTTAGAAAATCTGACTGCAGCCAGAATTTGTAAACCAAGGAACAAGTCCTTCTTCCTTCATCAGAAGGTCAGAGTGGGTTGACTGACCTTCTTGGTGACGATGTTGTCCCGTCTTCTCCTCCTGTGCAGACACGAGGAGCTGCTGGTCCTTGGAGGTCTGTACGCGGCCATGTGGACCAAACAGCACAAGAGTCACCACACGCAAACTGAAGCACCGACCGACAGTCACACTCAAGGTCCTTGACTCTGAGCATTGTGATGGGGAACCAATGGTAAACCATTAGAGTACTCTACTGTGTGAGGCCAGCCAACAGATACCTTCAGCTTTGTATATAAATGAGGTTGTGTGGTTAAAAGAAATAAAGAAGAAAAAGACCACTCTGATACCATACAGGTTTCTATTTATGTTCATTATTCTCCTGGTGGCATAAGAGATTCTCCACATCAGAAGGGGCATCATTGGAAAGTAGGTTGGGGTTAGGGTTTAGGGTTAGGGGTAGGGTAGGGGTTAGGGGTAGGTTAGGGGTAGGGTAGGGTTAGGGAGTTAGGGTTAGGGGGTTAGGGTTAGCGTTAGGGGGTTAGGGTTAGGGGGTTAGGGGTAGGGGGTTAGGGGAAGGGTAGGGTTAGGGGGTTAGGGGTTAGGGTTAGCGTTAGGGGGTTAGGGTTAGGGGAAGGGGCAGACGTTGGTCAATGGCCACCAGAACCTAAGGCACGACTCTTCCTCTGGAGGACCAGCGATTGACTTCACGACAATCGCGACAACGAATCAATCCCCGACGATCAGGCAGGAAGTCAAACCTTCACATTTAAAAATTGAGTTGTTAACCCAGGAATTACACAATGTAGGACAACAAGCTGGCAACAAACTTTTGTCCACTCCTTTATGGTATTTTATCTTTTGTGTGTTTTGTTTTTTTGTCAGCTTTGGGATAACTTGACATATTTCTGAAATGACTGCCTGACAGGAACGGGTAACACGATATAAGGATTGCTCTGGGACAAATACTGTGTTTGTCTCAGATCGTATTAACGTGGACCAATGAGGAAGACAGAATCGTCTAACCCTTCAACATGTTAAACGAAAGTAGCATTTGTCTTAGATGAATTAACGTTAATGAATTCAACCTCGACGTTGGAAAAATAACTGACCGTTTTTTCTTCTTAAAGAAAATGACTGACAGTCGTTATATATTTATCTTAAACGAGGTACTTCGCACTTCTGGAACGTGAGTGGTGAACAAGATAATTGCGCAGACAAAAGTATCGGAGGACAAATAGTGGACGTCATGAAACAGAAGTACAGCGAGGGTTCCTCATTATTCCTTATTAGATGTATTATCTATGTGGACAAAAGAGTTTCAGGAGAATTAAAACAAAAACCTACCGAGATGAGAGCAGTTCGAGGATTCCAAGTTCACAAAAATAAAATAAAAAAGATGAACACAACAGAAAGGTTGTGATGCACACACACTCGCACACGCTTCCTGCACTAACCACAAACACGCACACACGCACACACACACACACACACACACACACACACACCAGAGCAACAGAAAGCACCCACGGACATTATCACTCACTCATAGCAGCACACACACACACACACACATGCGTCGTGTCATTTAAAGCACACAAACACGGTTTTGGTAAACGGGGGAAACTCGTAGACTCCGGGGGAATGTTTCACATCCAACTACGACTGAGAACATACATGCACGACATACATGGCCGAGGACTTACGAACACACCTTGCTTTTCGTCGTGGTTCTGACGGACGTGAGGACGAGGACACGAAGCAACCTTTTGAGATCCTGTTTGGACGCAAACCAATCACCACGTCTTTTGACCATTCCAGCAATGATGAAGAGACTGCAGCGTAAACCGATCTTCCAGAAACAGCTTTAACATTTACACTTGCTATGAGGATGTAATCCAACCCTTATAAATAGTGCGTTATTGAAGTGACCTTTGATGTACATATTTCACCAAAGGAAACTACTTCCATAGGTTTTTTTTAATTTATTTTCATTATCAACGCTCAACTTTGGCTTCCTCTCTCGTTGACATAGGAGATTTTCCACAACAGTATGACGTTTTATCTCGTTGGAGATGTGTACAGCTGCTGTTATTCTCATTGGACCTCATGCAAGAACAATTTAAAATGCTATACTTCATCGCTGGCCTGACAGTGACCAAATGCTCCACTCGATGTCGAGGTGCTCCTGAAGATTAAACACGACCTGTTTCCAACCACAGGCGATTGTGTTACTGAGATTGTTTTGGCGAAAACATCCCGGATGGGCTGAGAGCGCCGGGGGTCAAAGGTCACTGTTTAGGGTAAATCTATATCCGCGGCCCCCGGGGCCAGAAAGAGGGAGGCAGATGGGCAGAGTGACTGAGTCTCGTGAGCAATGGAAGCTTCTCAAACAACAATTGTGTCACGGCGTTTCTCTGTAAATCGATACTTCACTCTTAAGGAGCTCCGCCTCGGGACTTCCGCCCCTCACGAGCTCCCTTCACACCGGGCGGTTTGATGTTGGTTCTTTGCAGGGTGCGGAAAAACACCCCCGTGGCAATCGGGGAGCCTGCAGACCCCCCCTCCGGAAGCCCCCCCCCCCCCCCGCGCTGCAACCGCCGACCTCGACCCGGCTCCGTGCTGTCTGCGTGTCCAAGGAGACGCTGATGTCCAGGTTCTCACACAGAGGCGTTTGATCAGAGTCCGGACACCAACGTAACTAAAAAAATGTTCGCAATTTTCTTTTTGGTAGAAACAATGAAAATAGACATCGTAGTTAGTTCGGATTGCTCAAATATATATATATATGTTGCTTTTTAGTTGATGGTTTGATTATGAATCCCGGCCCAGATGTTCAGAGATGGATCTTTATCTCCACATGGTAATAATTGAGTAGTGACCGGTTTATAACATGCAGTTAAAGCTCTGGACATTGTCACCATTCGATTGTGTGTGTGTGATTTACACAGAAAGGGAACCTGTGCTCGTCGGGACAAATAAATCTCACGTACTTCACTGGATTCTAAACATACTTTATTGACTAAATGTTGTGATTTGAAGGCATGCAAGTAGACACAATCCTGCTAAATGACACCTCGCACTCTGTGTCTCTCTGTACAGGTTGTTACACCAACTGTGAATATGCACATTTCCACCAGATGGACGTGGTGTTTGCTCCAAAATGCGCCACGCCTTTGCAAAGTTTTTCCCCCAATCGTCGCCAATCTCTTGGAATAACACGTCTCTCGTGTAAAACAGTCATCGGTGCAAAAACCCGCCTGGGAGGAACTGGGATGGACACCACGTCTTCATACACTACATGGTTACTCAGAAGGACAAAGTAGACAAATATCACAAAGTACCACCACACACAGAGGACCCGGTGGACGTCGTTAGTGTGGGGGAGGGTTAATGTTAGAACGAGTGCATGTTTTCATGTGTTGTACACACACACACGCACACACACACACACACGCAAGTTGTGCCCTTATTAAAATGCCATAGCCCGTCTGTGCAGCAGTCTCAGAGCTTCATATCTTAATCATGACACGTTTCCGTCTCTCGTTTCATGGCTGCCTCGATGTCTCGCTCCGTCCGTCTGCCGGGTGAAAAAAAAACAAACTCAAATGTCCCCCGTCTCACGATCTGCAAAATAAGTTCCTGCGTGTCATTTATTTATGCTTTTCGAACAATCCTCGGCGTCCCCCCTGTGGGATTCCTGGTGACTGTTTGTCTCTTTTGGATGACACAAATGATGACCGTGGCAACGTGCTTTAATGGTCACAAAATGTGAAACACGTTCTCAGTTGCAGTTACATGCGTCGTGTCAGCTTCCTGAGAGCCGACGCAACGGAGACCCGTTGAGAGGGAGAACGTGTGGGAATATGATGGAGGGGCCCTCAGTGCTGACCGCCTATGAACCCATGTGGGGGCTTTTTAACTGCGAGACGCAGGTAAAGATGGCAAATGGCCTTTTTCGTCGAAACATTTTCTCTTCATTTCTTGTGCACAAATAAAAAATGCACTAAACTCGCTTCAACGCTTTCGGCTTTTTGCAAAACGATTTCAGTGTGTAACTCTCAGAAGGGAAAAGAAATAAAAATAAAAGAAATACAGGAACAAATTAAACGAGGAGGGATAGAGGTTAGAGAGGTAAACCCACGTGATAGGGAATCGAAGACAATTAGATGGAGGCAAGAGGGAAGTAAAGTGGAGAGAGGAGGAGATCCAGAGGGAAGGTTGGGAGGAAAGTAGCCTAAAGGGGCAGACGGACCCCTGACGGAAAACAGAAAGAAAGAAATAGTGGAAAGTTCCTGCGTGTCATTGAAAATAGAGAAGTTGAACGGCTCTGAAATGTTGAAGTGAGCTGTGACGCGCACACACACACACACACACACACACACACACACACACACACACACCAGCATAAGCTACAGCGATGGTTTCAGTGGGGTTGTCCTCTTGCTGAACCCACAACCACACACACACACACACACACACACACATGGTTCTCATGGTGTTCGGGACACTCCGGTGGGGACGAGCTGTCATCGCCATGGTTACTGTCGGAGTTAGGACAGAGAACACACACCAGCGTCCACCAAGCACACTGAAACTAAAGCCCTAAGTTATGTTGGTAATGTGAAGATGTGTGCGTGTGTCCATAATGAATTAGTTCTCTCTCTCTCTCTCTCTCCCACTCGGGCTCAGCGTCTCTCTCTCTCTCTCTCAGTTGGTCCTCCTGTTTGTCCGGTGCCAGAGCGCGGTGGCCAGGTTCTGGCAGCCTTGGTACTCCCGTCGCATCTCGCCCTCCGTCAGAGGCGGCGTGGCGTTGCACGGGGCGCCGGCCAGCGTCACGTTCAGAAGGCCGGCCCACGGCTCCAGAAGGCGGGACGTCCCGGTGCCCTGATGACAGACGTGGTTAGAGACCGATTTTTAGAGAGGACGAAACCGACCCTTCGGTGTGGCGTTGTCACCTTCCCCAGGTGGCCCAGCAGGCAGCTGGCGGGGCCGACGTGGGACCAGCTGCCCTCGTCCCAGCCGGGGCTCGACCTCTGGCGGCCGTGCCGGCTCTGGCTCTGGATCAGAACCACGTTGCGGTGTTTCTGGGACCCCCGCAGCCTCTTGGACAGAACGCCGCTGTAGCTCTGATCCACAAACAGCAGCACGCGCGCGGCCCTGCAGCCGGCCAGGTCGGCCAGCAGCTCGTTGACCGAGTATCGCTCCTTAGAGTCGGCCTGGGGGGGGGGGCAGAGAGACGGAGGAGTCCTTGTTTACAGCCAATAATCGCAGCCCGCTGAACCCTCTCTCAGTCTGTTCCTTCTACCCGATGAGCTCACATTCACATTTTGGGGAACAACAACAGAAATACTTGGGTGGTCCTTGTCAGTCTGACAGACACACACAAACAGTAAATCCTTAAATCCTTCATACAAACCCGTTGTCCGGCTAACCCTTTCCCTCTGACATTCTACGCGCGCGTCACTCTTACGATGCCGTTGAGGTTGGCGTCCCACAGCAGCATGGCGCCGTCGTTGCGCGTCGGCGAGTTCAGGTAGAGGACCAGCGAGTCGGCGCAGTGCTGCTTCCTGCACACGTAGGACACGTGGTTACGGATCGCCGCTTTCTCCGTTGCCGAGTACACTCCCTCCACGTCGCCTGTGGGGACACGATGGAGAGACGGCACAGTGCGATATCAGGTGGAGTTTGTTGTTTTTTGGGACGCAATGAGAGGAGAAACCATTTTCCTTTAAAGTTGTTCCTGGTAATGCGAGAAACGTAAGAAAACAAGAGATCGCTCAAAGGCCTGAGGATCTGGCCCAAATCTCCCCAACATTTTGCAAACAAACAATCAGATTTTCTGAGATAACTTGAGTGATTGTACCGGGAAGCTGTCCACTGCTGGCGAAGAAGGTCTTGATGTGTTCTTTGTGGAAGCCGTTGTTCCGCAGCATTCTGTAGAACCTCTGGAGGTTCTCAACGTGACGCTGGAACGTCATCTGCTGCTGCCAGCCGCCTGTAGTGAACACACGTGTTGACAGGGCGTCATGAAGGGAGCAAAGCACCTCGGCCTCTATTGGCGGTTGGATTTTGATCAGCATAAACTAATATGTTCCTCTTGTGTCATCTCCATCTCCAAGAAACCATGACAAATTGATTGCGTTTGTTTTCGGGGACCTTTGGTGAGAGCGAAGAAGCGGTCCGACACCGAGCGTCCTACCTGAGAGGAGCACGGCGTGGTCGCAGGTCTGGTAGAGGCGGCAGGCGAGGTGAGTGGCCAGCGGCTGCTGGTGGCAGCGCCGGGTGTTCTTATTCAGCTCACAGCTTGAGGCGGGCAAACTGGGCGAGCCCATCGGAAGTGGCTGAGGGCACCTCGCAAACTCCGCATGATCTGATGGAGCGAGAGGGGGCGGCACGTCAATGAGAAACAACTTCTAGAGAAAGCAGAGCCTCAGTGCTGAAACATTCAAGTACGTTTTTCAGGTCCAATCAAACTGGGAATGCCCGTGGACTCGACAGACAGTACGCACCATCAACAGTCAAGGAGTATTTGATCTCCTCAGAGGCTGTAGGTGTGGGTGGTCTTGGCACAACATGAGAATAATTCATTCATCTCGCTCAGGGAACGTGAATCAGAATGTCACTCAACCTATGACGGCCAACAACCATGATCTATGCAAGTCAGTATGCTCTCTTCACATTTAAATCGTGATACAGAATGCGGGATGAATTTGTCGTGGAACGATTAGGCATTCAGCACTTTTAGCACGTCAGCATGGGGAAACCACCAGGCGCGTTTACAACGTCAGGGTTTTCCGAGATGTTCAGGCTTTCAAGAATGAGCAGTTTGGTGTTGTTACTTTATATAGATGTAAAACTGTTATCGTCTTAATCTGAGTTCGGTGGAGACTCCTGCAACGTGGTTAGCGTGGAGACCGGAACAAGGGGGACATTGGTACCCTGCAACAAAAGAGGGAGAGCAGACCTTCTTCTGTGGAGTTCTGCTGAGCCTCGAGAGAAGGAACCTACCGACACACTTGAGCCTCTGCGTTCGGTTGCTGTCTCCGGCTCCGACCACCAGCGGAAGGAAGTGGACTTCACAGAGCCCCCCGACGGGCCGCTCCACCAGACGGCTTCCACCGCCAGTGGTGGTGACGCTAGCGCGCAGCGGCCCGCCGGCCAGTCGATGCCCGTTACCCATGAGCCTCTCCGGCCCGGCTTGGCGACGCTTCAGCTGGTTCTGGCAACGGCCCTTCAGAGCCAGAGTCAAACACTCCTCGCCTGGAGACACAGAAGACGCCCTGATGATAAAGGTTTAGCTCGTTTGTCGCGCTGGGAAATCAACGGGCCGTCACTTTAAACTCGGTCGACAGGTGAGTGAGAACAAGTGTTGAAGGGAGACAGAGAGAGTTTCGGGGAGGATTTGCTCGCTTGTGTTGCATCTCAATTGAATCCAGCTCGGCATCTCTGGCTCTGCATCCCCTCGCCAGGTTAAATGGGGTCTCAAGAAAGTTTCACTTTAAAAGACTTTGGTCCAAGAACCCTCTACAAGACCCAGCAGGGGGCTCAGCGCTGTGTGTGTGTGTGTGTATGAATAATTGAAGGGCCAAATTCACCTCAGCATCCGGCCCTAACCGCTCTCACAGCAGGAAGTCAACAATCTGCACTTTCAAACTCGTCTCTCCTGCAGGACTTGTGAGGACCATCACAGAAACGATGTCCCCTTGGACTGTTTCTACACGGATGAAGCACTTTACTTTTACTCTCACTTTTGGCCTTTTATCCACAGTGAGGACGTTGTTGGCCACCACCATCAGTGGGGCTTTTTAGAGAAGCAACCCCTTTTACAAATATGACCAAAATACTCCGGCTTCAATGTCACGGAAGAACTGCTGGTCTTGTTCACGCTTTTTTCAATGAAGTCACAAAATAAGTTGCTATTGAAAGCAGCAGCTAAAATATAATGAAGTGATGCTCAATATTCTGAACTGGCAAAATGTCTAATTTCTAAGTCTAAACCTTCAAAGGGTTGTAGATAGAAGTGCGAGAACACACGTGGACACACATGGACAGATTAATTGGATTTGGCCGTGGGGCAAAAAGGGCCGAGGATGTTGCTGTGTCACAGCGCCCTGAGCAGAGAAGTGTCCCGTGTCACCCAATGAGCTACAAATGGAGCTTTCATCACGCTTTGACTTCCTCCTCTGCTTCAGTTAAATGCAGATCTCTACACACACTCACACACTAAATACGCGCACATTGAGTACTACTGATTCAGAATTAAATTCATAATCACAGAGAAAGAACAAAAACAGTCATATTGACCAATTCAGGAAACCCAATACCACGACTAGATATTATAATACTGCTTTTATATACTTTTACATGTAAATTCCAAACATGTTAAGTGAAAATGTGAAAGGCACACGGAGGAGGAGACCGGGTTGGATTGAAGGAACGTGGATACAAAACGGTACGATCTGCATTGAAGACTTTGATTTGGAGGATATGGATGATGAATAACATAAATGGTAAAGGACCAAAACCGGATCCCTGTGGCACCTCACTGGAGATGCTTTTGCTGCTTCTATCAACACCGCAGGGGCACAGTGGACATTCAGAGGTTCGGGAGGACTTTGTAGTCAAATGTCGTGTGTGCTCACGAGCTGAGGACGCAGGTGAAAGCAGGACGTCCTTAACCCTCTAGAAGATCTTTAGCACCTTCAGACTTTTCTGGTCATGTTCCATCTCAAAGTACCTAACTGAATTCCGATACACACATATTGTTGTGGTGTAAAGTCTGAAGGCGCTAAAGATCTTCTAGAGAGGTGGTTTGTAGACGTTCGTGGTGTTTTCTAATACAGCTTTGTTTTCCATTCAACAGACAACCACAGCTGCCCGTAATGCCTAGTTCAACGCTTCCCCCGTGTCTCACCCAGGTAAATGCCATCCAGGTGAGAGCATCTCTTCTTCGTCACGTTCACATCCACGTAGAACAGGACCACCGGGTGCCCAAAGTTCTCCCCGGGGCTCGGATCCAGCACCAGCACGGCATCGTGGGCCGCGGAGCCGGGGGAAGACTGCTGCTGCCTGAACCCTCCCCGCAGTTTGGAGCCCGCGGAGCCGCCCGAGGAGTCCGGCAGGATGGCCACGACTGTGTCTGCGTTACCTGAGGGGGAGGCGGTGGGGTCGGGAACAATAGTGTGTATTTAGAAACAAGTGTCTTCAAGTGACCGACTGATGATGTGTCTTTATTCCTCCCTTTCATACAGCAACGAAATTAAACAAGAATTTTGAATCTGCCTTCATGCAAAGCCCCCACCGCTGTCCTTTCCTTCTTTTCTACTCTACCTGGTGTGTCTCCCTTCACATAATCTGGATTAGTTATTCCCATTCAAATAAATGACTATCATCTGCATAGATTATTTTTCCATTTCCACTGATTTTGTTCCATTATCGATTACATATTTAAAACACACTTCTATGCCAGCATGTAAATGCTGAATATGCAAACTGCATTTCAGAAGCATTGGACAGGATTTGAAATGTTGCAGTTGTAGTAAATGAATACGTGTACCACACAGATTCTTGTGATTTTATGTGGCTGTGCCCATAAATCAATATCTTTTATGCAGAAACATTTCAAGCATCATCCATAGACGCTTTGACCCCCGGACCCACGGACCTCCGTACCTGCGGCTGTGCGAGGCTCCGACACGTACACGGCCACGGCGGACAGCGGCAGGTGGGCGAGCCGCCTGCACTCGGCCTCGGAGAGCGAGGACATGCGGAGGCACCGGTCCAGCTGGTCCCACTGCAGCGACTGGAGGCCCGAGCGGACCCAGCGCTCCAAGCGGGCCGGGGCCACGCCGCCCCCGGGGGCCACGGGGGCCACGGGGGCCACCGCTGCAACGTGGAGGAGGAGGATGGAGAGAGGAGCCGCAAGGAGCACCAGGAGCCTCATGCTCACCCCCTTGTGATTTCTCCCTTTAGTCCCTCTTTTTTGTTGTGTAGTTTAGTTTGGTTCTTTGGATTTGTCCTCGTTTCGGCTTTAGTCTTCCTTTCCGTCCTTATTTATTCCTTCTCGGTGTCCTCTTTGAACCCCTTTTTTTTAAATATTTACTTTCCGCTTTATTGCTGTATTACTTTATTACTTTATACCCTTTTTATTTTGTCACTTATGACTTGTTACTCCTGCTATGATTGCACCAAACTGCAAATTCAGATTCTTGATTGAAAATGTCCAACTTAAAAAAAAAAAAAAAAAGAAAATATATTATTTTCCTTCATTCGCTTTTAGCTGACAGGTTGATATTCTGTCCTTCTAGTTCCTCCGTCTCTTATCGGACCGCCGAGAATTCACGCAAATGTTGTTCTAAAACACGTTTGATCGTTAAAAGGATGATAGAAAAACATATTCCTCTTCTGATTCGCTTATTCTTGCTTAGTTCCTTCTTATTCTTTTGGATTAAAAACTGCATAAATATGCGTGGTTGTGATTTCCGCTTTTCAAGATTCTTCTTTATGTATAATCTTCTTTACTTTGTATCTGAGCAGAAGCATCAGACACCAACGTCCTCTTGTGGTTGTTCTCACAATCCCTTCTTCTTTTCCCAGGTCACTTTTTCTTCCTTAATTTCCTTTCTTCAGGTTTTCTTCAGGTTTTCTTCAGGTTCCAATATTTCCAATAGTCCTCAAAGGCGTCAATTCAGTCGCTTTTGATCGTTCGTGTGTTTGTTGATGGACTGGCTATTCTCCTGGGACAACCAGCTGGTCCTGCAGACTCTCAGTGGCACTTGAGACTGGAACGTCCTCAGCTCTGACAGAAGTAGTCCTGCTGCTCTCTCTCTCTCCCTCTCTCTCTCTCTCTCTCTCTCCCTCTCTCTCTCTCTCTCCCTCTCTCTCTCTCTCTCTCTCCCTCTCTCTCTCTCTCTCTCTCTCTCTCTCTCCCTCTCTCTCTCTCCCTCTCTCTCTCTCTCTCTCTCTCTGCAAGCGCTGACATGCCAGTGGGATAGAGGGGAGGATATGAAAACAGAAGAGTCCAAAGAGGAGTAAAGGATGAGTGGGAGAATGATGAGAAGGAGCAGAGAAGTGGTATAAGGAAGAAGAGCAAAAAAACATTTAAATTACAAATAAATCCAAATCAGAGATCAGATAGGAAAAGGAGAGAACAAAAAGAGGAAAGAAAGGTGAGGAGGGATGGGAAGGATGAAAGCAAAAGGAAATTAAAAAAGAGGGAAGAGATTGAAGAAAGGAAACAAGGAGGAAGTGAGAACCAGAGGACAGAGGAAGGAGAGTGAAAATAGGATAATCCGGCAGAATATAAGAAAGGAGATGAGGCAAGAAAGAAGTCAAAAGAATGGAAAGGATGAACTGTGAGTAAGGGGCGGAGGAGGCGGAGGAGAGGAAAGGCTATTAGGAAGAAGGAGAATGATAAGAAGGACCGGGCGGGGAAAGGGAAGTAAGAGAGAAGAGCAATGAAAACAGGAACAGAGACACCACAAGGGAGAATGCGAAACAAGGAGAGTAAAGCTGTTGGTCTTCCCTCCAGGGAGACCTCTAGTGGGGAGATGTTGAGGAGACGTGTGGTCCACATGCTGACTGCTCCTCAGCGAGGACCCGAAGGAGGCTGAAGGATTTCCTCAATTCTCACAACAACGGTCTAATGCTGACTTGCATTGTGGTGGGTTGTGGGACACAGAATGCAAAGAAACAAGTAACACCGAGACAGAAACAACTTTTTGCTTTACTTAATTACATAGTTTGGGGATTCATCGCTCATTTAAAAGGCAGGGATTGATTTGTGTAATCGAAGGCATATTTTAGGCCTACATGTGTCAACATCTGCCAACGCAAATATTTTACCCCGAGAACAATTTGTTAATTAAACTTATCTTTTAATAACTAAAGGACATTAAATGCAACTTTATGATTCTTGGACTAAATGGAACGGCATATTCTACTTATCACCACCAACTCCTTTTTCTATTAAACATTATTATTTTTTATTATCCTTTAATAATATAACCCCCTAGTCAAAAAATAGCCTCTGGGCCAGTCCAGTTTTGCACTCCTATTATTTCACGATTGCATTTGTTTTTGTAATTTAATATTTTCCAGAAAGTGATATTGTTGACGAAGCTAAAATAACCACGCTGAAAAAAACATTAGTGGCTGAATGTCATTGTAGAAGCAGTAGTTTGTGAATTCAAGTGATCCATCTACCAATCCAAGTACTGCCTGACTATATAATAAACATGATACACTTCAATGTTTATTTCTTTGTTTTTTAATATTTTATTCCGATCCCTTTCACCCAATGTCATCGCGTAAATACGCATTAAACCATTCTGCTGAATGTAATTGCTGTCGGTTTAGAAGCAAACCAGGAAGTGAGGCGGAGAGTGTCTCTCGTCTCAGCAAACGATCTTTGGTCGTGACGTATCAATCGGAGTTTTCAGCTAACTTAGCTAACGTTACTTCACCCCGACGCAAGAACCGCCACCTTCGACCCACCGACGGGACGTCATGTTCGGCACAGTTCACGTGACGGGGTACGTATGAATACATTCTGATAAGCGGATACCGGCTCCGTGTTTTATTGTTGGGGGGGTCTTTGACACCGCCGGTGGCAGTTGGCGTTGTTGGTAGTTGTTGCTAAGCTAACGCTGTCTGGACGGCGGTGAACAGGAGGAGCTAGCCTGAAGCTAACAAGTCTTTCTAACACCTGTGGGCGCGTGGACCCTTTTCATAGACGTTAAAGTAAGTCCGGCCTCCGCCTCCGTTTTATCGTTTTTAGGTGATTGAGCAGAGCGGACGTGTTCGTTAACTTTAGTTTGCCGACCTGAAGCTCAGCGTGTGACGGAACAGCGCACACGTGAAACTAACGGCGTGATTGCAGATGAGAAACCACCGGCAACATCTGGAACTGCGAAGTGACGCTGCGAAGGACGACTTGCTTCTATTGATACAGGCTAGCTTGCTCACTTCAGCACCTTTACTAGCTAATTTCAGCACCTTTACTAGCTAATTTCAGCACCTTTACTAGCTCACTTCACCACCTCTACTAGCTCACTTCACCACCTACCTCTACTAGCTCACTTCACCACCTACCTCTACTAGCTCACTTCACCACCTACCTCTACTAGCTCACTTCACCACCTTTACTAGCTCACTTCACCACCTACCTCTACTAGCTCACTTCACACCTACCTCTACTAGCTCACTTCACCACATTTACTAGCTCACTTCACCACATTTACTAGCTCACTTCACCACCTACCTCTACTAGCTCACCACCACATTTACTAGCTCACTTCACCACCCACCTCTACTAGCTCACTTCGCCACCTACCTCTACTAGCTCACTTCACCACCTCTACTAGCTCACTTCACCACATTTACTAACTCACTTCTCCAGAACCTATACTATCTCACTTCACCACATAATCTACTGCTCACTTCACCACATACCTCTACTAGCTCACTTCACCACATACCTCTACTAGCTCACTTCACCACCTACCTTTACTAGCTCACTTCACCACCTACCTCTACTAGCTCACTTCACCACATACCTCTACTAGCTCACTTCACCACATACCTCTACTAGCTCACTTCACCACATACCTCTACTAGCTCACTTCACCACCTACCTTTACTAGCTCACACAGCTGTGACTTCAGCACTTTAGAGCCATTTCTTAACATCCCGGCAACCCGACTGGAGACCCTGCTGTGCCTGTGGGCTCAAAGCAAAGTTATGTGATTACAGTTAACACAAGGTTGATGTTCTCACTGACTTAAGTAGTGTTGGTTGAATAAATATTTGTTCAAATATACACCTTTTCTTAATATCTCGCGGGTTTGGGTTTTCTTTTTTTAACAGCTGTTGGATATCAGAATACCAACCTGCAGAAGTACAAAATCTTTACCAAGTAAAATCTAATTTAAGAAATCTTACGACGGTAATTTGTCTTTGTTACTATAAGCATTCAGGGAACAGTCTTCTGTCCTCTAATGAAGGTCCGTTATTCAAGGACTAGATTCTCTGACTGACTCTGCTTCTCTTCTTGCACACTTCCAGCAGGAAAATTAGTGTGTCTATCGCCTCCCGTGGATCAGCTGAGGAAGACATGAGGACACCAGGAAGGCCACGTTCTGCTCTGCGACTCGACGACTGTTTGTGAGCCGAGTCCCGTGAACATCGCAGCTTGCGTTTCGTCCCCGGAAGTCGTTCAGAGGAGGACGGGTCAACCGCTTCCTGCTCGGTTTGCATCCGCGATGTCTTCAAGACTCGCCCCCGAGTCCCGGGACGAACTCTCGAGCGCGCCCGTTTAGTTAGAGCTGGAATCCCGCTGCCTCGGGAGAGAGCGCGTCCTGCGTTGTACTGCTGTCACTGCGCCTGCAGCGGCAGTTATGTTCACTGTCGGCCAGGACGTATCGAGAACTTGTAGACGAGCCACTGGGACCAAAAGCACATTTTCAACTCCATCCCGCTGGAGCTGACGCTTCAGACGTCGCTGCTGCAGAAGAACCAGTGGAAAGCTGCCAGGAGGAGAACGGGAAGGTGGTGGTGGTGGTGGTGGGCGGGGGGTCTTCCTCCACTTGTGGCTGTTACTCCTATCCTGCCTGTTGACCTCGCCCCAAAACGCAGCTCTCCAGACGTAACCACAGCTTCATCGAGCGCCGCCATGCCCACCAACCAGTCCTCCCCCTGGGACGGGGTGGAGCTCCGGCCGCGCTCCAACGCAGGTAGTCCCACAACCTCAGCCAGCGCGCGTGCCACCAGAGTGCCTTTTAGACCGACTCCTGGGAGAAAGGGCCGAGCCAAACCTCTCTCCCCCACCAGGCAGACCGCCGTGCCTGTGGTGGAGAGCGGGTACGCAATTAAAACCACCGCAGTGCCAGATGGGTCTCCACACCTGCCACGGACGCCTAACGGGGCGTCTCCCGTGTCCCATGAGGACGGTCCGGCTGGAGTTGACGTCCAGCCGGCGGGTGCCATGAGGAAACCGCTCCAGGCCTCGCCGCCCGGAGGCGACGCAGCAGTGGGCAGAAGTGTCGCCGCCACAGGCGACGCCCTGCTGGGATTGGAGCTTTTTTCTTCTATTTGTTACCGAGACCTGTTCGTCCAGAGGCAGCCAACGGACGGCTTAATGGTGAGTATCAATGATACGACAGAGAAAGAGGTGTATTATTAAAAGCATCGCCTTATTTTTAGAGTAATTCTAGTGGTCTTCATCAGGGTCGTCATGCACGTCATGTTTCCACTCCAGAGCTTTTCTTAGTTTAGAATTTATTGAATCAATTTAGAATGAATTTCTTATCAAAGCTCCTGTTCTCCTTGATACTTGTATTGTTCTACGAGTAGTAAGTGGCTGGTCTGTGAGGCGGCCAGAATGCCAAGATAGGTTAAAGGTAAGTCCACTCACCTTCGCTTGTTTTGTGTTCTCAGCCTGAAGCCGCGGACCGTCCCCCCCCCTCCTCCTCGCCGTCGGTGCCTCCTCTGTGCCTTACTCTCCCTGATCATCTGGGGGCGCCACTGAGAACGGACGCCGAAGGCAGCGCCGTAGAGACGAGAAGCACAGCCAGAGAAACGACGGCCAAGGCGGCGGCGTGCAGCCGGGCCCAAAGCACACGCGTGTGGATGACCGGTCAGCTGGAGGTACGAGGTCGTCCTCCGGCAGCGCTGGCGTCGACCACGAGCAGCAAGGCCCAAACTCTGGACCGGAACCAGCAGGCGCCGGAGAGCTCCTCGCCTACGCGCGGGAGAAGCGCTCTTCCCGAAGTCGGGCCGTTTCCAAACGCCCCCCCGCCGACGGTGCCCAGCGCCAAAGTCAGCGCCACAGCGCCGGGTGCCGCCGCAGGTAATCCCAATGATTCACTTCCTCCTCTGAGCGGCGGGCTGTGGTTATTCAATACGTCCACCAGGAATACTGACGTGATCGGAGCGGGTTTGTCACAGGTTTAATTGTTTAGTGTGTGAAGTACAAATAAGTCGCAATGGAGCTTGAGTTTAGTTTCTCATTTACATCTGATTTCCGAACACATTCAACCTCATGAAGAATAAGTAACAAAATAAAAATCATGTTCCTAGAGAAGTTTGCTGTTAGTTTATTTTTCTCTGTGAAACAAAAGTCAGAAAGACCCACGTCTCAGCCGCGTGTCGCCCTTGATATTGGGTTTAAGTAGCTGTCATGGAGGTGTGACCGTTTGTTTCCCCCCGTAGCTGCGGCCCCCGGCCCCGCAGGAGCCCTGGTGGGCTCCGTGACCTCTCAGATCTCTGCCATCCAGCTCATCGCCTCTTCCCCGCCCCCCTTCCCCTCCTCGCCGTCGGAGGCCCGGCTGGTCGGAGAGGCTCCGCTGTCTGGGTGTGTAGCAGCTCAGCGCTTCTTCAATAAATAGAGCCTCCCCCCCATCCCCCCCGCGCCTTAAAGACTTGTTTTAACTTGTTTGTCCTCCAGCTCAGTGAGTGTGATGCAGGTGGATGGAGTCGAGGAGGAGCTGCCCGATGAGCTGGAGAATGCATGTAGTGATGATGGTACGACGGTAAAGTGCACACACTGAATACAGTCTGAGCACTTGAGCCGTCTTTAGTGAACACCTGCTTTTTGTTCCTGTGTGTCTTCAGATGATTCAGACTCTTTCTCCATCAACGGCTCCTCATCCACAGCGTCCATCACTGCCTGTTCTGGGTAAATGTCCTTTACAACCTCTCTCACACACACACACACACACACACACACACACTGTGTCTGATTACGTTTGAGGTGAACCCGCTGACTGACGCCCGGTGTTCGCTCTCGCAGTACATCTCTCCTCGTCTGTTTTTCTTTCTCACGGATCTGATGTCTGATTTATTTCTACAAATGTTTAAGTGTCTCTCGGCCTTCGTGCTTAGTTCATGTTTTCAAGTGAAGCCGCCGTTCATATCTTTCAATATTTTTTAAATTCTAGTGTATTTTAGTCCTTTCTGGCTTATTTTATACTCCGTATGTTCTGTAGTTAAAAAGTATTTAGTTGCCAATTCCTCTCTGGTCAAGACCAAATTTTCAACTTCTTCAAAATCTCTGTCCTCTTTTAATTGATCTGCTGACAGGGAACAAATAGTCTCATCAGATCGTGTGTGTGTGTGTGTGTGTGTGTGTGTGTGTGTGTGTGTGTGTGTGTGTGTGTGTGTGTGTGTGTGTGTGTGTGTGTGTGTGTAATTGTTGGAAGGGGCCGAAAGCAGCAGAGCGTGGTGGAAAGCTCCGCTGTGTTGTTCCCCGCTGTGAACGCCTCAACAATAGAACTCCCACCAAAGACCCGGCGCTGATTCTCTGTTAAAACAGCCTGTAGAGGGGCTGCTATTGTCCCCCCCCCCCCCACAACCAGCTGATTTGTTTGTTAAATTGCGTACACCCCCCCCACCTCCCTCCACCCTTCCTGAAGGCTACAGCTCCTTCGTGTGCAGTAGTGTTGAGTTAAGCCCACTGCGCCTGTCGGATTGGCAGCAGGATAACGTCAGCTTCTCGTCCTCCTTCCAGTTGTTTATTCATCCTTCCTTCCTATATGACTGTCATGTGAGTGGAGGTTTCTTTTTCCTATTTGGTGATTTGATGTGGACGAGTGTTTTATTTGACATGTTGGACGTAAGAACATGGTCTTATTAGTTTGATTTAGTCTCTGTCCTCCCTGCTGGCTGAATGGTTTATTAAGGCTTGTGACAACATACATTTTGACCATAACAGAAGGCCTCCTTACGTCGGACCGCCTCTCGGTGTCAAAATGTACGTTTGTGTGTGTGTGACCCCAAATTCACACAAGCATCGTGGTACTGGTGCAAAGTGTGCTCGCCTCTCTGCTGGTGTTACGATCCTGGTGTGTGGAAAGTCGACTTCTGTCAGTCAGAAATCCAGTGACGGTAACTGGAGCTGCGTTACTTTTTAAATCAGTTGTTTTGCCTGTTTAATGGTGACGACCTCGAGGGATTTAAATGCTAAATATTGAGGGGGGGAAAATAGAGCTTGCGCTTCATGATCTAAAGCTGTAAGACGTTGCTTTACGACTTCAGCAATCTCGTGTTTTTAACGGCTGAAAATTCTTAAATGTTTTATTGAGAACACACAGGCCCTTTTTACTGAGGGATTTTCCATTTTATTTAATAAAGAAGAGGGAGGATGCTCGTATTTGGACGTGCACATTCATTTGCTTGCCTTCGCTCTTCCTCTCAGTGTCGAGGGGCCGATGTCACCGGGGGCCGAGGACGAGCGAGAGGAGCGACCCGCTTTGGTCCCCAGTCTGTTCCCCTTCGTCGCTCCAACGCTCTACTTCAGCACCGCCGACGAGAAAGGTGAAGCCCGTTTGTTGAGGCAGCGCCTTGAGAAATGCCCACACAGCAGGGTGGAGGTCTGTGTAGATGTGTCACTGTCAGCGTTTGCCTCTCTGTGTCCACAGTGGAACTGCTGCCCGCCGAGCAACGGCGACTCCTGAAATGGAAGATCAGCACGGTCACCCCGAACATCGTAAAGCACACCATCGGCAGGTCGCACTTCAAAGTCACCAAGAGTAAGTCCTCACGGGTCCGCGGGAGTCGCTGCTGACACCATCTGGGTTCATCTGAGGAGCCGTGTTTTTTTTTACCGATGATTTTCCGTGTCGTGGTGCAGAAAGCCACGACTGGCTGGGCTGCTGGGGACACCACATGAAGTCTCCCTGCTTCAAGGCCCTCGCAGAGCACCAGAAGGTGATAAGACCCGCTGAGGGGAAGATGAAACCCCGCTGATGGCTCTGTGGGAGTTCACTGAACCCGGCTGTGTCTCTCCTCCCGTCCCAGTTGAACCACTTCCCGGGAACGTTTCAGATTGGCAGGAAGGACCGGCTGTGGAGGAACCTGTCCAAGATGCAGCTCCGCTTCGGCAAACAGGAGTTTAGCTTTTTCCCACGAACCTTCGTCCTGCCTCAGGACATCAAGCTGCTCCGCAAGGCGTGGGAGGACGGCGGCTCCCGGCAGAAATGGATCATCAAGCCGGTGCGTTCTGCCAGCACGTAATCAATTGCAAATCAGTTCCTCAAGGCAAATTGGTTTCATACTTTTCATTTATCTATTTTATTTAGTCTTCAGGGTTTCAGTTGCTGCATAATCGGTAGTTCTGACTAATGATAATTTGTCTTTAATTGCTCTTAAAATGAAACCAGTTCTTTGTTTGATAAATGATGAATGCTCCCAGAACGAGTCCTCCAGACCATAAATGCCTGAATGAAGTTGTGTTGTTGTGTCCAGCCTGCATCAGCCAGAGGAATCGGAATCCAGGTCATCCACAAATGGAGCCAGATGCCCCGCAAGAGACCGCTGCTGGTCCAGAAGTAAGTGGACCTGAATACACCGCAGGTTTGAAACCACTTTCCAGGAGCTGGAACCGCATCGTTTGTCATTCGGATCAACGTCTGACCCTACTGGGTTTGTTTAAGGTACCTTCACAAGCCTTACCTCATCAGCGGCAACAAGTTCGACCTGCGGATCTACGTCTACGTGAGCTGCTACGACCCGCTCCGGATTTACATCTTCTCTGACGGACTGGTTCGATTCGCCAGCTGCAAGTCCGTTTCCCTCCGGGCAATTCCTGTTGACTTGGTTAACGTTAAAATCAACGAGTAACGTGTGGATTTGACCTCTCGTGCAGGTATTCGTCTTCCATGAAGACTCTGGGCAACAAGTTCATGCATCTGACCAACTACAGCGTCAACAAGAAGAACTCTGAGTACCAGAGCAACAGCGACGACAAGGCCTGCCAGGGACACAAATGGTCTGTGTGCTTGGCAGAAGTGACACGCCGCTGCTACTGTGTGCGCGTGTGTTCCCAAACTCCAACTCGTGTGTGTGTGTTTTTAGGGCTTTGAAGGCCTTGTGGCAGTATCTTGGTTCTAAGGGAGTCAACACAAGTCGTATCTGGGAGAAGATTAAAGACATTGTGATCAAAACCATCATTGGGTGAGTCGGCCCCTGCAGTCATTTGACTGTTCGTTCTGTTCCTTTTGTATCATCGGGACGTACGGCAAAGCTCGGCGTAACCCAACAATCACTGTATCTTCAGCGTTACTATTGTCTATTATCACCCTGGTAGTGAAAATGACGCACAACCTGTTAAAAGATTTGGGCCGCCACGGATGTATCTGAGTTCCTGGAGTCGGCGCTCGGAGGAGATCTTTTTTTTTTCTTTTTATCCCGCGTGTTCCGGTCGGGAGCCTCAGGAGGGTTTGTGACCTGCTGGAGCGATGAACGACTGAAGGAATCTAGACATCCTGGCACGGTTGTGAAACGTTGTGCTGCGTGTCTGTCGTCAGGTCGGAGCCGTACGTCAACAACCTGCTGAAGAGCAACGTGAGGACGCCGTACAGCTGCCACGAGCTGTTTGGCTTCGACATCATGCTGGATGAGAAGCTCAAACCCTGGATCCTGGAGGTCAACATATCGCCAAGGTAACGCACACGCATACAAAAAACCTCGCACCGGGTTTTAAAAGGAATCTCCTTACGGTGGTTTTGTTTCCGTCCCAGCCTCCATTCCAACACAGCGCTGGATGTTGCAGTTAAAGGTCAGATGATCAGAGACCTCCTGAACCTGGCGGGCTTCCGCATTCCCCAAAAAGAGGATGTGGTCGTGTCCTGCAGCAGCACCTCCAGCTCCACCAGCAGGTAGGGAGGCGGTACTGCACCTCAACGTGCACATGAGGGGGTCCTGTCACTTTTACGGGAAATTAGTCAATTCTGGTCTCAATTTAGAATCCAACTGCAGCCTCAGAAAAGGCTGTAGAGTCCATTCATCATCTGTGTGTGTGCAGTTTGTGTGTGAGCATCAGGGAGCGGACCAAGCCAGAGCCGTCTGCCGATGAAAAGGTCAAGCGGGCCTTTTACCTCGGCCAACGCTACGCCGACCAGGTACACGACCACGAGCACATTCGATCAGAGCAGAAAAATGTTTTAAAAGTAAGCGTGACGCCGAGTCTCCTCCTGTCCCTGCCAGGACTTCCTGTCCACGGTGCTGGACGTCTTGACTCCGGAGGACGTCCGCGTGCTGGCGGCCAGCGAAGACGAGCGGACCCGCATGGGTCAGTTTGAGCGGATTTTCCCGTCGCCGGCGTCCTCCCGCTACCTCCGCTTCTTCGAGAGTCCGAGATACTTCAACATCCTGCTGGACCAGTGGGAGCAGAAGTTCTGCAGCAGCAGGTCCAAAGGTGATCTGCATCGATCCTCATTGTTAAGCGTTTTCTTTTTCATCTCCAACCTTCTGAAGCAGCGGCTGTTTCTGATACTTGCACCTTTATTTAAAGCCGCATATTATCGGCGTGTGTTAATGAGGGCTGTCACGATATCAAATCTTTGTTGGGCGATTATTGCACATTTATTGCAATTTTCAGACCATTGTCCGCTCTGCGTGTGTCAGCGCTGCCTAAGCCCCGCCCCCGACAGTGAAAGTAGACAAGGGGGAAGCGCGATCGATAAACATGTTGGTGACGTTCATTTATATGTAAAATGAATATCTCAACGCCAACAAAGATCACACTCCTCTTCCTTTATTGTGCGATAGGTCAATACATTGCACATCGCGACAGGCCAAATGTACCTAAAGACTCCTTCTACTCTTAAAACGTTAATCTTCATGTTTCTTTCATACGCGTCATAATTCCACAGTGTGGCCCTTTTTAAACGCTCAGCCTCAAGTGGATTTTGAGAGAATTGCTGTTTATTTCAGGAAGTTTAAATGAACGGAAGAAATAAGTTTTTAGGCTTAGATTTAAAATGAAAATATGTTTCACTTTAAAGCTCCACCTCCAGGAGGCAGAGTGTGGATGGAGGAAGATGGAGTAACACGAAGAGTTAATCCAGATGTGGTGTGTGTGTGTGCAGGTATCAGCCTGCTGACGTCTCTCTGTGAGAAAGGAGTCCATCTGGGAACCAGTGACCCTCTGCACATGGTGAGGAGTGTTGTTTACCTGAAGAGAAGGATGCACATTGTCATTTTATTGTCATCAGACATGTGGAACCATTCCTACTTCTTCCTGTTCTTGTTTCTCCCCAGTGGTCCAAGAGTAGCTACATCTCCAGGCTTGATCCCCACAAACAAAACCTCCTCGGGCCCCCCAGTTCGAGGTGCAGTAGTATTCAGTTACACGCATAATAAACGTCCTTCCTGTGTGTTTTTTACATGCTTGTATTTGTAAAGTGTGATGTAGTGTAACGCGATGAAATGAATGACGTTTGACTAAAAACCCCATACGTCCGAGTAGTTAACGCCATCACCTCCCCAGGGTGGTGGTCACCCATCAGCACCGCTCCCATGACGACGAGGACGACGAGGATGAGGACGGGTCGGCCTCCGTCTCCAGCACCGCTTCTCCCAGTCCTGGATCCAGCGTGTCCAGCAGCGCCTGTTCCAGTCCTCAGCCCGGCCGCGCCCGGCGCCGCCTGCCCCGCCAGTCCGCCTCCCTCTGAGGCCCCTCCCCCTCCATGGATGACAAGTGGCCTGAGAACTCTGAGGAGCCCCCGTGGAAGGGTTGGGATTGTGGTCATCTGTCAGAAGTGGGAGCACTTTCAGGTCATTATGCAGGAAATGGAGCCACTGTTTGTCCTTCAGGTCAACCTCTATTCAAACACCAGACCAGTTCCTTCACTTACTGAAACTCGACACTCGAGAAACTTGAGAAACGTGCTGCAGATCCGTGAGCTTCATGTCCGCGTCATTCGTCGAAGTTAACCAGCCGCTGATGCTTGAAC